TTGAATCAAATCTGAGTTGAGTGAGTTCATTTTCAAACCACTACTGACCTTATGATCATGATTTGAAATAATGAACACAAAATGTAGAAGCAGCTGACAAAATGATTTCCATAATTTCCATAATAATTGAGCCATGAGAAGAAAAAAGAAAAAAAAAGAACTCTTGCCGGACTGCTGTTTGAATATGTCCTGAGGCGACCTGAGTTGCTTGAGTTCCTGACAAGAATGGAGGGAGAAATAATAACAGAGAGAGAGAGAGAGAAAGGAAGGTATAAGAGAGTGATGGAAGCAGGCAAAGGTGTCCAGTCTGTTGGTTGTGGCGAGAGAGAAAACCAGTACACGTAAAAGGGAGAGAGCGAGAGACATAGATTCAGAGGAAGAGACTGAGAGAGACAGATTCAGAAGTAGAGAGAGAGCGAGAGACGCTCGCTCTCATGGCTGGTTGACTCTTGGCTTAGTTTTGCTCGAGGCTTCACAGCCTGACAGACGAGAAAAGAACTGCATTCACTGACATCATTAAATGACCTTATCCGGCTTTCATAAGACCCTCCAACACACGTGCATGTATTAAAACATCTCTCATCACACATGTGATTATTTCAGGGTTGATAATTGATCCATTCACATGTCAAAATCGCAGTTGTTTCCGTGCACACACGTGTGACGTGTGAGTATGTGTCTAATATGACATGCCGTCCACGTCTCTATTGCAAACATCTACACTGGAACGATAAAAGCACCAACACTGTAAAGTCCTTTATGCAGAATTGCCAGACAGTTCATCAAAACTACTTGACACCGCTGCAATATACGATAAGCAGAGAGCTGTGAAAGGAGGTCAGAGAATGTGTCGTTGAGCCAAATGTTGAGCTATACACGGGTATAAAAAGGATTAGATAAGAGAAACTTCATTGTCATCCAACTACGTACATTCCAGTAGAGTGATTAATTGAAAGTCTGGGCATTGGGGGTATGCATGACCTCGCTTGTTCAGCTCTTTCTGGACTCCAGTTGGGCCTGAACTTCACTTCCCGACTGAAGTGTCGTTCAGCTGATATTAGTCCCGTGTGCGTTGCAAGAAATCACAGTCAAGCAGAATGGCCTGAGTTTCACGGTGTTATAAAAGATTCTTTTGGAGTATTTAGGCATTTTAATTGCTTCATGTTCAATTAAAAAAGTTTTGTTATTCGTAAGTCACCACGCATCTACTTTACAAAAACAATCTGGGGTAACTACGGTACATTTTGTGGTACCTACATTTGTAACGCAGCAAAAGAAGTTCATCCTACAGTGTTCGTATTGGAAGACAAGCCGGGGTAATTCTGTACAACAAACAGACTTTTTGAATTAACTGAAAGCGAGAGCTGCTGGTACCAGTTTAGATCACCTGTATGTGTCAAAGAGATGGCCCCCCCTGACCTGCCTGATTAACTCTTTGGCAGATGGTAATCCGACCCAACTCTCCATCACACACACACACCGTGATAGACAAGATCTAATTAAGTTCAATCAAACATTCACCCCCAGAAAGATAAGAGGTGTGGGATGGAAAGAGAGACAAGGGCAGCCACTGGTCCCTGTTTGAGCCTCCTATGTGGCTCAAGGACATCAGTAATTGAGACAGAAACACAACCTGTATAACATATAAGATTTTGAATGAAGCTCTCTGACATTTATTGATATTCCTCAAAACAAGACTTTAAAATGAAGTGAGCTGTCAGAGTTTATTACCAATAGTGGGAATTTGTACTGCTGATGCATTACAATAAAGCATAATTATTAAACACATGATGCATTTCAGTCACACTTGAGCTTCACAAACACAAACGCATTCTTTTCAAAGATATCTGGGACACAAAGTTTTGTAAGTGCATGGTTCTCTTTAGTTAGAACACTGACGTTGGCGTTGATTGCAGAGTGTGAGACAGTTACCGTCGGGTGATTAAGGACCACACATTGAGCACACCTGATTAACTATCTGAGACCAGATGGCTATCGGATGAGGCTTTCCATCAGCGTCCCTCATCTGGACAGGGTTCACGTCGGGTGTCGACAGGCTCAGTGACGTAGAGAGGAATGAGCTCAATCCAGAAACCAGAAATTGTAAAAAAAAAAAAAATGTTGTGCATGCAATAATGAAAGAAAGTCGGATGCAGAAAAGCTTTGAGGAAGCTGCAGCGTTTGACCGTTACTAGTGCGTGCCATTGCCCGGTGAGTTAGCTCTTTTAGTACCTTTTGATGATGGTTATCATAGGAGATTTTCCATCACATCTGCACAGCTGGACAGGGCACACAGCAGAAAACGGGCTCTTTTTCTGCACAACAGGACTGCTTTATGTTTCAGCCTTTACAGCAATCCTTTAGTTTCCTGTTCGTTACTAATATCTTTATTGATGCACTTTATTGTCACTATTGCTTTAGATTTTTTTAGAATCTAAAATACTGTGGGTAAATGTATATACGGTATATACACTATTTACCGTGTATATAAACATATACACATATATATACATATGAACATATTTTATTTGTCCATGTTAGAGATTAAGATTTCCTTGAATTAAAACTTCTCTTCTTGGGAATCCAGCATCAAAGTCGACGCAGTAAAAATAGGATCTTATTTTCACTGCGCATGCACTTGAAAGCTACAGTAATTACTTTCGAATGTATCCATAGGCTGCACTTCTTTATACTTAACAAAGAGACCTTGGTTACAGCATCATTCCCTCAGGCTGGATGAAGCTCAACATCACAGGTCAGAGGAGACAGGGAGAAATTGGGACACAAATGTTTTGCGACGATATAGAGCAAAAGAGCACTGCAGCGACATTAGAGGAGGAAACAATCACAGAAAGCTTATTTCCATTTACACAACAATTACAGTTGTTGAAGATTCATTTCCCTCATTTATAAAAATAATTTCATATATGTGCTGATGTACAATGTTTTTAAATGTGTATAACGCGTGTTTGGAAAAATCACAAACCCCTAAATTGCTAAATCTAAATTATTTTCAATGGCAGAAAAATCATTAAAAACTTGCCTGATCTTCATTAAACTTCAACATTTGTATCTAACTGTTTTTTAGATGACGGATGCTTCACTTTACTCAGAAAGACAGAAAAGCAGCAGCCTCATGGTGACTCAGTGGTTACAATAAAGACCAGATCCTATTTCCTTTTGCAGAAGCTACTTTGCAGTCTGCTTCTGTATCAACCATGAGTGTCTGTGCACAACTACTTTCTAAACACGGTATGTCTGCCATGCATTGTTTCCTGGAATTTGTTAAAAATTCTTACTAAAGTTCGATGTCACCCAAATGTTTGTATGAAATTGTCATTATGTGCACATCAATTATTGAGTCATGATAAACAAAATGTTTAGTGAGGTCACGGTGAACTTTAACCCCCAAATTCTAATGCGCAAGCTTGAGTTCAAGTGGATATTTGTGCCAAATTTGAAAAAGCGTTCCTGAAACTTCGCTTTCGCGAGAACAAAGCGGAAGTGAGACAGTGTCCGTGACCTTTGACTCCCAAATTCTAATCGAAGCCAAAGCATTGAACATTTACAGCACACAAGCTCTGTCACATCTCATTATATCAGCTTTAATTTGATGTTTCACTTACAGCAAAACACATACTGTATAATTGTTACTATTAGTAGTACAGTACTTAACAATAAATTAATAAAAACACACTTGGATTTTATCCCCTTGATGTCATAGAGCTTAAATACCTTAAATGACCGATATGCTCGCGTTCTTACCTGATCTGCCATCAGTGATAAATCCATCAAACCCGGGTTGATGGTCGCCGGCCTGTGTGTTTAAACGTAACACTGCAAAACAGCAAAGGAGCCACGGAGAAGTGGAAAAAAAACGAGCGTACGAGGAAGCTCCCTGCAACGGCGCTGCTTTGCCTCACTGGACGAGAGCGATTGTGGATGTGCTACCAAATGACAGAATGAATGCTTTTCATGCTTCATGGACGAGTGTATTCACTCGGCACATCCCTCTCTCTCTTTCTGTACAGATGTGTATGTTGGAGGGCAGCGATAAACTTGAGCTAGCACGCCACGCAAAACCCCGGAGAATTATTGATGCGCTTGTGACACCGGTACCTAGAACATCTTCCTGCTACCACTTTCCTTTGAATTAACTTTCTACTCCTTGAATTATTCATCTCCGTCTGGAGATCTACATGAACATTATCTTTGGTTCTCGCATCGCTCAAAGGCTTTTAAGAAGGTTTTTTTTTAAAGGTATAATGTGGCATTTTATTATATTGAATTGATTTTGAATGTAATGTCTCAACTCCCTCCTCAAAGAGAAAACAGCTTCTATTTAACCTACATCGTCCATCTGGCGCGTGTATGAATATGTACGTGGTGGACGAGGGGAACTTCATACGTGTAGAATAGTTTTAAGTGAGTGCTTAAAATGCATCCATTAATATCCTTGTTTGGGGAATGAACCAGTGCTTTGTGAGATATTCTAACTTTTGTTAATAGCTGACAATCCAACAGTTTTTTAAAGGAAAATTTACAAAACCAAACTACATCACTTCAGTTTTCCAGACACCGTACGGTGTTAAAAGTGCAAAAGTGGTAAAAGTTTCTTATTGCAGATGGCGTCAGAACATTTAAAATAGATACGTATATATTGTGTGTATATACTGTAGTCATATAAATGTGTATGTAGAAAGTACACACACGGGTTGTTGAATGTAATTTCCAAGCAAAACTCAAAGCAAACCAAGATGATGTGGCCTGTGTGTGTTTCACAGTAACACAGTAAGAGCGAGGAATGACGGTACATTTGTGTGCTCTATTCAAAAGTGTAGGTTTTGTGCATGTGAGGCTCCTTTATGCAGAGTACAGTCCATTTGAAGAGAAGGCCATGTTTACCTGAGGGCCAGTGAGTCCTGCAGTCTCAGAGTGAGAGAAAGTGATTTCAAACCAAAGAGAAACGAGGCCTGATAGACGGGTTGTTTTATTTGTTCATACATTATTTGTAACCCCCCACGGTTTGCACAGTGTGTTTATGATCGGGGAGTAACTGTCAAGGGAAACTTGCCTGCAGTGCTTCTGTGACCACTTTGTGAACAATCCTTTACACAAATCCACCTCCCATCGGCCGAGAACTGCTCAACGTCATCTTAGCCACGAAGACTTTTAAAAATATACTCATCACTGCTCACCCGCCCGAAGGGGACGGGGACACACACACACACGTCAAACTTTCAAAACCTGCTTTATTGTATCCAAATATGTTTTGGGAAAACACACACACATAGCAAAAAATGATCAACAAAAAACTCTTTAGTATGTCAACATATGCGATTACCCAGGCATCAAAAAACTATGTATGTATGTATGTATGTATGTATGTATGTAGAACTATATATTCATTTTGTCAACTTGTTTGGTCACCATTTTTTTCTATGGAAAGACCGTAATCTCCTTTTGTGCAGTTACACGTCACTTTATCAGAGCATATTCACTGATAAGTGTGACCGGGGCAATTGATGTGCCTGGCCGCAATGAAACAACGCCACTCTGGGACTTTCAACCAGAGAATACCACAAATTAATAAAAGGTTCTTATTTCAAAAGAAAGGAGAGCGGATAGGTGAATTTATAGTTTTGAATAGTGTCCAGTTTTATATACAAGTAAGCTTCAGATTGGCTAAATAAACAGTCTGTTTAAAAATACAGCTTATATTACAAAAATATCTTCTATATACTAAAAAAGATCCAGAAAGGAAAAGTCCCACACACACACTCTGCAAAGCAAAAAAAAAAAAAAAAGACACAAATTAGAACACAAATATAAAACATGCCAAATAAACTAAAAAATTAGGAAGCCCTCCACCTAGTGGACCACCACCTATAGACCTATGACCAGCCCACCTGTACTGGTATTGAGAGGACCTCAGCATAGGACCCACTCCAGTTGGTTTACAAAAGGAAAAGAAAACAACGAAATAATTAAATAAAACACCAACTTGTCTAGGAAGGAAACAAATTTACTAACAATTCATAATCAAAATACTAGCATAAACAAGGTAACCATAAATACAAAATATATTTGCAAAAAGGGGGCAAAAACAGCAGTGGCTAGAGCTCAGCTGGCATTAAATGCAGACATCACTTCCCCATTACTGTCACAAAAAAAAAAGAAGCACGTCATACACAATGTGTAAAATTCCACTGAACATCACGGCACCGCTATGGAGCATATTTAAACAAAACCAAAAAAAAAACCCGCTCTACTTCAAAAACAGACATACCTGGAGATTACACACTATACAGGCACACATGGCGAGTGCTGCGCATATGGGGTGGGAGCTCTAGTCCCTAGTCCCCTTTAGCGCTTAGTCCTGCACCTTGAGCTGGGAAAACCTGGGGCAAAGCCTACATTTAGAGAGAACCAGGAAGTAATCTGGCCTCACCTGTTGGGAATCGCTCATTAGAGGGGTGTGGCCAAACAGGTAGAGGGAGGGGGAGCTCGACCCCTCACATAAGCAATATTAGTACGATTAATATGTAGGCTGTAAGATCAAAACATCAATGCTAAAATGGGAACTGCTGATGCGGGTAATAATTATTTCATACGTTTATCACTTTGAACCCTTTTGAACCCTTGAAATCATTTATTTTCTGTTAATAAAAAATGAAAAATAATTGATTATTGGAGCTTAAAGCCTGTATCCGAATTCAAAGTAAACTTAAGATGTGCAGGCACTCGGTTACTATTATTTACTTTTAAAAAGCAGGTAGTGTGTCGCTCTGCTCAGTGTCATCTTCAGCACAGGCCACATGTCAGTGCCGTCTTACTGTACGGTGCATTTTTTTTTAAGATATTTTACTGCTCCTGGTACTAAGAGTCCCACGGCACCCCCGACAGCACCACCCACCACTCCTCCGGCTACTATGCAAAGTGGACCACCGACGATCCCTGCAGCCAACCCTATGGCCACACCTGCTTCAGTCCCTGTTATAATCCACCCGGATTTAATGAATTTATTTTTCTTCTCCGCTTTTTCTCTTGATTGTGTTTTATACTGCTCATGTAAAGACTTTAGCTTATCCTGCAACATTTCTCCTTCAAATTCTGCCCGTAGTTTCTCCTCTTGTTTGAGTTTCTCTGCTGCACAAGCCTTCATGATCTGCTCTTCTTTTTCCTGGATCGCTCGCTCGGCCTCCTGGAACATTTCATTTGTGTAAAATGTTCCTCCATTATCGCGTACCATACATTCTATCTTTTCAAGCAGCTGCATCGCCTGTTGGTCGTTCGGAGCTGTGTTATTGAAGACATGATACCGCCAGTTACATTTCGCGATCAAATCGCAAAGCGGTTGACTTTTTCTGAAAAAGTCTTCAATTGTTGTGTCTCCCAGCTGGTCGCCGTGAGTGAACAGAACCAAGGAGTTTTCTGCAGCTTTATCACCGAAGACCTGCTGCAGGAGTTCAACCGTTTGCTGTTCTTCCAATGTGAATCGGCCCAAGTTGATCACAATCAGGAACGCGTGGGGACCGGGAGCGGAGTAGGAGATGCATTCTTTCAGCTTTCTGACCACATCCTGTTCTGTGTACTTCGTATCATAGATTCCGGGTGTGTCGATGACTGCGACCCTGCGTCCGTTCAGCCATCCTCTGGCCTTCTCGCACTCCGACGTCACGGACTGTGGAGAGAGGAACGACGCAAAAGCCTTTCGATTCAGGATAGAATTTCCCGTTGCACTCTTCCCATTCCCAGTCTTCCCAATCAGCACTATTCGTATTTCTTCTTGTGGAAGATCTGCAAAGCAAGAAATGTTATTGCTGATTTGCAGTCAGTGTATTTAAATGAAAATAATGCAAACGCAGTACCAACAACAATTTTTTGTGTTAAAATTCTTAAATTGGATTGAATACCCAGTCGGTCAATAGTTCAACATTTAAATGACTTAGTCTCATTCTTTCTGACGAAGCAGAGGTTAGCATCATTCAGCAACAACCTCGCAGCCAGTGGGACACGGACGAGGAGCCACGCACAAAGCCAATCACAACGTGTGATGTATCTGTTCGGGCACAACCCTAAGGCAATCTTCACGCTCTGTTTAGCGTGAAGATTGCCTTAGGGTTGTGTTTCAAAAATGAAGAAACTCCGGACGGACAGAAGGCATCTTGGATTGAAAGTTAAGATCAAAAGCATTTAATAAAAGAAAATGTGTCGTGCTAAAAAAAAACATCTCAGCTGATCTCTGCAATCAACAGGGCACAGGGCAGCCCATTGACCACCCATAGTCACTGCCTCTTGCTTCTACCAACCAACAATGGGTGCCTACAGGTATTTATACAGATCGGTAAAGGTGTGAACGCCCCAGGGAGTGGTCTCCTGGTGGGTTTAATGTAACTCAGATTTCAAATGTCTCTCAGTCATTATCAGTCGTGGTGCTATCAAGTATTAAGTGCAGTTGGGTTGCTTACATTACATTGAATACAATCATAGCTGTACATTTGTATTATTCTATTGATTACAATAGTTTTACAATATTATCATTATACTTTACTTGATGACATAGTTCCAGAATCAATATTAAATAATATTAATAATAATATTATAGTTTAATTAACAAAGGAGTAAAAAGATGGGAATAAAAGTTCAAATTACCGGTGTGGTTGGGGTTCCATACAGTCCGTCTGCCTCCGTCTCCAGTCTGCCTTCTCCTCTCAGCGCGGAGGGCCATGGTTTTAAAGATTCAGAGTTCACATGAGAGTCTGACTCTGATAAAGGTTTGGTCTTCTGTGGCAGGTTCATGAGAACGGAGCGGTTTTTAAAGGTTGCATTTTCCGCTTGCTTCTCATGCATTCAGGTCTGACGACTTTCTAAACAGAAAGAAAAAGGTCGAATGAGGAGAACCTCGGTAATGGGAATCAAGGCGTGGCACAACATAATCCATTTATCGGACGGACAAACATAAAAATAAAAAAACAGCATTTCAAACAAAACCAAATGAAAGTCCTCCAGAGAGCATGTAACATCGCCCAGTAAAAGGTCAAAGCGACTTATTATTCTACACAGTTGGGTCATTTTACAGCATTTGAAAGGCTGATACACTTTGCATCACTGAATGTAAGTGCTGTTTTTAATGGAGATTTAATGGAAACATGGCCACCGACTATTTTTGATTTAGTGCCCAGATATTTTAAGATGACCACATTTTTGGGTACAGTTGACAAAATCCGTGTCGGGAAAGATTGCTGCATTCAACTTTCACCTCGCTTCCCTTCTCTTTTTCACTCGGACACAATATTCTAACTTTTTCTAACTCAAACTTTTTTCTCTGGGATTCTTTAAAAAGCGGTTTCCAAATGAGAGGTAATGTCATTTTCCTACACATGACCATTTTCCCTTCCTAATCTCAAACCACTTTTCTTTACTAACAGACTAGAATTCGCAGGATATGGAGTGTTGTCTGATCATTAAAACGTGGGGTAGATGGGGAAAAAATATGAATAAGAAACAAAATAATATCATTAAAGAATTGGATATTTATCATCATTATTTCCCCAATATCTATTTATTGACTTGTTTTGTTTGCAGTGTGTCGGTTTCTCATTGAAAAAAACAAGAATTACAATGGCAATGAATCGTTGCAATAACATTTAACTCTTAAGTACTCGTAGGACCAAACAGCACTTCACGGAACTGCTAGTGTGACTGAGGACACCCTTGAATTAAAAAATAACTTAACAGCAAACAAGTAATAACTTCCCAGCAGCTCAGATTACATACAGCATTGCAGAGTGTTGCTAATTTGATTGAAAAGAAAGGTGTGTGCGGAGATCCCCAGGCACTGGTATTAGTCATTGTGACTAGTATTGTCTGTGTGGTCACAACAAGAAAATAAACTCTCCAAGACACATATGTCAATCTCACAGCCCGCCGGGGGGCGTCCAGTGTATGAAATAAGGGCAAATGTGGACCATGTAGGTCAGGAATATCATTCATTTAAATATGAAAGAGTAAAAAGAAGTTGTTTGAAAGACGGTGAGATGTTGCTGACAGGGTGAGTGAGCAGGAGCCAGAACAAAGTTCCTGTGGAGATAGACATTATAGAATTTAAGAATACAATATTTCCCTCTCAAATGTAGTGAAGTAGAAATGCAAAAGAGCATATGTAAAATACATGCACCTAAAAAATACCAAAATAGGCAAAAATCAAGATGAACAGAAAGTGCTGTATTTCGCAATTGTTGGAGAAAAAGGAGAATGTAAACAGAAAAGGCACCGTACAATTTAACCCAGGGCGAGTGGTTACGCTAGATGGCGATGTTCCTCTTACACGTTGGTTTGTAACCAATCAGCGAAACTAAAAAGAGGAAGAAGAAGAACGCGTTTACTTCCGTGTAAAAGTTATGAATGACTCGTTCTGGCTCCGCCCTTTTGTGTAGCCGGCTAACTGTTAGCATCTGCATCTAAACTGACGGCTACTGCCACGATCAGGTTTTGTCCAAATGGATTACACACCAACTCAGAGCGGGTTCAGACAGCGTAAGTTACGTACGTGATTCTATCCATCAATTTGGTCTTTAATAAGAGCTAATATATCTGCTGGACGTGCACATTCTCTACTTGCTATTACCCCTCCGGAAAATGTCTTAACAAGGATTCAGCCGGTTTCGGCTAACGGCTAGCTAGATGACGTTGACCAACTGGTAAAAGCACAGACAATAAACATGTAGTTTATAGTTCCGCCACAGTCTAACGTCAGGTAATGTGGAAGAAATAATGCGCCAAATAAAGGGGGACCTTTGGCCTATAACTAGTCCCCAGAGGACTTCTAAACAGCAGGGTGTGTACATGCTAACTAGCTTGCCTACGTCACAGGTAGCTAGGCTAGCTGCGGGTAACCTGAGTTCCTGAGCCGGGGTCACTCGGGGGCGTTACATGTCTCTTGGTCCCTTCTGTGTGCTATTTTTACTATTTTTGACTATTTTAATGCTCGTTGCCTAATGGTTTGTTTCTAGTGTTCAATCTAGGTTAGACTTTGGGACTTGATGGGTTTGTGTTTGTGTTTTTTATCGACTCCATCCATAAGCAGAATGTTGGACGTGTTTAAAGGCCACTGCCAATATATTTGCTTTAACGACACATCAAGTCCTCACAGCGAGGGTATCCGTACATCACCAAATGTAAACGAGCACATCAGAACAATGTTGACAGACTGTTTGAGAAGGTTTACACATTTTGAGTTTGCTTAAAGATGTTGGCTCTTCTGTGTTGGGACCTTATTCTTTGCCATTTAGGGAAAGGAGGTTTAAACTAAAACCGTCTCGTGAGGGATGATGTAATCCGCCCTTGTGATAAAGCGTGTGATGAGGTTATTACTCCCTCAGGTGACGGATATAAAGAGATCTTTCTCCTGCACGAGGCATTCACACAGGGATTGGTGGATCCGTGACAGAATCAAAGTCTATTCTCTACACAAAGTGTTGCATTTCATATGTAACCGGTTTCATGTAACTGTGGATGCCTTGCATTTGCATCCTATAACATTTTTGCAAGCTCTACATATGTAAGTGATTGAAGAGGTCTAGAGGTCTGTTTGACACGACTCCCTCCTCTCTTCCAGAGCCCAATATGCGTCTGAGGAGCCCCGTGGACGGCTTACAGGGCAGCCAGCTGTTTGAGGATACGAGTGGAGCTGCACACGGACTGCACAGAGGGTACAAGTTGGAACAAGGCTGATGTTTTAAATATATGTATTGTCTTATTGTACTTTGTTACTATGATTTGGCACTACATAAAAAAAACAGTTATTTTTGGCAATCAGACAAATATAATTTTGAGTCCACTCATAAGATATCTGACTTTATGCATGTATTTATTTTAGCTGACACATGGATCATTTACTTTTTTCTTCTTCTTGTGATGTATTTGCAGCAACCAGCAGGCCGGGCCTCAAGCAGCAGGGCTTTCCAGCCAGTCCATCCTGTCAGACCCCATGTCCAACATGGCCTTGGCATACGGAAGCTCACTAGCATCCCAGGGAAGGGAAATGGTGGACAAGAATGTAAGGCCGAGTCATTAACATCTTTTATTATTGCTTTCCAGAAATGAAGCGTAAGCCAGTTAATACATTAGGTCAAGGCTGGTGTAGCCTGAATAACGCGTGTGTCTGTGTGCTTGCTTGTTTCAGCTGGACAGGTTCATCCCAATTTCTAAGATGAAATATTACTTTGCTGTGGATACAGTGTACGTTGGGAAGAAGCTGGGCCTTCTAGTGTTCCCTTACATGCACGAGGTGAGTTTGTTTGCACCTTCTACACATACATGTTTCTGTATGATATGCCGCTTTGCACCACTAGAGGGGATCCTGCGCATGTGAGGCTTTCCTTATATTCTTATCTTCCTGTTTGTAGTTTCAATTTATTGGTGGAAATAAATAATCCAGGATATCAATGCGGTATAGCTATGCTACGAAATGATCTGTTTTGTTTTCTTTTGTCCGACGATGTCAAGTTGTAAGTGTGTGATCGTGTGTGTGTTGTAGAACTGGGAGGTGAGCTACCAGAAGGACACTCCTGTGGCTCCGCGCTTTGATGTGAACGCTCCCGATCTCTACATCCCCGCCATGGGCTTCATCACGTACGTCCTGGTGGCCGGACTGGCCCTCGGCACACAGAACAGGTGCATAATGACACACACGTCCGTGTTTTTAACAACAACACTGATACCAATTGTGAAAAAATGTTAATATGACTTACGATGCTTTATTTTCATTTTCCACCAACGCATTCTTAGTTTCTTTGCCAGCTTCATTTTATTATCTTCTTATTACAGAGTAAAAATGATTGAACATGCAAAATAATACCAATACAAATTGAATTAGTGGGTTGAAATTATCCTAAATTTGAAGTGGTTGTATATACTCTGGTAATTATGCACCACCTCTCAGTGACAGCACACTACATTTAACGTGTAATGGAGAATTCCATTCAGCGGTTCCCAAACTCAAGAATGCCACGGCCCACTTTGAAATCTGAAAATCTTTGGCGGCCCACCCAAACCTTTAATCACAACTCTGATCAAAACATAAACTATGGATGATTAAATGACCTTAATAATTTAACCGATTAAAAATGTATTAACCGACAATGTATGTTTGCCGGAGCTCATGTGCCGTGTTTTCCGCACAATAAGACCCATAAGATACTGCAGTCAAACGTTTGACGTCGGGGCGGGTGGATGAGGGGGGGATGTGGAGACGGTGCTTTCAGGGTCCGATTGATGCTGCGGGGTGCGTCCGCTCCCGCCGCCCCCCTCGCCATCCACGCCTTAAATCTTCAGCTGCTCTCCAGCCACGCCGCCTGCCAAGGGCTCCTTTTAGAATAACTTATTTTCCCTGTTAAGATGGTTCAGCTACTTTAAAGAAAAGGGCGCCGTCTCTCGCTCTTTAATCTCATGAAGTGCTCGGCGAGAACGACAGCTTTTTTTCTCCGACGCGCCCTGAAACAAGCTCCATATCTCACGTGCTTGAGCGCCGCTCAGCATCTCACCGTCGTAGACCGAGCTTTGGCGTGTTCAGCAGAGCGCCTTGAGCGCCGCGTACAACCAGTATGGATCAACCGATTAACCAATTGATCCGTATATGAGGCGCTCCGGATTATAAAGCGTATTTAAAGGCTTTTAAGTGCGCCTTGGAGTGTGGAAAATTCAGTATATTTACTTTAATACTACAAGAGGGCGCCCCATTTGACATTGTTTTGTTTGGCGGCGCCTTTTGTTGAACAACGACAGGCGGACTATGACAGCCGTTTCGAGCGAGAACCTTATAGTTTTATTAATCTGTTCGTTTAAATTGTTTGTGCTTCATCAATTAATGTTTTACATAAAGTGTCGCATCATAAATATTTTGACTTAACTTTTCAAAATTGAAAATTAAAAACCTTTTTATTTATTTATTGTAAATGACCTCTCGCGGCCCACACTTTGGGAATCGCTGCTATATATAAATCTAAAAACACTATAATATTGTCCGTCCTACAGGTTTTCTCCAGAGCTGCTGGGCGTTCAGGCCAGCTCGGCGTTGGTGTGGCTGATAATGGAAGTCCTGGCGGTCCTGCTGTCCCTCTACCTTGTGACCGTCAACACCGACCTCACGACCATTGACCTGCTGGCCTTTTCCGGCTATAAATATGTTGGGTAAGCAAAGCAGCGTTCTACGTTCCCTTTGTCATCACCGGGTCTGCTGCCCCTCTCCTCCTCTCAGTAGTGGCTGTGTGGATCTTAGACCTCACCTGTAAATGTGCGTGCGTCTCTCTTCTGTTTCCCCAGGATGATCGTAGGAGTCGTAGCGGGCCTGTTGTTTGGGAGGCCGGCGTACTACCTCGCTCTACTGTGGTGTTGTGCAGCCATCTTTGTCTTCATGGTGAGTATGCAAGCGTCTCCTAACTCGCAGTTCAAGTTGCTGATCTTGCTTGACGTAGTTTGCATTTTCAAATGATTAGAGACAACAGTCAAATGCTTTTAAACCACACGGAATTGTATTGTCTTTGTTACACATACTGATACACGCATCAGAGACACCTGCACATTCTAATGCAATTTAATTAAGTCTTTTTGTTTTTGGCCGACGTTTCTGGAAATGTGTTAATTAAATACTGTATACTATTACGGTCACAGCCAAGACGCGTCGCTTCAATGCTTGATTTGAATATTGAATTTGTGTCGCTCCTCAGATCAGGACCCTGCGTCTGAAGCTGTTGTCTGAGGCGGCGGCAGAGGGGAGACTGGTGAGAGGAACCAGGAACCAGCTGAGGATGTACCTCACCATGTCGATAGCAGCGGCACAGCCCGTCTTCATGTACTGGCTCACCTACCACCTCGTCAGATAAAACCCACACTCACCCATCGTGTAGATGGATGCCATCGTATCCACCTTCAACGCTCAAGAACACACACACACATAAGAGGAGCTGGACTTGTACGAAACGCACAACCGAAATTGTCTGGAAAATATCCCATCGCCTCGCAGACGTTGAGTCAGACGCACATCATGTGTCCATGGAGCCAAAGCAACGCGTGCTACATGGCGTTTAGTAGACGAGTGGAGGCACGGCTGCCTTTTCTCTCACAGCCCGCCGTCGTCAGTGTGTCTGTTTTTATGTAAAGTCCTCCATGTACAGAAATGTAAATGAGCTAGAAGTTGGTTTTCTATTCGTTGTAATTGTTTGTTGATTGTGTTTTTTTAGTAGTATTTAAGTATGCTTGCGTACAGCGAAAGTATTATCGTACACGTTGCTCTGGACTGATATTTAATGTGTTTTTTCTGAGCCGACTAAAGAAAGCACACTGACCTCATAGAAACCGTCCGTTTAATGACAAGAAAGAAGTCTAATGCAGGTTTGAAAATGTTTCCCGGCTGAGAGAAATACCTGTTTTGTCATTGTTGGATCTGGAAACGAGGGTCTTTTTTTCAAGAATAGAAACAACTGTTTATAAGCCACGACATGAAGGTGTAAAGGTCGCAAATAAATGTCAAGTTGACTATATATCCTTTTTAGAAACTGAGTAAATTATTTAGAGCTTTTCAAATTGAAAGATGAAAAAGACAACCGTGGTCTTTTTCCGGGAAAAGTATGTCAAATACTCTTGTGCTTGTAAAATAATCTAATGAGTTTTTTTTATGGTTGCCAATGTCAGATCAAACCAGGGTGGAATCACATTTATTTAAATTAAGTCTGGAAGCTTTTCAAAATTCAAGAATTTACATTTTCACCCAAATGTAATAATCATTGACGATTTTCATACACAATTGCCAATAAAACATTTTTCCAATTATTTTGATTGATTGAGTGCTCATTTAAATAGAAATCCTGAATTTGCAGCATCTCATTGCAACAGTTTTTTTTTAAATATCGTGGAAAAAGTAAACAATTCCTCACTGTCAGTTCTAAGCTTTCAGTCCACTCTATTACATTGACAATGACATGTGGTTAGAAATGAATAAATAAAATAACTTTCAAGCCAGTATTGAAGAAAAGTATATTGTGGGTTCAATAGGTTATTCATTTTGTGTTTTCCTTCATCACACAAACCCTGTCTCTTTTCTCTATAATTGTTAAAATATATGACTATATATATATATATATTGAAAGCTGAGGGACTTCATTCTGTAGTATCTACGTTCTTCCAGAAGCCTCTGTTGTGATTAATAGCCCTGAGAAGCCGGGTCTTCATCGTCCTCTCCACCGGGTACCTCTGGTACATGGGCAGTAAGAGCAGGCAGTGGCAGGTGAGGGATTCTGGCAGGTGGATCTCGGAGGAGTTGGGGAGGACAGCGACTCGCATCTTGATGCTCTCCATTCCCAGGAAGGGGACCCGGTCGCATCCTGTGACGAACACTGGCGACAAAAGCAAATTAAAAGACAACGACAAGACAAAACCTTCAAATGCTTCTCTTAGCTGGAATAGATAGAGACTTCCTCTTTACGCTTGAGTCAAACTTAACTAGACATATCAAGCACAATCACTGTATAATACTTACAAAGGAACTTTTTCTTTTCCTCTGCTGTCAGGTCCTCAAACACCTCCCAGAAGGTCACGATGGTTGGATGGAGGTCGTGGTATTCTCCTTCATAAACAGTGTTCTGTTTGGAAACACAGATGTGGATTTTACAATAGAATTAACAGGGTAGTTCTACGTCTTTACTCCATAACATTCGTCTGACAGCCAGTTGCCTACTTTTGTAATATGTCAAAGACTATTTGAGAGTGTTTCCCAAGTTGTGTGGCTTGTAAATCAAATTCAGCAACATGGTTTTCAATTTTATGTCCTATGTTAGTCTGTATTAATGGTTTGTTTAAAGTTATGCTGTGTGCTGATGAACATTAAATCACTTCTTGTTGTGTTCAGGTGGTAAAAACTGCTCATTTATTCCTGTTTTTGGATTCTTTCCTAATGTATTTTGGTTTTAAACAAGACTCCTATCTCTAAAATTAGTGCATAACAATAAATCCCGGGATCTTCATTTCTGACTCTTCGAGATACAAAAGGAAAAAGCTTTTTCGGGCGCACCTGCTTTAACACCTCCCAGTCGTAGTTTTCTTGGCCCACCGTCACTGATTGCAACTCCTCGGGCTGAAAGAACTCCACCACATCGATGTCACACACCTTGAAGAAGCCCTTCTTAAACGCTTCAAACACTCCCTCCACGGATTTGTTGAAGGCATAGTTGATGCAGGCGTCTACGAACTCTCTCCTGTGAAGAAAAATAGTCAAAAGATCCAGACAGACTAAATCTGTGCTGCTTTCAGATCGCATGTGTGTAATCGTACTTGTTTGTCCCCGTGACAAGTTTTCCAGGTTCCGTTGGATCAAGCTCAACGTCTTCACCCCCCCAGGGCATCTGTGAACAATAGTGAGCACAGCCAGAAACAATTAGAATATAGCAGAAACTCGTGCAGGCGTCACTCTGACTGTGCCTCAACAAACCTACAGCGAAAGGAAGCTCCATCGCTTCGACTTCATCGGGGGTGTAGTCCAACATGCACCTCCAAGACCTGAAGACAAAGGTGTCACCGATTAAGTGTTGCAAATAAAAACAACCAAACAGTTGTGCACAAAGTCCTTTCCAAAACAATAAATAAGTAGGAAATCTTACTCTGCCATGACAGGTTCAAACTCCTTCATGTCGTCCAGTGAGGGTTTGACTTTGAGCAGCTTCTTGAAGAGGACCAGCGGGAATGGCATGTGGATGATGTTGTGGTTGTAGAGAGCCAGTCCACACAGAACGCCAAACAGGAAGTAAGTCTTCTCCTCAACCTTTGGCTGGTTGGTTGATACCAAACACATGCATTCGATTAGGGACTATTGCCGTCTAAGTTTTCACAGGGCGATGAGGTCAAATGCACATTTTATGTTGCTGAAACACATTCAAGTTGTACAATCAACCTCATTTCCTCACACTTTTAAAAAGCACCAATATAGACCGATTCAATCAAGTTGAGGGATTTGTTCAGTGCTCACCAAAAGGGATTACCAAATGCAAGAATTGAATACATGTTTAGTATTGTATTTTCTGGTCCTACCTTGGGAGGAAACCAAGCCAGAGTGTTGCTCTCATTGTACATGATCATGTCAGACTCAGGAGCCGTCAGATCCTCAAACACGTGCAGGAAGAAGTCTCGTTTGTTGACGTTCATCAACTTCCGGTCGTCAGCAAATAACACCTAGGAAGGATTGAATAGAATCATCCGAATGTCCGTCACCGCAAACAGAATCACAATCCTCTCTAATGAACAGCTTTGTATTATTACTTGACTGAGAACTCGCCTTCACACAGTCCCGCTACAAGCAACACACACATTTTGAACTTTAGTGAAACTAAGATTGCGGAATAAGCCCTTTTAATAAATTGAAATATAAAGTAATGGCTCAGCGGGGATGCTGTGCTCACCAAGAGCTCCCTTTTGAAAGCGCAGTGGTCGGCGGCCGCGAGCTGCCTGAAGGTGTCCTCGACCAGGTGAGTTCGTCTCAGGGTGAGCTGGAAGACCGGGGCCGCCGATTCTGACACAGCCAACGGCAACGTCTCAGGACAGCCCGAGGCCATGCGATAAGCGATACGTTCTGCTTCCTGTAATCACACAACCCTTCTTTATAAAAGCATCGCACAGCCAGAAAGCTATTTTATTGAAATTATACAGTGCAAGTTAAATGTGTTGCTCAAATTAAGAAAAAAATGAAAGCCATATTATGCTGATTGCTATTTGTCGAGTTAATGATTTCAAATGGTCTGTTTTCCATCACATAGTGTACCTTCACAATGCTTGCAAAGATGTTAAAGGCCGCCGCCTTGTAAACCAGGGGGAGCAGGAACGGGTAGCGGCAGAAAATGGCGGGTCTGTTGTCGTCATCGTCCTTAAATATAAAGGTAATAATTTAAAAAAAAAATGTCCGTTAGAAAAGGTAGAGCACTCAGGAATAAGGTTCACTGCAACAATATCAACAGTTTATTCTTTGCTCTGTTTTTACCTCGGTCTTAAACTGAGTCCAAAGAGGGACATCCTGGAATGCGTTGACATTTGTACAGATTTCATCCACATAAAAGGTGCTCAGTGGGACTTTGTAAGACTTTCCAGTTTTGTTTGCCTGTGAAAAAAAATAGTAGTATCAGCCAAAAAGGACTTGCAAAACTGTCAGGCGATCAATAGTAAATAACGCTGTGAGACTGATGTTGATTCTGATCATCCTCAAAGCAGGATGATCAGAATCAACCAATTGGAAAATCCCTTAGCTGGATTCTTTGACCAGCACAGAGCTGAACCACCTCTAAACCCTATAATATAGATTATGGGTCCAAATCTGTTTTAAGAGCTTATTCCAAGGACAAATGATTTCCTTTTGTCTTCAACTCAAAAGTAGGTCGTAATAGTTGTGCCACTGAAGCCACTAGATTGGCTTCAGTTTGAAGATTGTAATAAAAACAGGCAGCACTGACTTTGTAGAGCAGCTTGAGGACTTCCAGCAGGTATTTGACTCCGGGGTTGTGAGTCGCCAGGAGTCCATTTCTCAGCATGAAGGCGAGGGCCTTTCTGAACACCACAATGTGTCTCATTAGTGTGGCGGGTTTCAGGGAAGACCACTTGCGTCCTGAAGATTGAAAAAACAAAACAATGTCGGACTTACACGGGTACGTGGAGATCACACAGAGACAAGTTTGACAACCTACTGCATCTGAAGCATTTAGCTCCTTCTTTAAGTTATTAATCTGGAACAATTAACGATTGGAACGATTGGGGACGGTTGTGTTCGTTGCGTTTGGTTTTGCTGATAAAAAAAAGTGTATTCATGCTATTAAACTGAAACCTATTAGAAAATGTTCTCAACCTTTAAGTCAATTACTTGCTATGTCTTTTTGAGGTTATGTTTTGTAACATCTGCAAACATAATTAAAACAAAATTAAAACAAACTTTATTAAAATGATTTAAATTGTAGGGAAGATAATAAACAAAAAACTGACGATAGGTTAATATAGGTTAGTGTAATGTTACATATTTGATCTGTAAGGCAATATTGAATATTTAGTGAGATTTGTCAAAAGCGTAGAGTAAGCTCAAGGAGCATCATGTTTTCCCACAGCTGTCAATAAAATAATACAAAAGTTAATCTTTGCTGTAGTTGTTTACTCAGTATTTCCAGAGTCTTCTCTTGCAGATCTGCGATGATGATCGCCAGCGGCAACACGACAGTCATCACACTGGAGTCCTCTTGGAAAAGGCGACACGTCAGCAGAACCAAGAGGATCTCCGGGGATTTTAGGGCAGTTCTTGATGCAAAAAGCAACTCAAGCAGGTAATTAAACTGGACCTGCATAGAAAATACATATATGATGGAAATGTTCACACGGCATCTAATCTAAATCCCTTTAATCTACCAGATTAAAGCCGGGTAAATTATTATAGAAGGGCTTTCCTCATTTATTCAACGGTTAAACCAACAGAATAAATGAGCTGCGGGATGCATGCAAATAGTGACATCGATGTGCATTACGTGTTGTTTGATCCATGGTGTTGCCAGCAGCAGGTCGAACGCTCTGGCGGCTGCGTCGAGGTCCACAGATAAGACGTCTGCCGCGGACGGAGGCCCGCTGACGCCAAAAGCAAAACATTAGAACAAAGTAGTTTGATTCTCAAGCTGCCTCTCATAATATTAACATTATTGCTGAGTTGGCAACTAAAGGAGTGAACAAAAGTAAAAAGGACTCACGCAGACTTTGTGAAACTTGCAACCAGACTGGAACTCGTCAGAAACATTGAAGATATTTCTCTGTTGAATTAACACAGAGGGTACGTTACAAACACTGTTACTGTTTCAGTTGTGCAGCTACATAATTAAAAACACGATGCAGATATGAAAAAAGGACCTCTTTGCCTCTGCGTTGCCATGTCTCATCAACAGCCATTTTTGCAGTTTTGCTTCATCAAGACGCCCGGTTATCTGTCCCCGGTCCACGCTCTTAAATGACAGATTTTAATCATTTTATTTCAAAGTTCAAGGTTTAAACAGTTTAACACAAATGTTTGTATTCTTAACTTATCAAATCCGGGTATATTTATTCTGAAATCCGGAAGAACAATGAGTCTTTATCAGAGGTTTGCGTTACCTGTGTCGGCAAAGTGAAAGTGAAGTTTGTGTTCCACCCAGCTGATATTTGCAAGTCTGCTTGAACAAATAAAACATATTCACAATCAGCATTTAAATCTGCTCATATAACTGTTGAAGAAAAAGTACCATCTTCCACCTCAAAACTTGGACCAATGTTCTTTGGCAGACATGTAACATCCTCACATGCATCTCCTGGGATAGTTAAGCAACATCCTTTCTACAGATGCAAACCTGTGGGTACGGCGGCTGCGCTGTCAGTGGTCCATGGCAATTGTACCAGAGTGGGGGTTAGACTGTCCTCTGGCCTTCCAGTCCCCATTTGACCTTTGGATCCATTGCCAAAAGCCCACAGCTGGCCAGAGGTGCCCAAAACCAGAGTGTGACGTCTGAGAGACAAAAACAACTGTGATTTTTATGTTGCAATTCATGAAGTCAAAGTATTTCAACCAGGCGTCCCAAGTTATATATTCATATATGATTTTACGATGCCAAAATAAAGGGACAGCAAAGATGCCAACAGACATTAAATCACATGGGCATTTTCTGTAGGTGTCGTCAAGATGCAAAGGCCTTTTTTCCTGGTTTTCACCTGCCACATGAAATCTGAGAGGCGGATCCGTCGAGACGGTCGACCAGCCGGGGAGTCACTTCATCAGCAGAGGAGTCGTGACCGAGCTGACCGCAGCTTCCCTCTCCAAAAGTGAAAACCTCGCCCTCCTAGACACGGCAGTGGAACACAAGATCACGTACGGCGACGTGCCGGGACTCTTCGTCATCTTTACGGAGTGATGTTCAGTGATTGAACTAAGTCGGAAGATGTATTTCGTACCTGTGTTAACACAGCGGAGTGCGCCTCTCCACAGCTTATGAAGGAGACACCCAGAGGCCTCAGGGCAGGTACCATACAGATGTTGAACCTGCCTGTTAAAGATTATGGGAAATGGAACAAAACAAAGGTGCTGACCAAAAAATTGTACATTTAGTAATCGCAGAAAAATAAGGACGGAATACAGTAAAAAAAAAAAAAAAAAAAGTTCACTTTGTATGAACACACAAAGGGAACTTTTTGCCTGCAGCTGGTGCAGATTGGCGCGACATCGACCGATCGGCTCCGCTTCGGTATTCTGACAAAAGTGAGTGAGTGAAAGAAGAAAATGTGTACCCTTCTCATCCACCCTGTTGAGCCCCAGCTGGCCAGATTGATTGGCCCCACAGCAGTACACCAGGCCTGGGAGCGTGAGGAACAGAGTGTGGGACGCTCCGGCCGAAATCTGGGTGACCGCCACGCCGACCAGAGCGCAGACCAGGTCTGGTACGAGCTGCAGCGGAACCTCCTTCCCCAGGCCCAGCTGACCGTGACTGTTCAAGCCCCAAGAGAAGACGTCGCCTCCTTTAAGTGGGAAAATAAAGATTAGAAAACATTTAATATCTATAAAGTTTATTAAACAGGTCAGGAAGCTGGTACCGGTACCCGCTTGGATGATGAGTGCCAAAGTGGAGGAATGTAAAAGGTCTTTTTCTCAAGATGACTTCATTTGTAAACCTGCAGCTGTGTTTTCTTGAAGCTCTTAACTAAAGTACATTTACTTTGCACGCTGTCATGCCTGAGGGGAATGGCAAAACTGGATTTGGCACATTGATATAGTGGCATATAAAAACCAAAAACGTTGCTACGTTACACATGAGTAAACATTACAAGTTACCTTTAGTTAGCGCCAGGGAGTGGGAGCTCCCACAAGCAACTTGAATCACCGGTATCGGCAGAGGCATCGTCACCCGACTGCAGGTTGATCAGACAGTAATCCGTTAACTTTAAAAAGGCTTTGCTTACTTTCAGCGGCAAGCGTGAACACGTGTTCCATACAGTGAAACCTCGCCTCAGTTTGTTGCAGAGAAGATTTGGTGAAACGCCTCGCTTTCCGCCGTCTCCGGCCCCCCAGGAGAACACCTGTCCAGATGCACACACAGCCAGGCAGTGGTCCTGACCGCAGGCTATGAAGACCACTTTGCCCAGCCCCTCCACCCGACCTTACACAGGAGGACAGGCAGGGGACAGGTTGACAAACGTGGTACATTCAATCTAGGACACACGCAGATTTCATGTCCCGAGCGGTGATCTTATCTCAACTGACACGTCATACACACAACTTGTGTACAAAGGATGCAGGTGTAGTGTTGTGTTGTTTTGACCAAACCCTCCCTTCTTATCACGACGTGACATTTTCCAACATTGCTTAAAATGTGTTATAATATATACAAAGTAGAACGAGTGACGTTGCTTAAGAACAATAGTGGGACGTAAATGTGACTTATTTTTAGTCACTTGAGTATTTTAATTTTAAGATAATTTATACCTTCAACTAAATACATTTAAAAGATGCAGCACGTTACTTTCAAAAGAAGATTTCCCATCAAAACATGAAATCAGCAGTTAACTGTAATAAAATAACTGCACGATAAGTAATAGATTGTATAATTATAGTCATTATCAGTAATAGTCGCAATGTCTGTTATCAAGAGTGCAGTAGAATAAATCATTTGACTTCAATGGTCTTAATATTTCTAATAACGCAACGTAATCTGTTGATCACGTATACAAACTTTTAATTCATAATATTAATGTCGATCATTTCCGGCATCACTCGAACTCAACGCAAGATATAAGCCTCAGTTAACTTTCCTTAAGAGAGAAACGAAACCGAAACTTAATCAGCTTGCGCTTTGTGTTGTTATTGTTATTATTGTTATATTGGTATTCAAGGAATGCAATTTCGACTCAGTGGCTCTCAGCAAACACTGTTTCGTGTCGCCACCGATCCTGCTTTAAACCCAACAGTCCCCAGAGGCGACTTCTGTTTTAACATCACCTGGCGTCTTTCCATCCTTATTCGCCGTCTTTCGTCCAAGTTGTCCCCGCGAGTTGTGTCCACAGGACAAAACGCCTCCGTTCCCGGTGAGGAATAAAGTGCACTGGTCCCCGCAGCAGATCTGGGTAATGACCCCGGGCACCGTCCACGAAGCCGGACTCAGGGCGTCCCGGGGACCGAACTGTCCGCTGGCGCTGTCTCCCCAGCAGAGCAGCCGCGACATGTCTCCGCTCAGTGGGACTGGAGCGGCTGCTTAAGGCGGCTTTTTATCTCGCGGGGTGCTGCCTTCACGTGCTGCCGGCGGTCTTTACAAGATGGGAATAAATATGCCCCGCGGCTATTTGTTCTTTGCTGGTGTGGTAGCATATTGAGTTAGTGTATAACGTGATAATTAACTCTGTGTTTAGGTGTAGTTATTAACGTACTTTCGACCAAAGACAAGCAATAGGGCACGACCAACAGGATGTACGATATAAGTACTGGAAATTACGACGTTATTATGAAGCAGGGAAGGCAGCATGAGACTAAAAGAGAATGTCAGAAAGACATTCTAAACAATTTAAACTCACAGCCATTAACAGACAGTGGACATTTCTGGAAATACGATTTTAATTATAGTTCTTACAAATACAAAATGTGAAGCCGGCAGATCAAAGTGTAATATATTGTTCAATACATACATACTGTACATACATACATACATACAGTACATACGTACAATACATACAAAAGGATATCAAGACATTGACACCAAACTATTCAATAACTACCAAAAAAATACAAAATGTGTTGACAATCAAATCAGTAGCTATGTCTCAAAGTGCTCAGGTATTGGTTTTGCTTTCACAATAATGAAACTGAAATGAAACAGAAAGACCTGGTTTGCATCCACACTGTGAGTGAGCGCAGACCCAACCCTGGTTGAAGTGCAAGTCATTCGAGTTTGACACCCCTGATCTAATCATGTAATCTTGACTCGACTGCCTGAAACCGAAACAAATTTCCATGCAGTATTTATTTATTTATTTATATATCACTATAAAGCATGTTGTATTCACAAATCATGTGCCATCACCATCAAAGCCATGTAATATTGGCGCTTGCTTGCCCTAAGCAACTGAGCGGTCCGTCGAAGGCGCATCGCTTCGACCGACCGCTCGCCTTCTCTCTGCCCTCGGGTGACTCTTCCCCGTCTAAAATAGAGTAGACTCCCACAGAGCCGTCCTCAAATCCCACGAACACGCGCCGCCGCTCACACACCACCAGGGCCGATGGGCTCTTGGCCAGACGCACGCTTCCTATTCTCTCCCCGTCCGCCAGGCGGACAACCGCGAGGACGGCCTCTTCCCGCGGGAGGCGGGCGCGGTCCTTCACGTGGGCGGCGGCTGCGGCACGGCACACGTAGGCAACGTAGCGTCCGCTTCCATCCAAATGGACTTTGACGACTGGCCCCTCGGCCTCGAACGAGCACAGTCTGACCCGGGACAAGTCCAGGAGGTTGACGGCCTCGTCATCAGCGGACAGCAGGGCGTAGCTCCCGTCGGAGGACACCTGGAAGTCTCGCGGCTGACAGCGGAACCCGCGCGGCAGCTGGAAGTGCTCGTACAGCGTCTCCTCCGACACGTTCCAGGTGTACACGGCCCCCGAGGCGGCCATCACCACCACGAAGTCGGGGTGCTCCGAAAGCGTGTGGAAGGCGACGACGCGCTCCGAGCCGACGACGCGGGAGAAGCGCTTGCTGACGGAGCCGGACCACAGGCTGGCGGCCAACAGGTCTCCGCGGCGGCGGCCGATGAGGAAGGTGCTCGCCGGCGACACCTTGGCGTCGGACAGGTACGGGTGTATGCTGCACACAACGCCGCCGTGCGCCAGCTTCCAAACGCGAGACAACCCTCGCTCGGAAACGCTGACCCCGAAGTTGCCGTTGGGGGCGATCAGGACGTCCGTCGCCGCGCTGCCGCTCACGCGCAGGACGTTCTGACCGCTGCCGGTCCGCCAGACGTAAATGTCCCCCGCTGAGAGCGTCACGAGGTGAACGCCATCCGGGGAGAGGCGGAGCTTTTCCACGGCCCCGTGATGTAGGAATTTAGCGTGCGGCAGTCCGGTTCCCCACCCCCATCTCCACACCGCGCGCGACCCGTCAGAGGTGTAGAAAAACTCCCCCGTCCGCTCAACCGCCACCTCTTTCACGGCGAGGCCCATCTTGGGAGCCGCGGCCGCGGCCTCGATTGTCTCGGAGTCCCACGCGGTGGCGCCATCGCCGTCGTCGACGCCCACGACGCAGGAGGCCGTCGCGAGGAGCGCGCGGGGCGGCCGGCTCGTCTCTAAGGAGAGGACACACTGCCCCGTGCTGACGCTCCACACCAAGACGGAGGGACAGGCGTCCAACAACGCCAGGAACAGGCGGCCGCCTCGGGAGAGTAGAGCCCGAGCGAAGGTCTTCCCCGGCGGAGCGAGGAACTGGTCCCACGGCTCCCAGTCACATGTGTCCCACAGTACCACCTGGTGAGATTGACACATCAATAAGGTGCCACATCCGTGGGAGTAGTCGATATTGAGGACGTCGTTAGATTCACCCCCAACGAAGCTTTCTGCGACAAGTCTGGGTGGGTTTATTTTGGATGCTACATCCCACAGGCTTACACCTCCTGTCCTGTCCACACAAGTCATTTCCCACTCGTCGTCACACAGGATTATCGATTTAATTGCGTTGAGGTTTGAGTTGGAGCAAGTGCCCAGGAGGCTGCCGGTGTTGGTGTCAAATATGGCCACGGTGCCTTCCTCCTGCCCGCAGTACATGTAAACGCCACTAGAGGAGCAAGCCAAGCAGGTCACGGCGCTGTGACACTGGAAATGTGTCATGGTTTCATTGGAGACATCGAACGCGCTCACGAAACTCTCCCCTTTCCACCACATGAATACACTTTTCTGAGATGCAACAAACCCCTCGACTCCGTTTGCCGCGTTTCGGCTCGACTCTGCGGTGACCTGCAGAAACGTTTCTGGGCCTGTCACGTCCCACAAGAGAAGCTTGTCGCATTGCGTGGAAAACAGTATGAAATGGCCGCTGCTTTTTAATCCAGTAAATGTCAGCTCCTTCTGCTCACAGATCAGTGATAGTCTGACCACATCCCACCCGGAGCCTTTCCAAATCCAAGCCGTGCCGTCATCCAGGATCTGCACGACCACCCCCGACTCTGTCCCAGCTGCCTCTCTGACCGAGACGTTCTTGGTTTTGGCATTAAATGTTAAACGCCGAACGGAGGGAACGGTTAACTGAGCAGGGCAGAGCAACACTCCCAATCCGCGTCCTCTCCTCCTTCTCTCCCGTCCGATCTCTCTTGCATAACCTTGGAGCCCAGGAAAGACCTCCAGATAAGGCAGGAGGTTTGCCTCCATCACAGAGGGCAGGTGCAGGGGTGAGTTCTGCAGAAAGCAAGCACAAGACTTCAGTACGCCCGCCAGCAGGGCTCTTTCCCTCGGAAAAACCAAGTGGGGTGACCCTTCCTCACTTTCCAACATGGCTACCAGCTCTCCCAGTAGTCCTGCTCGAACCATTGCCTGGTGGAATACCAAAGACATCAACAGCCCGCGCTCCAACTCCCCCCATCGGCCGCTTTCTCGCAGGTGATGCGGCAACTCTAGGACCTTCCTCAAGTTCACCCGGCCAACCTCTTCGGATGAAGAGGAGAAGACGAACGGCTGGCTGTTTGTTTCTACACTCTGTGGCTCCCTGGATGTGTGCGATTCCGTACGGGCGACGTCCCGCTTCTCGTCCTGGTTTCCACCACAAGGCAACCGGCCGCTGAAGTAGTCCGCCATCGCCGAGTGCAGCTCCCTCTCCGCCTCGCGGGTGGCCAAACACCTCTTAGCCACCACCAGCTTGAAATGCCTGCTCACCCAGAACAAAACGCGTGACCCTGCAACCGTCCTCCTGATGAGGAACCTCCTCAGATCCAACAAAAGGGTCTCCACGGCGACCTGCGGGATACACCGGACGCGCTCGGTCAGCACTCCGGGGTCAGCGGACAGCAGGTCGACGAGCTCGACCTCGGTGAGGCCGGTCCTGGAGAGGGTGAGGTAGGAGACGGCACGGGCGACGACGCAGGAGCCGTGTTTCTGCTCGAGGTGGTCGAGCAGCGCGGAAATGGACGAGTGGACGCCCGCAGGGAGAGACGACTCGGTCACGTCTGAATCTGATGACGGGGGAGGAAAGGGGGACAGGAGGAGAGAAATGGAATCAATCAACAATTTATTTAAATGCTGGTCAAATATCCGTTTTTAATGCATTGGACAATGCCATATTTAAATATAGTAAATGCATATGTCCACTAATTTTGTATGCAATAAAGTCTCATCAATAATTCTTGCAACAACCTTATGGGGCCTCAAGGTGTCACCCGGCAAAAAATTGTCATCATTTGTAGTATATAGTTCTAAAAAGCTATTTTCTAAAAAGATTTGAGTTGTACCAGAGTGCCACAGCGAGGTGTGTAGGTGCAAGAGACGAGCGTAGAGCGTCAGAGGACAGGAAGTCAGCGCCCGGTTCACCAGCGCCTGTTGTCCCGATGTCACCCTCCTCCCGGAACTGCTGAGCAGTGAGGCCAACATCTTCCCACACGGCCTCCTGTCCACCGGTCCCAGCTGAACGCACGCGTATCCGGACCCCTCACCGGCGTGGGGGGGACTTCTTGGTGGGTTTATGGCTTGCAGGACTTGTTTTCGGTTGGAGGACACTGTGAGGACGAGTTTGACGCTGGGAGGAAGGGGACACGGGAGGCTCTCTAAGATCTGGGCGCCTGCGTTGTTTTCCATGTGAGCCAGGCCGTCGAGGACTAGAACTAGAGGTTGTTCGGCAGAGGGCATGGAGGCGAGGAGGGACGAGAGACGCTCTTGTAGCTCGGACGAACAAATGTTAAGGTTGTCCATGTGGGCGGTGCTCTGCTCAGAGGAAGATTCGCTGTGATATCGAACCCCAATTTGGTAACAAAGGCACGACAGCAGGTGTGTCGGGGTAGGGTTGATTGACAGGTCGCAGAAATAAGTGATCACCACAGGATCGCAGTCCGGTAGCCATGACCTCATCTGTAGAGAGACAGAGAGACAAAACCCTTCTTTACATGTAGTCGAGAGCATGTAGTAAATTCCTGTATCGCTGTGTATCTTAATGTCTAGTCTTGGTCGAATTAATTATTATTACAACGCTACACTTCCATTCAACTTACGTTTTGCTGTTTCTTTGAGTATAGTTGCAATTAACGATTAGGGTCATCATCAGTTACTGTAATCTGAAGATTTTTGTCTAAAGGGTTTTGTCTGTACCATCAATATCAATAATTACAATATTTGTATCTCTGTTCAACGGTCAAGAAATAAAAAAACAAAACCGAAAATATTTATATTTTAAATGCTATAGTCACCGAATTATATCAATTTGGGCGTTAAACAATAAACAATTCAATTGATTATTAAAAAAAGTTATGTGAATACAGAAATAAAATCATACATATAATGTAATACAAAAAAACGAAATATTTAATTCTTGGTTGGTTTTCACTATTAAGTGCTTCCAGAAAGGAAGATGAATTGTATATACAAATAAGATGGACAAGAATAATAATAAATAATGAATATTCCCCTTAAAAAAGAAAAGAGAATACTTACTACTGGCTCAATTATGCATTTGTACCCAGTATTGGTGGAGGGACGTCAGATCTTATGTGAGTTTCTTACCTGCACACTGCGCTCACTTACCTGTTGAGCGCAGTGTGCAAGCAGAACCGTCTTCCCTGTGCACGGTCCTCCTGTCACCACTAGTGGGCGCTGTTGCCCGCTCTGCTGCACGAAGTCTCTGACCTGCAGCAGATAAAAAGAAATCTCAAATGATGCAATGTTGCACCTGGAATGTTTGCTTCGACCAGAATATCACAACACAGGGAAACGGATCACAGAATATCCCCAAAGTGACTTTTAATTAGTGCAAAAAGGCCCTATTGAAATATAACACTATAAGCAGTTAAAAGGACCCTTTCAACCTGACCTTTTCCTCCTCTGGCCTGATGACGTCATAAAGTCGGGACAGGGTGTCACACAGCTCCTCCTGCTCTGCCTGCTCTCTGGCCAAGACGTCACCAGAGACTTCTGAGATGCTCCAGCCGTCCGTCAACACCACAAGGTCAGAGTACACCTGCTGGCATAAAGACTCGGCATAGCCTCGCCTCCTGGCTTTGGTGTAACCATGGCGACAGTCACACTTTGTAGTGGTGGTGTAGACTATAAGCTGAGAGGTTGTGATGAGACCCGGGAGGAAGTTGTCACAAAGCTCCGACAATAACTGTGACTCGATGGCCGTCGTCCTTGGGTCAAAGGTAGCGGCCTAAAAATACACAATATGGAGGGAAAAAAACATATTTAAATCAAGTATGTTACAACCTGCATTTGGGTTTGTTGGGGGAAACAAAGAGAATTCGACGGATGTTTCTCACCTCTTCCTGCCGCTCCACCTGTCTCCTTTCTGACCCTCCTTCTGCGCCGACGACCCTGTGGACGTACACCAGACAGCGTCTGATGATGTCATCAAGAGGACGGTCGTCCAAAGCAAATCTCACATCTGCGTCGACGGCTGGAGCGAAGCAGCGAAGCGGTTATTCAATTAAACCTTCAGGCGACACGCCTCCACACACACACAGAGAGAGACGCGTGTAGCTCACCTGATCTGGAGAAGCCACGAGCCCTCTCTGCGCTCAGAACACCACTGTGGACACAACGACTCACAGCGGTCCAGAACTGCTTCCTCAACTCCTCTTCTTCAGCCTTCATCCTCATCGCCTCTTCCTCTTTAACCGCTGCCGGCTAAACAGCAAGCAGAGCGTCACATTCTAATAGTTGTGATTAAAGAAATCAACATTATTTTACGTGTAAAATATCATCGCACTGACTATATAAATACAAGGTTATCTTATGTAACAGTTAGTGCAGACGGATATCCAAGGATATACAAGTATTCATATTTTTAAATGCTTAATAGGATCTTTCTTTAGGTCAAACACTAATCAATGAGTACTTCTTGTTTGCTTCGAGCTCTCAGGCGGTAGGAGGGCGGGACGGCGTTCTCGTCCCTCTGGTACTGTCTCTCCAGCTCCAGGGTGCTGACGCCCGCTCGCTGGCTCTCCTGCAGCAGCAGCTGGTACTCTGACACCTCCACCTGGGGGGGCAGGCTGGCTGTGCCGTACTGATGTCCTACCAGGGCCTGCAACGCCGCCGTGTGGACACACAAGGAACAACAGGATGGGATGAATCCTTTACTGATCTCTCTCTCTCTATATATATATATATATATATATATATATAGAGAGAGAGAGAGAGATATATATATTCATTAAGCTCAACAGGCAGCGGATGGTTAACGAACAAATATGTAGATTGTTTACCAGCAAAAAAGGCCCTGCGGAGCTTTTTCTGCATTCTTTAATCAGCTGCTGTCTGGTGTATTCGTCTGGCCAATGACATGGATCAATGGACTCAAATGGGTCTATCACCTACACACACATAGACACACACACACACACACACACACACAGCGGTTAACAGTCTAAAAGAGAAACGATGAAATGCACACAGTGAGGTGCATTAACAATTGGCCAGGTGGGGGCTCAGTAACATGCACTATTCTTCCATCTCTCTAGTTACACATGCAGCTGAAAGGAGAGGGCACAATGAGCCGGTCAAACTGCCCCGGGGTGATTTCATACAATGACACCCTATGCACACTGGGTCGCGTTAAAGATTCTCATTCTCTATTTTTCATATTGAATAAGGTGAATTTGAGAAGATTGATCTTTAAGAGAATGGCTTAAGGTGGATAATGTGAGAGAATAAAGGACATGTGTGCACCCGGGCAACTAGATTCAAATAATATTGTTTTAGTATCCCAGTGTTGTAAGTAAGCAATGTCACACAGCAGATTCCGTTTCCATTATATTCATTAAAAAAAGACACTATTAAACACATGAATTCAAACCAAACTCAGAAAGTTGAGATGATATATGCAGCCTAACTTTGCAGATGAACACGTAAAAGGAGGGCAAGGATGTTTATGGTTAAAAGAAGACAAAAAATAAGTAATCACGTCCTGTCTGCAATAAACAACACAAACCGGTGTCGCTGGTGTGTTTCTGTGCGGATTTAAGTGTGTGTACTCACCCGGACGTCCCGTCCCAGTGTTTTTCTACAGTGCTCTCTGAGTTGGGGGAAAACACGCTCCCTCAGAGCTCTGCGCTCCACCGTGCTGTCTGTACAGAGCAGAAAGAAAAACTAACACAACGATTCACAAAACACCAACAAAAAAAAGATGCGCAAACAATATAGATATGCAACGTGCATGTGCACATATGCTTGCATGCATCGTTTGCCTCTTACGTACCCTCTGGGTTGGAGCACAGATAGAGTTTAACGCAGGTGGATTCTGAAGGAGGACGGTCCATTTCTCCTCCTGTTGGGAGCATAACAAATCGCTTCGTTGAGGTAAAATAACTTGAGTCAATGGCCCAAATCAAATCTTCACAGTTGCTGCGTTGCTGCTCGTTTCCCCGGCTGCTCCACTCAGGAAACTCCGGCCTGGCTGTTTATGGCGTGTTATCGCGATCACACCCACTTCCAGTGACCAGAACGTCTCTGAAACGAACACACGGACTTACAAACACCATTTAAAAAAAACCTTTGTGTACATAACCAAATATGCAGGACAGGTGTGTAACTCACACACACACAATTAGACCTCCAGAATAACAAAAGACCCCAATTTTTCAATATTTTTTTAATTAATTAACATTTGTACACAATAAATACAAACTTTGTTTTTTTTTTTGTACAGCCAATAATAATATGCAGAAAGACTTTTTGCACCTGTTCTCATTATTGTCACCATGGCAACGGTCTGTGAAGAGAGAAGGCCAGTTGTTCCACCGGGTCGTTAAAAGCAGCAGCATTGTTGCTGCTTCAACTCGAAGGATGAAAAATAAAAGAATGATATCAAGGCTCATCGGCTCATTCTAAAGCTCAACGCTGTAGAAACCAGAGGGAGACTTAAAAAGGGAAGTCATCATGTTCAACATGGCAACTGGCAACAAAAAGTAATACATTTTGTATTTGATAGAAAGACGGCGGCGGTGGGAAGTGCTACGGCAAGTTTGAAAACTCCTATAAATGAGAAGTTAGTTAGCTGACCACACTGTCACAAGTCAATGAGGTTTGCAACTGTAATTCTCTGCTATGCTTAATGAAGCTCATGAAAAATAATATTAATAGGACTCTTTCATTTCTGGCATCTCTTCAGACATAATTCACCTCTACTGAGCCAAGAGGAAAACAATCAATTTGAGACTTCATTGGATTGTTTCTCTTCTTCTTACGCTGTAACCCTGACAACACTAAACACAATGTACTCGATAACGGAGTTCATGATGTAGTAGAAATTATAATACATTACAGCTGCGTATCAAGAATGAACACCGCAACTTTGGAGCATGATTCATACTTTTAGGAACAAAGAGAAATAAACGGATTGAAAACTTTTGTTTCCCTTAAAATGTCTGTTGCTGCCTCCCAACAGGGAGCAAAACTTAGATTTAACTGTTACTACTTCTTCTCTTATGTGTTGCATTTTGGACCAATATTGTCCAGCAACACACATCAATGAAAACACCTTTATCACATTTCATTGTCCAAAAGTATCCCTCCATCTTTTTGAAAGAGTGGAGAATAAAACAAGACGAGATATTCAGTCACACTGAAATAAAGAGGTTTCACTGTATTAATCTGCAGTGCTTCATTCTGACTTTTCACGGGAGGTACAAATAAATAAAAGTGCTACGCTGCCCTTTAGGCAAGGAGTTTTAAAGGCTTAAAGGTTATGGAGCGCGGAGTGGGGGTTATTTACTTTGAGTAAATAACAGAATTGTACTTATCTCCTTTTTAATGTCATTTTCTATTTCTGTCCATTTAGCATATTGACTTTGTTTTAATTTGTTCTTTTCTGTTTTTACCATCATTAATCAAAACATACGGATAATAGGAAATATTAGAGGTTAATTTGTTTTTTAAAGGTTGTTTTCTCTTCTGCATAAAAAACTAAATAAAAAACAGACAAACTCAGTGACGTCATAGAGTTGCTTTGCCAAACAGAGAAAAATAATACCTGCAAATGTAATGTGCGTCAACTAAACAAGGATATAGAGCAGAGGTGATCTAAATCAGCTAAATCAACGTGATATGAGATATGGCCTGTAGGGATAAAAGCTGTACAGTTAATTCTGTGTTTGATAGAAAACTCCTGACCCCAAATACGATGAGCGTCTATACCATCTGAAATAAAATCTTTGTTGTCGCCACATAGTGAATACCAGCAACGCCTCTGAAAAGCACCGTCTGCCTCCTTCCGTGAGACGAGCACACGGCAGGTCACGGAAGGAGATAATATATAGTCGTGTGCGCGTGATAAAACGTAACAGAATGTGTGTATATCATCGATTCACACCACATGCCAATGAACAAAATAGAGATTAGAGAAGAGATTGTATGAAAAGCCGACGGGAGGATCCAGCCTCCGTTTTCTCTCTTGTTCTTCCATCTCCTCCTTCCCTTCTCATCTTCTGTCTCTCCTTCATACTGTATTTACAATGCCCTTTCAGAATAAGATGAGGATACAACTTCCACTACATATCAGACATGGCATCCCAAACAGCTGAGCTTGTCTATATGAAACTCTGCTGCAATTACATTCCTATGACAACAGTAATGTACTGTACCAATACACATTGAATACGTTTGACGATAAGGAGCTTATATATGGCGAGGGAAGGGCTGGCGAGGGGGGACAATGCGTCCACACGCCACCCAGTTTCTCCGTCCATTTACTTTAACCTCAACTTCAATCAAATATGAGACGTTTGGAAAGTTTTATACTGATTGGCTTTCATCAAGCTTACTTTCTATGGAGCCCCGACACTCAGAACATAGAAAACTTTAAGTCCACAACATACTTAAATAAAGTGTATATCTTTTGGGAACTATTTACTTATTTATCTATTCTATAATGTTCTTTCATAATTCTGTTACTTGTGGCATTGTGTGGCTAATGTTTTTGTCTTCAGCAAGCTTACCCAAAAATTGGTGGTTAAACGGAGCAAAGCGCCGTAAGGCCACTGCTGTACTATTAGGGTATAAAGTCCTGTTGCTATAACAATAGGATTTTAACCAGCTACTTGCTACACTACTGCCCAGCTGCACTACTTTAGAAATACAGATTGTAGAGACCTGCTTCTATCCTAAAAACATGTTTGCCTTATGTGCATTTGTCTAGTCTTTATTGACAACCACAGCAGAAATAAATCTTCTAATTGTGTCAACAACATTTAGTAAATGTCTAATTGAGTATGATTAAAATGACACGCTGGTGTAATTTAAGACCTTTAGCTTCAGCTAGCTGAAGATGCTAATGCTAAGTATGTTTAGTTCCCAGTATGGTCGGTTAATCAAAGCAGCCACACAGCCCCGTTATTTGATCAGTATTTTATGTGTGGGGAAAATCGTTGCACGGAAAGAAAGAAAATAAATAATTAAATATATTAGCGTAAAACAGTATACTAATTTCTTTCTAAAAAATATATATTTGTGGCTAAAAATTGTATTAAATATTATATTTTTGACTCATAGCTCTTTTCTACATTTTGCGAGTTTCAGGGCTCCATAACCTTCCACACGCTTCATTGGTTAACAGTGGAATTTCTTGAATGCACCAACTGGTCTTCCTGTGGAGAGGCATCGATTGTTTTACTTCAACTTGGAGTAGGCATTAACAACAATAAAAGAAAACTTGCCAAACCCATCATTAACCTTTCCTTGTGCTCTCCCCCTCTTAACATTCTTCCTCCTCTTCAGTGTGCTCTGCTTTGCTGACCGATGAGGTAAAGATTTAAGGCAAGAATGGAAGGACGGGTCGAGGGCAGAGAGGGACACCGGGGCGGCTACTGCTGCACTTCATTAGGAAGCTGATACGGAGATTATGCAATTGGATACACTGCCTTCATTCCCCTTCTTTTCTTTACTCCTCAACTTGAGGGGGAGAAAAGATGCGGAGAAGCCGCGGTTCAGTTCGGTTTTCTTCACATCGCTTTGTTCAAGGTGACTTAAGTTCAGAGCTGTTTAGTTCTCCAGTCGGTAGGATGCAACGGTCCAGCATCCGTTTTATCGTCTTGTCTCCATAACTGCTTGCCAGCCTGTCTGTCTGTCTGTCTGTCACACCAGCGTGATCTCCACCTCCTCTGTTTTGTCACTCTTTTCCTGTGTTCGGCGGAGGTGCTGTTTGGGTGGAGGAGGAGCAGCTCGCACCTGCAGCAGTGAAAGAAGACATAAGAATGTAGGTTTAGGAAGAAAAAGAAAGCGGCTGGATGGAGAAGGCCTAATTTTTGTAGCCTTCTTAAAATAAATACAGCCTGAATGAAAAGGATAAGAAGGATTCACAGGCAGTTTAATCAACACTTGTATACACACTATGTATCAGAGACAAATACTAACTGCTATCTCAGAAAGCATAAAGAGGCATCTTGAAATGACTTTGTCCATCAGTCCAAATCCGTAAGATATTGAATTTACCTATAATCACAATCAACAGAAATATTGACGGGAAAATCAAAAAAAAGGAATAAGGTGTTAACGAACAGGTCGTAATTTGCCCGGGCCTCCTTCAGGGGTGAATCGCAGTGGTTGAGGAAATCTCGGAGAGACTGGACTCTTGGCAGAGCTTTGATCTAAGGGGAGACAGAGAGAGAGAGAGAGAGAGAGAGGGAGAGAGAGAGAGAGAGAGAGAGATTATAAGAAAAGAACTCACGGTAAAAATAAGATAACTATTTCTGTGTGTACGTGTCTTACTGTGGGTGGGTAGCGGCCCCTTATGTGACGAGGCGGGTGGAGGCTTGTGCTCCCCGTTAAGTGCGGCGGAAGGTGAGCGTGGGAGAGGCGGCGGGGTGGAGGTCTCAGGCGTGGTGAAAGGGCTGATGGGAGGTTGTTCATACAGCGGGAGGTGTGGCAGAGAACACCGCAGCTTAGATAGAGATGGAGAAATCTAGAGAAGAGAAATGGAGAAAGTGTGCTACTCAGCTGGGTCCCAAGCTCGCTGACACTGTTAATGGCCCAGTCAGTACTATCGTTTTCATTTTCTTTTTGTTAATTGAAGTCAACTTCATTAAGTTACAGCATAACATTTTTTTAGAACAAAAAGCTGCAATAAATACATTGAAAACAACACCATCTTTCTTGCAGCTGCTTGCTGCATGTGAAAAGAACGCTAGTCTGTGGGTTTATCATTAGGAGCATCACATTCATATATACAAACATACTGATTAGTGCAGCTTTGATGGAACTCGGGGGAATTCTGTATGAAATACAGTGTTTGACATGCCACCACTTGACCTTTATTTGTGGCGGCAAGTAGAAGGATTTTCTTTACCAACAAACAACTTAAAAGGCGTTGAAAGTAGTCGTGGTGCGTGTTATGTCTACAGGCTTTTAGGAAGGGAGAGGCTGCATCCTTCCGGTTGCCAAACCTCTAATAAGCAGCACTTAGATAAGAGAATTTTGCTGTGATTCTGTCAGAGGACTGCAGGAAACACCGCAAGTCCTGATCCAGTGTTGGTGAACCCTGCCGTGGTGATAGATCTACCGGATAACAGCCAGGGAGATATGTGAGACGGTAGGGTGATAAGTGTCCTACTGAACTACAACATCAGCCTGGTATTTCTGCCCTGAGGAAAGGCCGATAACACCAATTGTTCCAGCTCCTTAGGAGTAATTAGCTGCGGACTTCAGCGTATCTGTCTGCAAGCTCCGACATACCTGTATGTCACCGAGGCCTCCTCCACTGGTCTCCCCATTCTCAGTGAGATCTTCTACCAGCACGGAGGGGAAGACGCCCATCCGTCCATTGAGCTCCCCCTCCCAGAAGCCGTCGTCTGTCTGAGTGTCGCGGCTCAACAGGCGGATCACCGCTCCCTCAGAAAAGGAGAGTTCCTCGTCCGTTTGGCCCTTGTAGTCGTAGAGCGCGCGGACAAAGATCACTGCGTAGATATATACGGAAGACAGAGAGAAATAAGATACACATTAGGAATAATTATTCTTGAGTAGATGTAGTTCCATGTCCGCCTTGCCTTCATTATCATAAAGAGAGATAAAGAACTAATAATTAGGTGACAGAGTTTCCCCATGTGCCTGGTCCAAGTATTCATCAGGAATGAGGAAACATTTATTGCCATAATATGTCAGACAGTTTTTATTTTTGACCAATTTTATACAAATACCTCGCTCCTGATTTCCTGTTGTGATGGTATATGTGGAAAAGCAATGGCCAAACACATTGGATCAATTCCAGTGGAGCAGAAAAAAGCCTTAATCAGTGGTGCATAATAAACGCAAAACAGGAAGAAAGAAACTAATTTGCGCATGTGCAAATGGAACTAACTCGTTGACTAAAACTTGCGTGCTGCTTTTTTATTTCGAAGAATAATTTACCACCACAAGGCTTACTGCACACTTACTGTTGGTGTCTCCGTTGACGCAGCCGGAGTGGAGCTCCGGCTCGGTGGAGTTGGACGAGGTGTGCGATCGAGCATCGAGTGTGGCCAGAGACTGAAGCATGCTCAGCAGACTGTTGGAAGTAGGGAACTGCAGGTATTTCTCAGGGACGTAGCCCACGCTTCCCGTCTTATTGCGAGCCTGGGAAACACACACAAGATATGAACAAAAACACGCACGGCAGGAGAAATCTAAACCAAATGTGTGGAGTAACACACAGATCTCATGAGGTAATCATTCTGGCATTGCAACTCACAATGCACATCTGTGTGACCGCAACACATCTGTGTGTGTGTGTGTGTGTGTGTTTTTGTGCACCTTGACCCAGTCTTCCATGTCTCCATCTTCAATGACCTCCAACATCTCCTGTTCATCAATAGTTAACTCATCTGGCTGAGAGGCCTACGGGGGAGACATGCCGACAGTTTTAAAGACAGAAAGACGAGACGTTAACAGCACCGTAAAAAAACACTAAATTCTAGATTGAGAACATCATTAATAATTCACCTCAAAGTCCTGTAAATGCAACACTGACATTTCACCTTGCTCGGCGTGGTGGGTGCACTAACGCAGGGGATTGTGTACCGTGTGCTGTGGTTGTCATTTGATATGTGTACGAGCATGTAACCGCAGACGGCGACTCCATGTGAGTCGATTAGTACCTTGTAGGAGTACAGCACTTTGCAGGTCAGCGGGTAGTTTCGGAGGGTTCCTGAAGGACTGGAGCTGCTGTCGTCAAAAATCTCCATGTTTTCTTCACACTCTTCTCCCTCCTCACGCTCCAAATCCACTGTGCCCTTTAACACACAAGCACAGCCAGATAAAGCGAAAGACCTCTGATAGCTGCAAGGACGAAAAATAGGCACCATTCACCTTTAGAGCTCCAGAGGAAAAACGAATACCCTCGTGCTCCCAATCCAAGTGCACACAAAGCCTTTTAAAGAACAGATTTTCACTCCAACTTTTTGCTCTTCATGTCCCGATGTTATGGTTACTTGGTAAGTTGTCTCTTCTCTCTCACTCTATGTTTGTGTTGGCTGGTATCTACAGCTCTCTCACTACAGTGCAGCAGTTGCAAGATCCGTCCATTTAACAAAGATTCTCACCTGTTACACAGCTGCCCCCCCCCCTCTTCCTGTGTGTTTGCTATGGATTAAACTGTGACATGAGCACAGGAACAGTCCAAAGCTTACCTTTTGCTTCCTGACTGGCTTTCTCTGTCCTGCTCAGTTTGGACGCTCAGCCTTGATAAGACAGGTGAGGAGGGACAAATGTTTCCCATGACCAGGCCCCTCCCTCTTTTGTTCCATTAAAATTTCATTGGCTTAAATGAGGGTCGTGTGATCTGGCTGGTAGAAAATCCATCATACACAGCAAGCTGACCTGGGCATAACAATAACGTGTGTGTGTTTGCGTTGTGTGGGTGTGTGTGTGTGCGTGCGTGAGTGTGTTTATCCATTCCAAAGTCGTAGTGTTTAGTCATCAGATTTCTGTTGACACACTCTACACCGATGCAGAACAAAACAGATGTGTCCCCTGAACATAATCTGCTCCCTAGGGAAGCAAAAAGCTACAGGTGTGGTCCTACTGTGTTCCCTTATAGAAGTCAACACACCCACATCGAACCTCGTTTCTCTTGTGTAACATCAATTGTATCCAATTTTAACTAAAATGACCAGCATGTGTGCCAGTAAAAACCCGATAAAATATGAAAATGATACATCTCAGTAGTTGTACAAATACAGCCGTGATGCGGACCAATAGACAATTTTACGGTTCCTTGAGGAAATAACTGGGAGAGTGAAATCGTAATGAAGGCATATGGAGCACGAGAGACTCGAGGGTTCGTGGCTTACAGTATTTCATATCCGTATTAATAAAGTCATGAGGAATACGGAAAGGGTCGAGGAAGAGCCTCCTTCCTGCTCTCCTTGCTTTTATTTTCTCTCCCCTGCAGATAATTATTCACAATCCATCCATCCTTTCTCCCCTTGGTGACCATCTCTTTACAGGCTGCGGTAAAAAAATATCCCTCCCACTGTTTCGTCTCGCTCTCTTCATTTCCCTTGTTGCACCTTGTTATTACAGTTTCTCTTTTTAAGCCGCTGTCAGTCTCTACAAGCTCCCGGAGTCTCCAAATAAAATCCAAACGCTGTTAAGCTGCTCTCAAATGCCTGAATACAATATGGCCTCCTGGTCTGTTCTTTTAATAGCACGTACGCCAGATGGAGGAGTTTCCTGCATGTAATGCCTCCTCCTGATTCATCTGATGAACGGGGCAAGAAAAAGTCTAAAGAAAATAAGGACACCTGTAATAATTCCCCAAATTCACATAACGCCACAATGCCTCATTATAAATGAGAATTGGATCTCAATTAATTGTACCTGGTTAAATAAAGGTCGCATAAAATAAATGACTACTGTCACGGTTCTTTGTTTTGGTCACCATTTTGTCCTCGCAAGCAATTCTAATATTTTCCAAAGATTTCTGTTGCCTCAAGGTATTTATATCTTCTGCCTTTTTACAATGCCGCATCTCTCTCACCTCTGCATCCAATTTTACTTCGACATTATCACTCTGACACTCCCCCCTCCTCACCTCTCCCCCTCTCCTCCTCATAACACCACCTCTCCCTCCTTCACGTTAATTGTCTCTCCAACACTCCCTCTTTCACTGAACGACGCATTCTGACATTCCTTCTCGTTATTTTCCTTGGATCACCCTCATTAGCCAGACTCTCTCACTTTCTAACACTCTCTGGGTTCAGCCGCGAGCCGCGATGTCATGTGAGCAGAATGTCAAGCGCTTCAGAATATGTTCAGCGCTTTTGACCGATAGACACACACACACACACACACTCACGCAGAGACACAATCTCACACACAAACACTTTGTGGGATAACACTACAAGTCATGGACGTACTCTGCTCCCCTCATGTATACTCAATGGGGGGGGGGGACAGAAGCACAAGTGAACACAAAAATATGAAAAACACACAATCCAGTCAAGCGCGTACACACACAAAGACACACACACACACACACACACACACACACTTTAGGGCTTATCAAATGGCAACAATATTGATTGGGCAATGGTTTACGCTGATTATGTATTTTTTACATTGGGAAAAAAATATGCTTATTCACTTAAATCAAAGGGTTGAATTTGTAGCTACTACCAGCAAATGATTAGCTTAGCGTAAAACAAAGACTGGCTCTATCAAAAAAAATCCTGCCACCAGCTCCTCTAAAGCTCACTTAATAACATGTTGAATCCATGTTTGTTACATGCATCCGAAACATTAGTGAGCATAAGAGGGAGACATTCTTCTACCTCCTTACAGAGCTAAGCGAGCGGTTTTCCAGTCTACAGTCTTTGTGTTAAGCTACTAAACTCAAAGCGACTAAACTCAAAGCGACTAGAGTGGTGTCAATCTTTTTTTTTATATCATAATTTTACCAAGTAAGCAAAATCATCAGGAAGTGATTTGTAAAGATAAACATCCCAACTGGATGCTTGGAATTGAATGAGAAGTGTATGATTTTGAGTTAGTGCACTGGAAGGTTGAAATTCTATTTTTGGACTGAACTTGAGTGCAGCGTTTATTTAGCGCAAAGAGAACGATTGCTAGATACAAGTAGTAGAGATATGACCAACACACTGTAACACAACTCAGGGCCTGCTGATGTTCATTGGAAGTGAATAAAAGGGGCTACCATGCAAGATGCAACACAAATCAGCTACAACTTATGTTGTGTAGTGAAAAGGTTCTTTTCTGCCTCTTCGTTATAGGTGTGAGATTTGCACTTTCTAGCCAAGTCAAAAAAACATAAAAATCATGTATGCATGTACTATATTTACACGCATGCTGGTAGTGGCACCAGGGATCATGTATTGTCTACAGTTGCTCTTAATAAACTTCTTAGGTGTCCGATTCTTGTGTAAACTTCTTGTGGCTTGGCGAGAAAGCAGCTACACAGACGGTGAGGGGAGGTGTCTCACCGACAGTGAGGGGTCGTGGGAAGTGTAGCTGGCCCAACGTTCATTCTCCAGCTCCTCCATCACCTACGGCATGCACAGAGAGAGCGGTGGTTTTACACACACATCGTGCATGCGCGCGCACACTGTGCACTACATAGACTAGAAAATGAATGCGTGAAAGAATTTAAATGAACATAAAATCCAGCAGTCGTATGCATGAACGCACTCACAAACATTTACCACACACACTGCATCCCACTTACACAAAACAAGTCATGCAAAGAGAAGGAGGGGCTTATACACACACACACACACACACACACACTCACATTCAGTATAGGCACAAATTCTCGTACAATCACAGACAAATCATACCTGGTTCATGGCGCTCTTCAGCCAGGTGTCCACAGCAACCCCCACTTGCCGTAGAAGGTCCAACCGAGCCTCGGCTTTTAACTTTATTATCTATGAAGAGAGAAAGGGTTGAGTGTGTTAAAAAAATGATGTATATCACAGGCCTTTTTTTTGTATTAGTCTTAAAAAGAACATCATGTGTTTTTGGAACAGCTTTGGTCCCATTTCATTTTGAACAAGACCCTTTTTTAAACATGTCTGATTGTTTTAATTACCACTACAAAATGATGGTCGACACAACCATGAAAAAACAAAGCTGCAAAAAAGAAAGATGGGTACCAGATAGTGGGGCAATAAATAGATATTATGATATCAAACTAGAAATGGTCTTAGATTCAAACAAAACATATACATGACAATGCAAATATAGTGAACACATTATGTTGTACAATAAGCAATGATGTGACTCATTTATTGTATTTAATAGGTTGTTCAATTATTTACGTTTAACCTCCATGTCCTCTTTAAATCAAATGTTCACTAAAATCACTTAGTCATCACGAGCTGCACACTTCAGTGTTTTCACGTAGTCTCCAAAATGCCAAAACATCAAAGCCTGCTTTACTTTTTAATGAGCTGAGAACACCGGATATGTGTTGAGTTCTCTTTCCTAATGAGACGACGTGATCAGGCCGTAACCACCAGTGGGGAAACTCCTGGGATTCACGTTCGCTCCGTCTCACTTCAACTCGCTTTCATCTCTGTTGCTTTCTCTTCTTTTTCAAGGAGTCTCTCAACGTTTTCATCAATTCCGCTTACTTTGTGTTCGCCTTTCCTTTCTCACCGATGCTGAGAGAGCAGAGTGATACCCGATAGCTCACAGCACACAGAGATGGACAGAAACATGCCGCCAAGACAGTCTTTCCGGCTGTGGTCAATCAATATCAGACCGGAGACCCTTGAGTGCCTCCATTTCTTCTTATCTATTAGGAGCTCCCCAATAAAACGCGGAAGAATTGCTGTTGGAACCAAAGCGTACCAGAATGAGGAGGAGAAAGGCAAAAAACAATAATGGTGGATACATTTGAGCAGCAACGGCATAGAGTTTACAACCTCAGACAGACAGGCAGGCTGGCTGGGCGGCCTAATCAATAAATCAGACAGAAAGGTGGTAGGGATAGACAGGCAGAGGGTTACTAGAGGAAGAAACTTCTGCTATCCGGTCAGACATTGCTCCTGTTTTTAGTTTTCAAATGACTGAGGGAACGTGATCAGGAGGTTATGATTGTGTCCGAGCTCTATTTACCGAAGGTTTTTCTGATACTACGTCATGCCTAGATCAATCGTGCTTTTCAACCCTCATTACTTTCTTCTGCTTGTGCCGTTGAGTGTCTGGGAACAAAATCTCCTCTTCATCTCTCTAAGCATTTTGCCGCCACGTGTTAATGAGGCCAGATCGTCTGGTGGAGCCAGTCTGAGAAGGAGCCTTCAGCAGCTCATTAGCAATTGAGACAGCCTCAACTGCTCTCAGTCGCTCATCCTTTAAGGAGGCCGATGACACGCTTCTGCTTTAACTCAAAGTACGCTGCAGGAGAGGAAAGACGAAAACAAACATGCAAGATACCATATCTAAAAAGCCAGTCAGATGTTGGTGTGTGTAGAAAGAGGCAACGCATCAGGTTTGTCTGTCAGAAGAATACACTTTGGGGAACTGTTTGTCTTGACCTCAAGGGATTCTCGATGGTCCATGCACTTAAAATATATATTTATTAGTTATTTATTTATTACTAATATATATTTTCTTCCTCCTAGTCACAACATCTATCACTTCATTTAGTCACAGCAGTAACTATTGCTGTAATCTCCGCCAACTACATGCACAGCGTCTAGTTTCAGTGGGCAGAGTCAAGAATCAGACGTTCATAGAGAGCATAGATTACATTACTCTTTCTTTCTGGGTGTATTGATCCAGTTCAACTGAGAACAAAAAGACTCTTTAAAAGATTAAGGTGCTGTACTGTTGAACACTACAACCAAGCGCATAAAGCATTTGGCATCCTAAATATAGGCCAATGCTTCATTGTCTTGTTAACGAGAGGGGGAAACTGCAGCATGTTGGGTGGGATGAAGGTGAGACTTCGACAGGGAACAACGATGCAGTCAGTATCCAGATAATGCTGCAATCAAACCTAGATAATCTCTTTCGTACTGCACTCACTGCCTTTAAAATTCTGTGATAGGAGCTCGAGAGTGAAGCCATTTGTACCAAATGAGCTCATAAAATATGCACCATCTTACTCAAGGAAATGTTGGCCCGGGGGAGCAAAGATGGGGAGACAGAAAGTGTCAGTGAGAGACGGTGACAGAGAGGAAAAGAGAGATTTGGTGTTTGCTCTTTCTGATAGAAAGACTCACAATATCAGAAGCTATTGATAGTGATGCTAAATTATTCTGCTGGACCAGGTTAACTGAAAACTACTGAAAGCTGGTACCTCTGTAAATACAAGCAGTAAATATAATCCCAACCAACAACCTGCAAAACAACTACGAAAAATGACATTTTTCGGACACGTGGTAAAATCAAGTGTGAGGTGAAATGTTTTCTGACCAAACGTGACAGCAGAGGGTGCCAGATGTGCGGAAGACTGATCAGAGAGCTGGCACACAGCACAAAGGGAAGTAAGACAATCAAATTGAAAGACAGAGATGAAGGGCTAAAGGATATAAAAAGACCCAAGAGGAAAATGAACAGAGACACAGGCGAGTTGATAGAGAAGACAGATGAAGCAGTGATCTCATTCCTACAGTGACAAGTTCAATCTGTGAGAATCGATACATAATTGATAAAGCTCTCCGCGAGTGAAAAAGCTGAGCGGTGTGGAAGGAAAAGGGAGAGGGAGTGTGAACACAACTTGGAGGTGCTCAGAGGAGCTCAAGAACTTTAAGAGAAATGTAATCCAAGCATCGCATCTCATAGCAGGCAAATCTTAAATAGCTCATTCAAACATATATCAAAGTGTGTACGAACATCAGGAGAAACAACCTGAATGACTGGACATCTCCTACGAGAGGAGATCCTGGGCCGTCTTTCTACATTGCACTACGGCTGCCGTGGAGACGGGCACAGCGTACGCACCAACTTATTTAAAATATTTACCAGATAATTATTCACTCAGCCCAAAGATTTGGCGGGGGAAATATGGGATGGGTTGGATTTTAGGTCACTGAAAACAGAGGGCTTCTTTGCCCAGCTAATGTCAACGCTACAGCGGGAAGTGAGTCAATGTGCACCATAGATTTCACTTAAAAAGAAAAAAAACATTTGCCATTGAATAAAACAACCCCCTTTTTTCTGCTTGAACACACCATTCTCTGTTCAGCGTGACCAGCACCGCCGTACTAACTACTCACATAAAAATATATATTCAGCTTTGTTGAAGAGGAGGGTTCAGACCAGAGGAAATATACTTCCACTCCAAAGGAAAACCTACCAACTTAAATCCAGCCACAGCTGAACATTACCGGGGGGGGACACAACCCTGTGTTGCGCCCTGTTTATTCTCTGGGTTATCACAACCTAAACGTCGACGACGTGAGTCACACACACCTCCGCTTTGCGGATGTTTTCTTTGGTGTCTTCTATCTTCAACTCCAGATCCAGTCTGCCCTGCTCCGTAGGGGGCAAGCCATGCGCCTCACACTCCTCCAGACACTGCAAACAGCACAGGAAACACACAAACATCAGGCGGGCGCTTTTACCTGTGAAACGCATCATGGACGTGAGCGTGTGTCTTACTCTCTTGCAGTGGATGATGTTCTTGTGTTCTCGGGCCACTCTGGTGGCCCATTTCCTGGCTTCCTTATTCAGGCTGTGCTCCTCCGTCGTCCCCGTCTCAGACTCCAGCTGACGACTCTAAGACAGACAAGCGCACACATGCATACGTACCAGACAGGCATGGGTAAACACACACACATACACAGGTGCACGCATAAGTACACTGTTGTGTGTGATGAGCAGGAGCAGTATATTTTAGCTAAAGAAAATGTGCGAGAAGGATTGTTTCCTTCTCACATAATTAATACAGCGTGTGGTGGAAAGAGCTCCAGTTATCCTCTGGAGAGCGAAACAACTGCTATTAAAACCACATGTGAAGGAGTGAGAGTGTGTACGTGTGTGTGTTTCAGTGAAAGACCGGGAGGTGCACCAGGACAGACATTTTTAAATTTGATTTGTTACTAACAAAAGCAACTATGTTGGCCATCAACATCAATTATAATCATGTGGCAATTCTAGTAATGTATGAAGTGTGTGTAAATGTTTACACACACTGCCACTAATTCAACACTTCCCTTTGATGGAAAATGGTGATGTCTCTTGTTTCTTTTGTTCACCAAAACTAAATTCCATCTTCACATTTGCTGCTTTCTGCTTTTCTTTCTTTAATGAGATCTACTTCTGAGTTTTGTGATTGTTTTTTCTTTTCTTAAGTGTGGCTGATTAGATCTTTTCATTGCATTCTACCATATTTATGTCACGTACAAGGCTAAGGAAATGGATATTTCAAGTTCTGTTTTCAACAGTACTTTTGTCCTTTATACATACAACCATTCACAATCTGATTTATCAAGATAAAGTCAATGAGACGGTTAAATTCCATCTCTGTTTTATCGGAATAACAATCGTTAACACTTGTTAACGATAACGAAAAATGAGCAGTTGCCATTCTAAACAAACTAAGCTCTCTACAGTACTTACATTCAGTGTCACCGACCCGTGCCCACAGAGCCGAGAGGCTTCGGTTCCCCAAATCTGATAATAAAAGTGTGCCGACTAGACCTCGTAACAGGATATTTTAATTGGAAGTTTCCATGCACATCACATCTATTAATTAAGTGCCGCTTCAGCAACAAGAGGGCATACATCTGGCTAAGTGTAGGTGTGTAACGAGGAGTATTACCTGAGAGATTTACAGCTTAATTACATTCAGGCAAGAGAGGGAGTTAAGGCAGGGAGGCAGAAAACTAGATTAGAACATTGGCTCTGAACTGACACATTGTGGAGCCAGCAAAGCAAATTGGGCCCCAGAAGTTTATTGGTATAATGTGTAATGACTAAACAGAGTAAATACGTGTTTTGCACAGAGTCTTCCAGCATGAAAATGTTGCGAGTAAAATGTAAACGCCAACTTGCAAAGCACTGAATCTTCTCTTTGCATGAGGATGCTCTCTGTTAAGATTCCCCAGACTGTATCCAGCTTCATGTGTCCAAGTCATGGAGCCTGTTATGATGTTCTGCTGTCAATGAGAGCACGGTAGAGCACAAAGGTAGCTGTATGTATAAAATGTATAAGTGGTAATGTGTAAAATATCAATTATTAGTAAAAACTACTGTAAAAAATGATGGCTAGTCAGCCTGCAAGCTAAAGGACAGCAAAGTGAACATGGCGTGATGGTACTGTACTTCAATAACAACCTCCACTGTTATAATAACTGTCATTTAGAGCACTTTATATAGCAACCGTGTTATCCTGAAACCACAGGGATGAAGGGGTGAGAATGAACTGTGTCTAGGTGTAGCTGTCCGTGTGAATGATCGCGCCGTATATGCTGCTAGGAAAAGTGCAGGTTTATAAGTCTGAACCGTCGGGCCTCACTGCGCGAAGGAGACACATTCATTTAAGACGTATTTCAAGTAATCGCAATGTGCGTAGTTAGATGGCAGCTGTTCTACGTCCTCCCCTCGGTCTAAACACTTGTTGGAAGCTTGTACTAAAGTTTGGCATAAATGCCCCCAAGAAAGCTCAAACTGCAACGAGCTACCACTCTCTCGTTTCATAAGCTCCCATTTCTTTCTAAAAAAGGATTTCTCGCCATAGCTCGGAGAGACATACCGTGGCCTTGAATAATATACTAATACAATGCATCATGCTGAACAGCCCCTGTCTCAGTCAAGGCAGCAGTATTTCAATGGGGGCCGTTTAAATGGATTTTTTTTTAAAGCACTGGGACACTAAAGAACATTGTCTTCTGATCAATGCAAATACATAGCAGTGATTACTTTCTCGATGTTTATTGATTGCAAAAATAATTCACATCCAGGTGCTAACCTAAGAAAAAGGGTAGAATGCCTACATCCTTATTCAATTTCAGTCTTGGTATTATTTATAAATACGCAATGCTTTTACAGTCAGCATTCTCTGCTTTACAGAGAACTGCTTAACGATACAGACCCTTAAAAGAATAAACGCCCCGCTAATTCCAGAGGAAGTCACTCACACACTACCAACCATTGAACGCTTGATTCTCGTGTGGTGCTTTGGTAAGGCTATAAAAAAGAAAATATACACACACGTACAACAAAAACAAAACAGTAGTACACAGACGGTCAGTCTGCCTGCAAGGACTATATTTTCAACTCAAAACACTAACTGCAAATTTTGCAAATAAAAATCACACACACCAAGCCTGGGCCTACGTGGTGATGACAGCGTTGTGGTATTTCAGATGACGCGACAGCAACAGGGTTACGGTATCTGGTAAGTCATTGTGTGCTCGGACTGCTTTGCTCACAAACGGATGAGAGCATGAAAGCATTCCAGTGCTGCGGAGCCGCTACTATAACAGTGGTATCCAGTAATCAGAAAGGCCTCCCTGGTTTTATCATCTAGGAGCTAGACGATGGATGGCATGAGCGTTCTTATAATCACGCTGCAACGGAAGTAAGGGTTTCCTGTTTTTCAATCAATTCAAACATGCATGCAGCGTAGAGGGTAGAAACCCCATCCGACTACAGGGAACACCCCTCATACAAACTCTGTACTTGGGAGAAGCGCTCTTCATTACTATGGATACTACTGGAATTAAAATAAGAAACACTTGCAGTTATGTGTGAGAATCTGGTCATTGTTTTGAGTAAACTAATTTCGTGTTGGTTTTTGTTATAGGTCATTTGTTGAGGTATTTATTACAAAATGGATGTAGACCTAGATGAGATTTCATGACTAAATAAAGCCTAACTAAATAACAATTTGTCTGAAATTCTTTCAAAAGCAAGCATAATGGTCATGGCAGGTAGACAGATGGGTAGCAAAAGTCAGAATAGTCAGAATTATATGTTCATAATAAGTATCAAATAAGAAACGTAAACCTGATGTTTTTATCGCTGAGTTGTTGAATAAAAACAAAAAGCTGAACTCAAGTGACTCAAGTGATTAGCAGGCCTCGCACGTATTGGTCAGGTTTATTTTTATTTATTACACCAGCAATGTGTATGATGTCATAGGTGTAATTGTAGCAACGCCTATGCTGCAGCATGCCACAGTCATGGTGCGACTGTTTTTGTGCTGCAATAGTTGCACCTGCACATGGGCTCATGTGAAAAGACTCTGTGTTGATGCTGGCTAGACATGCTGTAATGGCTATTACAAATGCCTGCAGCAAAATGTATTTATTTACAAAACTTTTGATTCTGAGCATATGCCAGAATGAGCACGACATTTACTAATAGCTCTAGTTGCTCTGTGGTCAAGGCGTCGTCAGGAGTGGTGCAGTCACCCACAGGGAGAGAAGATACAGAGTCATGAATGGAGCAGAGGATCCATGGTTGGTTTCAGGGATGAAGATGAAGAATGCTAACAGCAGTTAAGACTACCTGTGCCAGGGTCATTCTCATGGCACTGACGGGCGACGGCTCAATGTCCACCAACTGCGGCACCGTGCTCAGAGTCTGGCGCACACACACACACACACACACACAGGCAAGGGTCCGCGCACCCACAAACACACACACACACACACACACAGAGACACACAAATACAGGGTTAATGGGGGAGTAAAAGGTTAGGGGAAAAGTGTTGGCAAAGGTTAAACAGGATTAGGAAGACTCGGGGTAGGACACACATTGTTGTTATAGGGGAAATATTACCAGTTTATAAAATAAAGGAAAAGATTAGAGGGGGAAAAAAGTCTAAACACAGTGTGACAGAGTATGAAAAAGGAGGCTGAGAAATAAGAGAGCACAAAATGACTCAGGCAGAGAGAAAGAGAGAAAAGGATAACTATGGAGGATTTAGGAACAATGCCCACAGGGAGACATCTTTCTTTCTTCTATTTTTTTATCCAGCGATGCTTAACAAGTCTCCAGAGGGGTGTGACAGCACCATTCCCACTGCTGCATGTTGAGCACAATGGCTGGAGATTGATTTATAAACGATTATAATTTCTTTTAACATGTGGCGACAGATTTAATTTGAAATTGAAAAAAGTTACATAAGCATTTAGACGATGAAAACAAGCCAGGATTAGAAAGAGAAGCTTCAAATCGACACCGAACATTCAACATTAAAACGATTAATATGGAACGCAGTAGATTCATGCTCTGCCGTGCTCCCACTAGACAACAGCTAACTGGACAGCTCCATGAGTTGTTAACATCTCAAAAAAATTCAAACGCTGGGAACAAACGAGACAAAGATATCTCTAGAGAATAAGAAAATTCAAAGCTTGGTTCTCTGATTTCCGACGCGGAAAGCCGCTCAGCTCAGATGTATCAATCATATTCTTTAAAGTGACAAGCATAAAAAGGTAAATTAATTATTTTCCAGTGTGTGTGTGTGTGTGTGTGTGTGTGAGAGAAAGATACGGGAATAAATACATTCATGCACAAACAGTACAATTTGAACTGAAAAAACACAAAAACGATGCGTTTCTTACCATGTCACATTCGCTGGGTTGGAACTGGAAGTCGTGTGCTTTGTGAAACACCGGGTTTTCCTGCATAAACAGCTGCTGGTTGTATTCTTGTATTATCTGAGTTAAATACAGAACAACAGTTTAAACAGTGTACTTGCAAACATTTGTAAACTGCTTCACAGCTTCTATTCCCCTGTGATGGAGATGGACTAAAAAAAAGTTTTATAGCCACACACACACATATACACAGCTTCAAAGAGACACACAAACATAACAACACACACAATACAAAAAGCTTAGCTTTTATTTCCGCCAGTTAAAAAGAAGCTCTATTCCCCTCCAGAGTGCCTTGTAACATCAAATGAGCTCAAAGTGTCAAGATGCATTCATTTTGCCAAAGATATTGTTTTTCATGGTTTTTCATAATGCACTTGTATTATTATGCTATGATGGCAAGAAGATTGCAGGACGTTTCCAACAGCAGTTTGAGAAACGGCAAGAAACGCTGCATTTCTACAAATATTAACTTAAAGGTGAGCAAAGCCTGTGTCTCTCACGCGTGTGACTTACCCTCGTGGATTTGTCCAAGAGAAACTGGAAGGTGTTGTGCGTTGCTTGGGAGGCCTCTAGCTCGGTTCGACTCAGCTCGACCAAGTAGTCTTTCACATGCTCATAGATCCTGCCATCCAAGGCCTAGACGACAGAGAAAGGGAGAGGGAGAAGGACCGGAGGTTAGAGTGAACATAATTACATAATCTCTTATAGAAGAGGTCACAAAAGAATTAGGAGGTGATACCTAAAAGGCCTCAGAGGATAAAAAGAGTCAACAAGTAGAACAAAGCCTGTTACCACAAATGTATGATATGTATTAGCAATGTAGTCATTGTTTTTCTAAATTCATTCAGATGTGAATTCTCACCTGAGACATGTGAACACAACAGTGCCTCAGTGGTCTGATCAGCCAGAGTGATTGAAAACACCTCTGTGTGTGTGTTTAAATAAAGGTTTACGTTAAGACTTAGTTTGTTACACACAAACTTCAACCGCATCTGCAGCGATAGTCTGGCTGACTAGTTTTCCTTATTTTCCAGACCTACAACAAATGTTTTGTTATCATATATACCCTTTGCCGCAGAAAAAAATCAGCATTCAGGGAGAGAAGGTGGAAGACGGACAGAAGAAGGGCAGATGTTTTCATTTGACAGCTCTTTTCCTTAGAAGAGGATCGTGATATGAAGACAATTTAATGCAGTCCAGATGCATCGCCTTTCTGAGGGAGACTGACGTATGGCTGCAAGCTGTAGGCCATGTTGCCAAACTGACAGATCAGACAGAGGGAGTGAGAGAGGCTAATGGAGAGGAGGGAAGAGCGAGTGCTTAACATGAGAGTATGAGAGAGACCCAGTGTGTGTGTGTGTGTGTGTGTGTGTGAAGCTGCATTTGGATGGCGTTCTTGCAGCTGCAGGGGAAGGTGAAGGGGTTCAGATTCCAATTCAACAAGAAACAGAGACCGCAGACATGTACACGAAAACACACACTCTCCCAAATACTCAGCCCCTCATACTCTCCTCAAAGCAGAGCACTTTGAAAAAGCTCACACTCTCACAAACCTGCCTACAGCCCGTGGTGGCCAGGGGATGTTTTAAGTCTACAACCTTCCAGTAACACCTTCTTTTGCCTTCACAAACCGATACACTTAACATGTGAAAAGTAGCATTTACGCGCACACAAAACACACTTAAACAATGGGAAATCGACAAGGACATTATGTCATAATGGGTGGGTTGTTGGCTGGCTTCTCTCTAAATGTTCCCTCATCAGTCTGCTCATTTCCTCCTCCCCTTTCCTTCTCCACCCCCCCTATTTCCTTCATCCATTTACGGTAGTGTTGAAATGCAGTGACTCAGCTTCCAGAAAAAGCCCCGTGGTCATATCGTACACAATGTGTCGGTGTTTTTTTTTTGCGTTGAATGACGGCATCGGGCCTGAACGACAGACACAGCGCAGTGGACCAGACAAGGTGTGAGCAGCGAGTGTCTAGCAGTTAAGAGCACCGACTGCCCCCCAGCAGAGGGAGATGTGGAGCAGGCTGTTCCTCCACTGCAGCTGTCGCATTGGACAGTGAGACACACACACAAGACGCAACTTACTCCTGCAGCCGCACTGTGTGTGAAGTTCAGAACAAAGCAAGCCGTTCCATTAAGAGTCTATGAAACCGCTGTTATCTATGTTAGAGAAAGTGGTATTAAACTGGTGAGAGCTGACAAAAGTTAAGTTAGCAATGTGAAATGTGTCTGAGCAGCACACGTTAATGTCCTCTCATGGCTCATGTCCACTGAATAATTATTACGGCAACCCAATGCAGTAAGAGCTCAAAGCCTTTCATAGGTAGCACATCAGTTTTGTTGAGCATGTAGACCGTGATGAACAGAAAGACCCCAAAAACCTAGTTCTGAGGTTTTACCTCGCTGCTCCAATTACACTTAATGTTTATTTACGAGTTGTATTGTGCTGTCTCTCTATTGTGTATTGTTATGAATATATTGTATCATATTTTTCCGCCCCTGTTGCAGTCTTGGGTTGGGTTTTGCAACGTTTCTATGTGGAGTAAAACAAAGCTAACACGACTTGTGATGCAATTTCTCGTTGACCTGTGAGAAGTGTCAGTGACTCTCACATAAAGACGTGCAAACAACACAATGAAAATAAAATGAAAAACGCAGGGGAGGGATAAGCAGATTGCTTCCCTCTAGCAGTGTCCCTCATTCTCTATGCATGTTTGCGTGCACGTATTTGGGTATGTGCATATCTCCCGGCAGTCTGTCCTTCTGTTGCAGGGAGAAAAGAATCTATAATTCACAATGGCCTCATAGTGTAGATGATTGTACCCGCTTAAGGCCGAGTGCGAGAGGGAAGGAGAAGCCGACACTAGGGAGGAGCACCGGAAGTTTGAAATTACACAAAATGGAAACCCAAAACGCCAATGACCTACTCTTTCATTTTGAATCAATAGCATATTAATAAAATAAAACATCTGTAACCTAAGAGGTAAGTTGCAGAAATTTAGACTGATAGGAAGCTGACAGGTTTCAGCACACAGCAGCAGCAACATTTCAGGTGCAGTCACTAAGCTACTCTAATGTGTATGTCTCCCTGTGGGTCTGCTAAATCTGTCATGTCTCAGACTAATGACTGTCAGGACAAAGAAAACATCACACATGTGGGGATTGTGTATGTTCATGTGTGTGTGTGTGTGTGTGTGTGTCAGATGGACATGCCTGTACAGTATTTACAAAATAATTACACCACCGTCACTTAGCTGCTCAAGTCATTCACCACACAGTAGCTGAAGTCTGTCTTTATGTGTGTGTGTGTGTGTGTGTGTGTGTGTGTGTGTGTGTGTGTGTGTGTGTGTGTACCTGACCATACAATTGTCTTGTAACCAAAATACAGATATTTGGGTGTCATTTTTTCCGGTGTTTTGATGCCCTGAATGTGCCAGAAAGGTCCCACAGTTCCACTCCTGCTGCCACTGATGACATTAAAATGAATGATGGCAAATTGGCTTCCGTGTCACAACTTATGCCCATAAATAGCTTAAAGCATATGAAGTAAAAGTAACAAAAAAGCTGCATATTGATGCACGTCATAATAAAAGGCATCGGATGTGATTCTGAGGCCAAAATAATATATCAGTTATCTATGAAGCAAACTCATGACATACTTTCTGAGAAGCTTTCCTCTGATGCAGTTCATGTAACATTGTGAAAATTGTAATTTCATGCGTACCAATCATTTGGTAAGCAAACTTCAGGGTTGCTCCCTTTGCAGTATTTTTCTTTGCATAAGCTCCTTTCAAATCACAAATCCAGAGAACTCTATTTGACTCTCTTTGAAGACTGAAAACTGAGAAATCATCACTTTCTCATTTAGGATTTCCCCCTCCCCTCAAACTACTTGAAGGGACTCCGACTCTCTGCACTCATAAAAGGAAAGACCCTTTATCCCAAATTGAGCTATAACTCAAAGTAGTTCCCTCTCTTTGAATTTTTTGAACCTAAGAACGTGATAACGTTTGAGGAAAGTCCCTCTGGGTATCGTCAGCTCGCATGAGTCCAAAGTCACTACATGACAAAGAATAGCATTTAAGACACCTTTTAACATTTTGTCTTAAATGTTGCCTGGAAATGTAGAGTTTTAACAAAACAGATTTATTCTCTCTCACAGCCCTGACATCTTTCAGTCCTTTAAGCAGATTGCGAGTACCTGTATGCATTGCAGTAGGTCTGTATGGTAGTAGCGGTCGTGGTGAGCGTTGGCAGCAGCTAGCGTTAGCAGGTAGTCATTCCTGGCTTGTGTTGCCTTGGAGTTGCAGTCACTTCTCTTAGCTTTCAACTGAAACGATAGGGAGACAGACGGTGTTGCAATACTGCGTTGCAGCAATAGACCAGATGTGATCCTCAAGCGGAGTACAAAGAGACTTTGCTCTTACCTTAACACTTGCTTTCTGTAAACTAATTCTTGATTGAAAAATACCCAGTTTAGACCTGAAATGACAAAACAGTGCAAGCAAAGAAATTAATCCTGGATCGAATCCTGTACGTCTTGTGCCCGACGATAACGAATGTCTCAGAGTTTTTCTCTGATGCATTCCTTCCTCTGGCTGTGTTGTTCTACCAATCGATGTGTGCGCTAACCGGAGCTGAGAATTCTATCAAGTGAAAACGTCCCCAAAGCTTCTGCTGCCGAGGACCCAGAGGAAAACAACACTCATCGGCCCAAGGTCAAACTCAAAATATCGTGGTAAAAAGCTTCAAAGATAACTTATAGGAGAAAGTTTCTCAGTGGACTACACAGACTGGGAAAGGCAAACCAAATTATTTTTCATTATCTGACTCGAATCAGAATTAATTAATTAATTAATGAATATTGCTTGGATTTACACAAATGTCATCAAACTCTAGTTGTGAACTGTGGCGTGGTGTTTACGTGATGGTATTTGTTTTGACAATAGAGACCATCTGGCCAGTCGTTCACATTTTTCCGTACATCCCTTCATAACACACACACACACGCAGACATCTAGTGCCGTGAGGAGCTTACCTGGCCTCTATGTCAGCCTTCTCTCGTACAGCCTGGGCAACCTGCTCACAGTCGTAGTACTTCTTCTTGGCTTTGGCCAAGTCCTTCACCGACTCCTGCAGCTCTGCTTGAATTCCGCTCAACTGATCTATGGTCTGTGAAGGGCGAAAAGGAAAACCGGCATGAGACGCGACGACTCAAGCGTTTCAGAGACGGGCAGAGAACCAAGCCTGTGGCCGCCTTTCCCGCTGCGCATGCACCAACTCGCCTTTTTCAGCTGCTGCTCCTTGTAGAGTCGGACCGTCTTAGCAGGCTCCGACACCTGACCTTTGTAGTTGTCACACACGTTGAGCCTGGACTGGCTCACCTGCACCGTGCCTTCTAAGTAGGACCTCCACACCGCATACACGTTCCTAGTTGTGAGAGAGAAAGCACAAACACGATGGATGGTTGCCGTTCTGCTAACACACAATCCCAGGAGCGATTGGTCGGAAACAATCGGAGAGTTGGCCTGCACTGAGGCTGAATTTGTGATTCTGATTACTCGTAAATTGACGTAGACAATGAAGCGATGAAGCAGAGCACGGATTTGGCTTTCACTTGGGAGGAGCAACTGTAGGTGCAAACCATTTAGAATGGCTACAAATTAAAACAACTGTTCTTAAAGGGTAAAATATGGCATTTCTTATCCAAACAAACAGACCCACCCACCTGTAGTCTGTTCTCTGGTCATCAGGGTTGATTGCAGGCCAGTCTCTCTTTAGGTACTGACTTGCTAACTTCTGCAGAGCCTGAAAACACAAACCAGAAAGAGGCTGCAGTGAGATAATATCACCACATGAAGCCATATTACGAGGAGAAGGTCAAAACACGGAATTAGTTTTGACTAAACTGGCAACGTATCGCAGAGGGAGCGGTACTACTTTCTACTCACTTGTTCTAACAGTGCAATTTTCATCGTATTTCATTTGCAAGTACACAGCCCAAATCGTGTCTTTTGCTCAGTGAACAATACAGCAATAAAGTGGATCAGCTGTGTGTCGGCAACATGACTGCGCAGTCAGCTCGAGTGAGTATGAGCAGAACACCGGAGGGCTGCAAGAGATGCTAACCTACATCTACTGGACTGGGTCACTGTGTCAGTAGCGACAACTCGCAGCTGCTGGGGGTGGATGTGTGTGTGTGTGTGTGTGGGTGTGGGTGTGCATGTGGGGGTGAAAATACTCATTAATAAAACATTGGTTAACGAACCTAAACAACTAACATGACAACCCAATCAGGACAAACAGACCGTAGGGACATATTCAAGTATTCCTGCAAGCCACATTCTTCCATCACCACTGTGAAATTTAAATCTGGTCCCTCAATTTTGAAATCGGCCTCCCAGTTCTCAGCTTTCTTTTATGTCTCTCTCCATCTCTAGTACTACAATTCTAATAGATCTAATTTTAAATGTTACGATATCGGCCACCTTAACCCCACAGGCCTCATTATAACTTCAGGCAGATATTCATCTACTCTCTATTATTAAGCTGTTTGCCTGTAAATGTCTCTCTCTCTCTCTCTCTTTCAACTTGCTCTTTGTAACTCGTGCAGATGGTAAATTGGGGCTTAAAAAAGAAAGAAAATAAAAAAGGACCTGAAGCTCGGATCCCTCCAGCAGACACACATTAGCATGTGTCCTTGGGGATATGGCGCTCCAGTGACCCCTGGCACCTACCGATGAAATCCTCTAGAAATGAGTCAGCATTTAATGTAACAACAACTGTGCATTAGCGCAGCAGAGTCACTGTCGGAGTAGAACAGTGAGCCACATACACACACACATGTAAATCCATGGCACAGAAACTGCCCTGTCCAATTCCTGAGGAAAAAAAATGTGCTTCAAGTACACACAACCTCTCACCCTCTCTAGGGAAGGGTGGAGTGGGTGTGGACGGTTTTGATGAAAGGCTGTGTGACTCTATGAATGCATGTGTGTGTGTGTGTGTTTCTGGGGGGGTAATGAGAGGACAGTGGCAGCCACTGACTGTGAGCTGGCCTGCTGACCGGAGGACTGATCTGACAGCTTGACCAGCGCGTCACACTGCTCCCCATCCCTTTATCAACAACACAATGATACCAAGTACTGCATCTGGATATAAATCATTGAATAAAACCAATACAGCGTTTTGCTTTAATGGAGTCTACTTGAAAAGGTTGTAGTACCTCAATGATCCCATGATCCGAATTAATTCCCAGTGACCCCTTCTGTTGAAGCCTCATGTTAGCTTCAGCAGTGTGTTCTGCACTGAACAAGGGCGGTGGATTGTGAGCCACAGCGGAATCGTCTTGGGGACGGATGAAGAACGAACAATCACAGTCACCGCATTTGTCAGCGCACAATTTAAGGCCTCGTAGATTACTCCAGGGTGACATACCTGCTACTTGGGCAGGAGCAATGACAGCTGAACGCGGCTGATCGGCCAGAAGCCCACAGAGTGACTGATGTGTGACAGCTGAGGTGTTGCTTTTTCATTTTCCCTCACCCTCACTTCTCTTAATCCACTCCGACCGCCTTTCTCTGTTTCCCTCTCCTTTACCTTTTTGTATTCCTCCCTCTATCCCCCTGCTCCTCTCATTCCCTTCATCCTCCTTTATATGCTATCATCACCTGAACAGCACGTTACTATGGCAACTCTCTCTCTCTCTCTCTCTCTCTCTCTCTCTCGCCTGGGTGATGGTGAAATGCTTCTTTGAAGACACACACACACGCACACACATACAGTGAAAAAGACACACTCACACACATGTATCCTGTTTTTGTGGTCAGAGTTGCAAACAGGGTGCACAAACAGCAGGAAATCCTGCGGTTGACTGACAAAGAAAAAGTCAAAGGAAGAGGAAGAGAGTGTGATTTCTGTTAAATATTGTGTATTTTAAGCATTTGGTCGGTAGGCTAACATTCTGCCATTTTTTTAATGACTAATGAGTCAATAGGAGACACTACAGTTACAGGTTGAAATAAGTTCATGTCGTTGTTTCTCACTGTATGTTTTGTGTTATGACATGTTCTCTGTTCACTTGTGTTATTGCACCATTCCACTCGGGGTGCCCATCCAACGGATACTGATGATTGTTACAACTTCAGGACGACCTTAATTAAGAAATACTATATTGTAAAAAGGGCACATAGACACTCAAAAAGAAAAATTTGAGCATGGCGTTAATGCCCTTTCATCTTTCCATTCATTAGTAACTGTTTTCCCCGCCGCACGCTCTGCCAAAAACCTGCGCAGTCACCTTGACACTTCGCTCTCGCTGTCTCTGGCTCTGTCCCTTTCGTTAACTTTCTATCCATCTCTCTCTCTGAATTCTTCCTCCCCTTGTGTGTCTTCCTTTTCAACCCTCTTACTTTCTGAACTTCCTCCTGAATCGATATATTTGATTTTCTCTCCAGTCTGCACTTCTCTGCCTCGTTAGTGTGTGTGTGTAGCATTAAGACGTCTTTGACACTCTGCACATCTGCAGAGTAAGATAATGTCAAGACATGAGGAGTAAGAGGAGGGTGAATGGAAAAGGAGGGGGACAAAGGCAGAAGAATACATTTTTGTTAAAAAGGACAATGACGTGTTATAAAAGGTCATTTGTCTGTGATGTATGAACGTGTTGATGTGAGAGAGATAAAAAAGATAGAAAAGAAATCACTTTCCTCAACTATTTATCTTTCCTTCTTTCAATTAACCTTGACAAAATAAATGAAAAATCAAATGTTAGTGCCGTATAAAATGCATTAGACACGAATACATAATTGCTAAGTGGGCTTTAAGCCATTGGTATGGAAGCAAGAGAAAGTATGAGAAGTATACAGAGAGAGGAGATGAAGAAGGAAAAAAGAAAATACGCAGGGGAGAGAGAAATGTCATTTCAAAGCACTCTGTTTATATATATATATATATATATATATATATATATAGTGGCTTTCTGTGAGCAGACTATATCAGATCTGATGCATGAACTATAACTAACAATTCACATGTTCTGTGCAGAAGTCACACAAAACCACCCAGAATATTGCGGCTGAGTTACATAGAACAGAGAACTACTGGTGCGCAGGGAGTGTGAGAGACACAGACAGACACACACACACACACACACACACACACACACACACACACACACACACACAAGACGCACACTGACGCACACTGACGGCCGCAGCAGGCTGGCCTTTTTGGGCAGAACAATGAAGTGTGACTCCAGCCCAAAACTATTCCAGCAATGCTGATGGCGGGGGGGAGATACAAGACAAGTAGCTAACACGCACTTGCTAACACACAGGAAACATGCCCGCCTATCAAACTATTGGCCCCCCTGCGGGCTCTTATCCTGTATGTCTATTTCTCTTTCAGCTTAAGTCTCCCTCTCTTGTCTTTCATTCCATGTCTTAAGTAGCGGAAAGAAGGACAAGAGGAAAATGGGAGACGTACAAAGATGAAATGCTATTTAGAGTTACAGTAAGGGGAGCAAATAAGCAGTTAGTTACTTCATTATAAATCCATATTCAAGCATGGACTTGGAGAAAGGGATGAGGCCCACATTTAAAGAATCATAACCTAGATTTTGAACCCCTCCGAGCCCAATCAGGAATTCAAATCACAACTCTGTTGGTTTAATACACAACACCAGACTGATAAGAGAGTTAACTGAACCTTGGGATTATGTACACACATATACACACATGCTCAAATACAAACCCACGCCGTCACGCTCATTCCGTATACACGCGGTGTGTGAAGGACAGCCTCCGTTTAGTGTGGCTTTCACCTTTTTTATTAACATTGTGTTGCCATTATTCATTTTATGGCGGAATTATTTTTGTGAATACATCCCCCATTTTTCTCTCTCTCTCCCTCTCTCTTCCACTTACTCAACCTTTTCTCTCTCCTCTTCTTCCTGAACACACACACTTTTCTCACCACGTTATGGCTTATTGGGAGGATGCTTATAATTGTACAATAGTTTCTAATCAGTATTGTTAAGTACATTTTCTGTGAAGTAGTTTTCTGTGATTATTTTGTGCATGTACAGTAGTACAATAGTACTCAAAGTTGAACTCCAGTGCTCGGATTTAACCATTCAATGTTCACTCTGGATACGAAATAGTACATTTACTATTCTCATTTTGAATGAAAACAGATTTTGAGACCATCCACAATCTTCCATTAATAATCCTGTTGACATTTATAAATTTTACAAACATCTTTATACATGATAACAACTGAACTCTCTCCCAATATTTAAAAATCAATGTACTCGGACATTCCTACACACTAATACACGTACATTCATGCACACTACAATTTCATTGTCCTCCTGAGAAGAAGGGAGGATGGGTGTTGCTAGGCAACCTCTCTTTCTAAGGTGAACAGGACCATGCTGAAGGAGCATAGTGAGAGAACAAGAGGAGGCAAGTGAGGTAGATAATGAGTGTCTGCAACCAGAGGGGTTGACCACCCGAAATTCACACCTAATCATTCAAACGAGGACACTGGAAGCGTGCACTTTTTCTCCTCTCTTTGCACACCTTCTTCTACTCTGTCCCGTCCGTGTAAAAGTGTACAGTCAGGACAATTATGGCTACAAAATAGGAGCAACGTGTGGATAGCTGAATCGAGTAAATATGTTAATATGTATTTAGGAGCTGGTAATGTATTCAAATGTTTTTTTATTAAGCTACAGCAGGATTTTCCAGAGAGTGCGTGTCAGTGTCTGCATGGATGTGTGTGTGAGCGCGCCGTTAGGGGCTTAAGCTCAGCAGCATCAAAATACAATACAAAATCAACACTCATCCACAGTGTCGGCGGAGGCGCTGCTCGCTGTCTGCGTAGACACTATTCAACTACGCTGAGGAAGAGGAGTGTGCTGACTCAGCCATAATGCTGGGAAATGCTTTTGGGTTTTGTGCATCCTGACAAATCTGCAGCACATTGCACAGTTGCTGCCTGATGGGTAAAACTACTTGAATGGTAAGGAGGCAGTGACTCCTGCCCACCAACACTGGTAAATGCATTTCCTCAGGCATGAATACTGATGATTATAGCTGATGATACAGCCCCTGGGCTTAAAATAATTTTTGGTTTCTAGGGATCAAAAGCTTCAAATATGCTTAAAGTCTAATTTTAAGGCGGTAATTTGTACATCATCAACTCACATGCATATAGGGGAAGCTCCTCGCAGGGACGAGTAGCTCGCACAGGAAAACAAGACACTTTTCATGCACAAGTATTAATAGTAAGCTTTTATGTGACAGGTCACATGTTGTCCATCTTACCTTGTTAAAAAAAAGTACAAAATAAAAGCATCAAAGTGCTCAAAGTTGTGCTCTTGCCACCTGGTGATACATCTTAAAAATGAACAGCAATTACAATTAAAGTGCAAACCTTCTAAAAAGGGCCACAAATTGGTCAAAAGTTAAGCAATATTCAAAATTCCAGTCTGAAATGTATATGGAATACAAACATAGGGTTGAATTAAATTGATCTGCCCCATTATCATTGATTTCAGCTATCTCAGGCTGTGAAATATTAAATATTGATGTCAGAATCGGAGCGTCATGTGCGAGCTCATGACTGGATGAAGGAGGCGTGGTTTATACTGCACCAGTTGTTTGGATTCTTCGCCTACCAGATGAACAGTTTGTCTTTGTGGATTCGAGGTGACGCATGTGAGTATTAGATATACAAACGACCTCTTTGAGGGGGAGGCATTCTTTTAAGCGCCCGGTAAGCAAAACAGGGCGGGCGATATGATCTGAATGAGCTGATTGAGACCACACAGAGAACGTCCTTTGTGGAGCCCGCGGTGGGTCCGGGTGCGAGGTTTTGCTTGCTAAACGCTATCTGCTGAGCGGCTCCGTTCATTTCAGGCTTCCATCCGCTAAAACTGAATTTGACACATGGCAGAAATCAATTAATCCCACCATGTAAAGTGACACAATAAATATAAGGGAAGAAAGAAGCCAATATTCACACATGAAAATAATCCTATTTTAAAGGCTTTTAGAGCAGGATTTGTGAATAGAAGGAGCTATAATTGCATCAAGCTAATTATGAGCTCTGCTGTGCCAATTTCTTTGCAAAGCAGCAGTGTAGGTTCCACTGAACTATTGCTTTCATACAACTATTTCAGCTCCTCATTCAATGTTTTTAAATCTCTTCAGATGTGTTTGGCTTCTCACACGCTGGCCAGTTGCCTGAAAGAAATAAACCTAAAGCATTAACATTTTAAATTGAATCCGTAACAAACGTGCTGAACAGCCGAATTCTGAAAACATGAAGCGCTTCATGCACAACTTGTTAACTTGTATTGAGTCCTCAGGGCACTTTTAATACTGGTGCTGCTATTTGTTAGATACTCCACATTTCCCTAATTTCCCAACAATCTCCACAATTACAACAGTGCTGTGCAGCGGTAAAGGCACGGCTGGGTCTCCCGTGTGAACACTGAGCTACGGTGCCGTGACAATGATCAATTAGGAAGCAGAAGGCTTCGGTTCGCAACCTCAAAATTAAGTTGTAAAAACGTAAAATATTACATTTTGAATCCCCATAAATATATTAGGGGGATGATAAACTAAAGGGGAATGGAGCGTGAACACAAAGCTTTCGCCAGGCCGATCTTGTGAGCTTTAATCTGTTAGTTATGAGCTAAACCAGCAAATATAAATCAAACAATAAGTGCTTAGTGGCCAAATTCTGAAGCCTTGGGGTCAATTTTGAGACTGAAGTACTGATACGTTTGATGGAATAATTATTTTTACATAACCAATTTTAAAAGCCATAGAATCCAACATGGCAGTGTGAGCTCCAGTGGAGATGCATTGGTATCCTCCCTGGTTTTTCAGGGAGGCAGCGCTTCACTGGGATTGAGAGCCAGGATGGAAGTGTCCAGCCAGTCTTACCTGAGCGTAGTCCCTCTCCAGCTGTCCCTTCTTCAGACTGTAGGTCCTACAAGGAGAGAGAAAGACAGTGTCTGAAAGTGTAATGTTAAGTCATTGTTATTCAAGTTCAACCGGTAGGTGTAATTTAAAAGATGTATTATTTGCTCATTAAAGAGAGGAGGCAGAACATATTCATCTTTTTTCCATTAACAGTTTCTGTACTATTATGGAAAAAGATCAAGTATGTTTGTTCTCCTCCGATTTCACCTGAGTGGACTTTTCTGTGTCTTGATGCCAGACTGACCCCACATTTTGACTCAGTCATTGTGAAAGTCCCTACAAATCCCCCCCTCGGCGCCTCGACGTCCCACGACATCGTGGAGGCAGAGACACTGGAAGCGCTTATCACGGCCCAGGAATGTGCAGAATGAAAAACATTTGATATGCGATTAAGCCGACAGATAATTGTGTCAGCAATGAACAAAGCAGCATGTAAAGAAATGACCACAGCGGCAGTACACAAAATTTCACATGCTTTTTTCAGACCGATTATATTTACCATTGTGGTAGAACGGTCCTAAATAGCCCCCATACATCGTATATGAACCCAACCGCGTTCTATGACATCTCTTCTAGAATTAAAATGATTGTTCACCAGACAGATGACAGTTTGAAATAATTATAAAAAGAGCCCACAGTGACAAAACAAGTCAAAAGTAAGCAGTTACACTTCCCTGAATAGAGTGCTACTTTGTTACTGTCATCTAAAGAGGTTATCTGCATACAATTCACATTTGATTAATAAATAATTGACATGTATGAATAAGTAAGCAGATCTAAATGTTGCTACGTGGTTAGCTCCATTATTTAGCCCAAATGACCGGCTGCTATCCGCTAGCTCAACTCTCGCCAATTTTAAGAGATTTCTTGTCCAAAACATATCATCAGCATATATTGCATCAATGTCAATCTCCCAATTATATATTTCTACTAAATATTGGATATTATTTTTTCTCCCTTGCCCTATTTATTGGACAACTGAATGACACGTTCCACTTGATATACTGCAGTGAGCGCTATATGCTTGGAACCACACAAATGCCCCTGTACACAGTCCACCACTAGAACTTTGTTCTACCAAGTTCTGATGATACGAGACCCGTACTGACTATACAAAAGGCACTGCTGGGATTCAAACACGGGATCTGCTGCTCAATAGAAAGGTCCTTTCACCAACTACGCCACAGCGTCCTGAACCCCTCAGTGGACGGATTGTTCCTGGATGGAACAAAGCGTTCCAAAACTGAGGACGGCTTTGTGAGCTTCATGAGCTAAAACAAATGTTCTTCTAACAAATCCACCACTGGAGATTCCTTCTTTCAGGTTCTGACAGAAGACTTATGCTGGCTGTAGAAAAAAGGAGTAGCAGTGAATAGAACTCAGGATCTTTTGATGACTTGTCAGTTAACCAGCTGAGTCACAGCGCCGAACGCCACTCGCTCTGTGAGGAACAATAAGTTCCAACACCAAGAATTGTTAGGTGACACTCCAGAACTGTGTTCTATTGTGGTTTTCATTCACATTAAACTACTTTGTACCCAGGACGTCTAGGTCCTCCTGTTTACTTTAATTAACTAGGTCTGCTGAGTCAGTGAATTATTTTATGTTATGGATTGTGTTGTAATGTTTTTAGTTCTCTTATTGTGATCAGCGTTAGGTGCGTGAGGTTCTTGCTCCAGTATGATAGCAAGCCAATATCAACCAGAAATTACGATACAAGCATAAATGGATCAATAACTTAAACGGCTTATCTAAACGTTGGAAAAACAGTACAGTACATTGCATGCTGGGGTTTGAGCCCAAGAGAACTACAAGAACTAAGCCAGAGCGCTCTGAACCACCCTGATATGTTCAAATCACTAATGTTTTGGGAACAGAATTTAAACAATATATTCAATGTAAAATGATAGTTAAGAGAATTATGAAAATCAAGCATAACATGTGCTCGCAGTGGGATATTCATAAAACTAATGTTTTTTCAATAAATCCATCTGTAAGGCTTTTTTCTTTTATGTTTAGATAATTACAGGAGAAAAGGCTCCCGCCTCCAGTTTTTTAGACAGGCCTTCAATACATATCATGGAAACGGAAAATAACAGCTTCTTCTTGAGAAAGCAGACTCATTTCCTGTTGAAGCAATATTTCGGGATTTATGATGTAAAACCCCTTGTAACTTGTAAAGCATTGTGTGAAAGCCGCTGTTACTCAATCGCAAAACTGAAACTAAAGTCAATTTCAGTCGCTGCTACCGGCTGTGTCAGTAAAATGAGCATGTGGAACCAACGGAGGAGAAACATATTTAAAATAATAATTTCATTATATTATTTTCTTTCATCTCCACACACACAATTAGGTTAAACTTTCTAATCTCCTGTTCTTGTACCAAAACATTATGTAAATATGAATGTAGGGCTCAAATACGACAAATACAAGCACAAGTCCATGATAAATATGTCCTGCTCCGGTATCTTAGTACTGTCATACTTAACAGGCCCTGGGATTCTCCAGGTGTTTAGTCGTAGTGCACCTAGTGACTAAACACCTGCAGAATAGCCTTTTAACAACAATTCTCCTCCGAAAAACCCTGCAGATGATGGATGTTAACCCCTTCGTTAATGAGTGGCGTCACTCATTCCTCACCAACCGCACCCAGCAGGTCAGGGTGAGCGGGACCTTGTCTGAGCGACACTTTCCTCATAGGCTGAGGGCCTTTGATGTCAACCAGAAAGTGTCGATCCTCTTCTACCACACCAGAGTTGAGATCATGCCGCAGTTTGGCACCTCGGCCGGGTTACCAAATCAACGGGCAGAGTGAAATGTATCAGGTAATGTTTGTATTTCTTAACAGCTGACACCATGGGCCTACTAACGCGTTTGCGTTGTACGCCGTGTTTCTTGAGACAGAAGGGAAAATAAATAAATCCTGAATAGATATATAGCGTGAACATTTCTAATAGCAGTGTCTGCTCTCTCTCTCTCTCTCTCTGTTTCTCCACTACTCCTTCTCCCCTCGCTTGCCTCTCTACTTTGCTCAGTCTGCCATCACTGGTGCTCGAGCTGCATGGCTCGAAACGCTGCGTCAGCTGTGCATTAAAAAGAAAATGCCCTGACGAGCGTGTCGGACAGGAAATAGCTAAGTGCGTCGGAGTGTCGGTACTGCATGTGTGCGGCGGCAATCAAACGTGGGAAAACAGCTGAGATCAATGATGTACACAGGACACAGCCTGAGATCAGTGACGACTGGATAAGCAACATGAGTCACAGACAGAGACGGAGGGTTAGGGTTATAGGGTTAGCTATAATTTATTATGTCTGTATTCAGAACACAGGAAAAAAAGATTTTTGAAGGATCAGTTGTTACCACTTAAAACATTAGTTAGTTAATAGTTGTTAAGAAAGTAAAAGCGAAAAAGTGCGATCATCAAACATGTACTGGACTTTATTGCCAACATTATTATTGGCATCCGGCCTTTATCTTTTTTTATGTAGAGGAAACATATAAACTATGATTACCTTATTAAAGACTGTTTGTTGTTGAATGTTTCACTCAAAAAAAGTGACGGAATAAAAACATTTGTTTTCTTGAAGAAAACTATAGCCAAGTGATATCAGTATGTTTTTGTGCCATTTCGTAGAGTTTATTTGTGAGTAAACTATTGTTCTAACACAGGGGGCCAAAATTCAAAACGCACTTCAGGTCGCGGGCCGAACAGAATAAACATTTATTGAACACACTAAAACTAAATGATTCTGTTAACATAAATACAAACAGACAGGAATGTTATTCTGGAATAAATAAACTTAAACTTTAAATAACTTATATATAAATATATCCAGTCAAATTTATATAAGATAGAAATATGAACATGCTGCAAAAAAACGCCTGAAAAAATAAATAGAAATTGTGACAGTGCTTGTGCTTTAAGTAAACATTAAAATAACAAATCAAAACATTTGAGTTCCTTTGCTTTCATGTCATTCGATATAAAAAACATTACATTTTAAATATCCCAAATGATTTTACTCTCCATAAAAATATCTCCTGTCAAAATTATACAAGTTAGAAATATGAACATGCTGCAAAACAAAACAAAACCTGGAAATATAAATAAAATTTGTGCTTTTCAGCAATAACAAATAACAAATCAAAACATTCAGTTTTCTTTGCCATTTTATCAGAGCTGGATTCCTGGCATCTTTTTTCGGCAACAAGTTGGTCTATGTTTGGCGTGAGGTCCCGTGTTGTGGAGACTCTCAGGATGGACTGACGGTGCTCATCAGTGAGACGACTCCTGTGTGCTGTTTTGTTTGTCTTCATCACTGAGAACAGCTTCTCACACAGATTAAGTGCTACCAAACATGCACAAGGTTCAAGCCGCATGTAGACGGAGCTGGGACATTGCTGCGGGAATGGAGTGAATAAACAGTGTCGTACTTTGTCTTTAGTGTTCCATTACACTGCAGCTCAATCAGCTCCATCTGAATCTGCACAGGTGCAGTTTCCACGTTGACGGCAAATGGGTTGCAAAACAACTCAAAATTATTTTTTTGTTCCTCAAAATCACCAAAGCGCCGTGCGAACTCTGTGCGCAGTGCGCTCAGTTTATCAGCAAAGTGCGTATTTGGGAACACCGTTGTGCCGACTTGGTTCAGCATTACTTGGCAACAGGGAAAGTGGGGCAAGTTGCACTGGTGCATTTGTGTCTCCCATAAAATCAGCTTCACTTGAAATGCCTTCACTGCGTCATACGTGTCAGTGATCATGCGGTCACGTCCCTGGAGCTGGAGGTTTAAGGCATTGAGATGTGCGGTTATGTCAGCCAGAAACGCCACGGAAAGCGCTCGGCAAGGCAGCTGAAGCGCTGCATTATGGGATCTGTAGTTTATTGTGTTATCAGCGCTTCATACCGTCGGGCCATTAGTAACAATAATATAAAATGATCACGCAGGCCGGATATTATTGCATGCCGGGCCGATATGGCCCGCGGGCCTTGAGTTTGACACATATGTTCTAACAGGTTGTGCCTCCTGGGATCCGAGACGTCTTGGAGACACATTTCTCAAACAAAACATTCTTTTAGTGAAAGCTGCTTGATGTCCCTTTGTCAAAGTTGGAGATCTTTCAAAGCACAACACTCCAATCTGTCAGAGAATAAAGTCTCTACGCTGAATGAGCCTCCACAGTCAATCAATCACGCATATTTCTCACAATAGAAAAACAGAAACGTAATCATTGTATAATATAATCTCGAATAGACGATGTTAACCAAAAGGATTTCCTACTGTTTAGTTCTTGTGCCACCTTTCCTAAAGACATGAACGTACGACAATGATAAAATAAAATCTATATCGGTGCACGGCATTAAAACTGCTGCTACCGATTATTTCCAGCTACTTGGAACTTTTTTGTGAGCGAGACTCCGCTGCTACCACGGACCTCTGAGCATGCAGCAGTAATGGGCAGTGTGCTGCAGCAGAATGTGAGATTATCCGTGCACAGGAAAAAAAGGGTCACTCCCGGACGCACACAATCACACACGCAATCACACGCGTAAATTCGCCAGAGGCTTATGCCATGAGATAATAGAAACACTGAATAAGATGATGCATAAGAGCATAAACAGTAGGATTCATTGTGTGATTGTTGAATAATGCTGCATTGACTTCTAAGGATGTTCATACAGGATTATTCTGTTATATTTGCGCGCCAGATAATGCTAAATATTCTCTGAAATGACATTTATGTAACAGATTGGGTGGTCTTATTTGATTCTTATTTGTATTATTCGTCACCCATTGTTAGCTGTCTATGTCATGGTCAGTGTTCTCTAGATGCATAGTAGGAACATGGTGCTTGTTTAGGATGTGATGTGTATTTTTTTTCTTTCACTTTCTGTTTGCTGGTGCACTTTATTTTTAACTTTTTTAACTTTTTATTTTTAACTTTTATTTTATATTCAAATTCCTCTTGCACTATGTTGTCTTATCTGTCTTGTTGTCCATTGTCTGTTTCATGTTATGCAGAAGACGGAAAGGACTTGTCATCTTCTCAGTCATCTCAGCCTTATCCGTTCGGGTCTGTATTAATTGCTTCCTTTAATACATTCATCAGGGTGTGAAGTAGCATCATGGGTCCTATTACTTTCTTAATCACAGAGGCTGCATTAAAAAATATTAACGATTTCCTTTATCTCACGCAAATGTGCCGAGCTATCTGATTTTGATTTGTTGCTGATCGAGCTATCAACAACCAAACCTGTTACGTGATCCTTTATTTCCTCTTTACCGTCACTGATGCTACGAGTACACTCTGTCTAGACTCTGGTAAACGTGATGCATTTGACTTTGCAACCTGTCTAAAACAGACTCATAACAGAGCGCTGCAGGGAAAAGCTTGCAGTTCCCTTTGCAGAAAGCCCATCGTCATACAGTGTCACGATGACGGCTTTTCTGCAATTTGATCGAGATCTACGGATGTAACCAATAGAACCCCACTGCTTTTAAAATTGTGTTATAAGTATGTTTTGTGTAAAGCTAAAGGAAGTGTGTGTGTGAGTGTGTCTTTGGGCAGACATAAGGGTATGGGGGATTTAGCTGGATTGAGGACACCAAGTTGACTCCATGTGAGTGGACTAGCTCGTCACCGGTTTCTCCTCTCTCTCTTTCTCTTATCCTCCCTCCTAAAACCAGTGCAGCTGAAATGCCGTCCCGCAGGATTAACTACACTGCTCTTTCTCTCTCCTTCTTTCTTCATTGGGTTTCAATCTTTCCCATTTCACTATTCACCATTGGTCAAACACAAGGCTCAATCCCCTATACAACTTGCAACTTATCCGTCTCCGTCTGCGCATATGCACATGTGTGTGGCTGTTGATCAAAGCCAGCCGGTGGAGTAATTAGAGTAAATAACCTCAGAGCAGATTTGGGGATTTAACTGTTAAAGTTTACTGTAGGCTTTAGGCAGGAAAATGTGTCCGTCCACCAAGCGTGTGTTTTAGTACACGAACACCCTTTCCTTAAACTGTATGGTCTACGGTTTGGAGCGATAATTTTGGTCCAGATCTATCAAAATTTAAGGAGTGTAACATCTTACACTTATTACTATAAATGACCCCAGTCAGACCCCAGTGTTGGCTTACTGGCTGGATTCCGACTGCCGTCAATTTACAAGGCAGGAATTTGACCCTATTTGGGGACAGGTGGAAATCACTGCTGCGTTATCAACTGCATCTACTGTGTGGGGCTGCAACTAATGGTTATTATTCATATTTATCAATTTGTTTTTAATGCAACATTTGAAAATAGTCAAGAAAGGTTGGTCCCAATTTCTCAGTCCGAAACTGCATTTTAAAATGTCTTCATTTTGTACGTTCAGGTTTGAGTAACCAGCAAACAAACGTTGCTATTTTAGCAAATTTGTAGAATTTTCTTTTCAGTTGATTAATTATTATCAACTAATCATTTCACCCGTATATTGTCTTAACTATGTCACATTTTAGTGGTAAGTTAGTGACAATACAAAGATCAATAAACACAGAGTGCCTGTCTCGTCCAATATTCTTCTTATTTTGGCTGAATGTAAACTATTTCCATCCATTGAGCGGGTCGCCTATTTGGGTGCTGTCGCTGAGGACAGCAGTTTGGCCAGCTGCTGTCTTTTAGCACCTCAGGTACCGCGCAGGGAAGGCAGTTGGTCATGACACCAGCCACCGTTGATCTTCCCTCTGAATCGGACTTTCAGATAACCCCAACCCCTCCTGATATTTCATCAAACATAAAACCAGTGTGTCAGCAGAAATAATTAGAAAACATTGCTAGAGACAAAGGCTAGAGGAACGCATGCTAAGAAAAATGCCACAGGCAGAGGCGTTCAACCACGGGGATGACAAAGGCCAATTTGAAGCCCTGACTGGGAGAAAGAGAAAAAAGCAAGACATTGTGGCTAGGATATGCCTAAGTGGCTCCTCCGCTCGCCCACAAGTGGGACCGGGGCCTCGTTCGCTCTCCAAAAACCCAACAACAACAAGGCAATCTGTTCTCAAACAGCTGGAGCTGCCCCCGAGAGCGAGAGGAAGAGAAAGAGAGGGAAGTCTCAGCGAGAGAAAAGGTGGAGGAGGTGTGAAAATGAGAAGCAGAGAGCGAGAGGACGGACGGTGGGTGGGGGGGGGGCTGTAGGGGGGTGGAAGCAAAGAAGAGACTTTGCTGTCATAAATAATCTATGCTTGGTCAACATGGGAAAAACAAGAGCGTGTGAAAGAAGCAGAGTTTCCTCCCATTGCGAAATCTGAAAAAAGGGAAAATCGCCGGAATCACACACCAGTGACGGAGTGCGCGGAGCGGAGCCAGGATAAAGAGAGACGGGTGGAAACGAAGGGAAAGGCCGCACAACATTTTACGAAGTGAAAATTGGAAACGAAAAGAGGGAGGAAGAAAGGGAGTGGGAAATTCCTCCGTCGTTTTCCCGAACCTTTGTCGTCCATAAAACAGAACATCACAATATCCCTCCTCCTCCTCCTCCTCTTTCTTTCCATCCCATTCCCCTCCTCCCTCACTCCTTAGTTGGTTCCTTCTTTCTGTCTTTTCTGTACACGGCTGTATCAATGTGTGCATGCCGCGCAAATCACAGTCACATTACGACTAGATGTCCAATCTTCGGAGATGGAAGTGTGGAAGTGGAAGTGTTCATACCTCATGTCTTCCAGCAGGTCACATTCGGTCTGGTGTTTAAAGTGCAGTCTTGTCATCTGCTCTGTGTGCGTGTTTTTCAGCTCCTGCGTCACTTTGACCTGGAGGAAACAAAAAGAGAATTCCAGTAAAGGTTTTTTTTACGTAATTGATTCAACCCCAAAGAATTTCAAAAATATCATCTGATCCTTTGGTTGTTATAGTAGCGATTAAATATTGTCTTTTCCTGGTTGTAAAAGGGTTTAGTGAACTGTGAATGCCTCTACTCTCCTGAAAGTCATATACACATTCATAATTTATAAGGGTTTTTTCTTTTTTTGCTCAGCGGTCGAATCCCCCGCCACTCTTTGGATTAAATGTTGCATGAAATCACAAAAAGACCCACACTAGTGTGACAAAAACCGCAACATAACCCGAAGGCCTGCTTAACTGAATTAACCATTATTCAACTACCCAAATGTTTTTTCTTTAGCATCATGCATGGCATGTTAATAACATCAATCAGCCAGCCAACCACTGGGGTTTTTGTTCACAGTGTGCGGGGGACTCCGACGCGGCGCCAGCGCTTTTTGGTTTGCGGTAGTCAGACCGGCCAGTGAGACGGGCTTCAGATGCTAGAATCATTTTAGCTGCAGGACAAGTCCTCCAGGACCAGTAAAGTCAGAGTGCATGGGTCGACAGAATTCAGGACGTCTGTCAAAAAAGAGCTTACCTCTACAAAAAGAGGAAAAAGAGTTACATCTTTACAAAAGCACAACAGAGCATAGAAAGAGTGCATATTGGTGATGACGTTATTTTCATTAACAAAGCCCTATATTTACTTATTTTAATATTATTTTTTATTTTCTCCTCTGAAGACACTAATAACAGCTGGAAGCAGCATTTAGGAGCAGACAGACCTGTACGCATTGGGAAAAGATGCTCATTGAACTTGCCGTGAGCAAAAACCTATTTTGGTGGTCACAGCGGGGGCTCTGACCTGTGTGTGTTGAGTGAGTGCAACCTAAATATGCACACAAACACACACTCCTGCCAACACAAACAGAGTCCCTGTGATGGTCATTGTGTATTTTGAATGGTGAATCCCATCAACTATTCACGAGGGTAACAGTGGGCAGATTCATGACTATTCTACTCAAAACAATCAACAACACACACCACAGTGGCTCACAAACACTCGCACACACACACACACACACACACACACACACACACTGCAGAGCTCCTTTCTTTAATGTAACATATTTCTTAGATAAGGAGGGGGTGGTTCATTACATGATCTGGGAAAAATGACTCGATTTAACCTTCCATCATTCATAGGAAACCACAGGGGGAGAGGCAGAGAGGGAGAAGGGGAAGGGCAGAGGGTGAGAACAGAGGTGGGGAGAAAAAAAATGACAAGTAGAGTGGATGAGGGAGGTGGGGGGGTTAAGTGAGAGTAAGGAAAAAGACAAGAAAGAGAGACGGTCAGTGAGAAGCAGAAGGTAAAAAACAGTGCAGTGGAATAAGGATGGGATACGGGGATGTTAATTATAATTCAAGGAGAAAAGTACATCCAGTATACTGAAGGTCATGTTGACGGGACAGAAGTCCGCTGATGCAGTGGTAGCTGTCGCAGGTCTCTCTGCCAGATAGAAAAGTGGTTCCTGTTTTTCTAAAGCAAACACGCGTATTACTACAGTTCCAGTGAGGCGTACGTCCTCACGGTATAGAAGCGCTTGGGGTTGGTCGATATGGTCTCAAAAATCTATACCAAGATAAATAAACAGATTTGACAGGGACAGTATGTATTCCTCATGATGTTTGTCCAAATTCCACTATGACAAGCTAGGAGCACTGGGCTGTTGGCAGATGTACCTGTATGTGCCATTACTCATGTTTGGTGGATGTGTTGATGAGTTTACAGAAAGACAGATGGATAATCAAATGTGTTTTGAACAAACTTTTTGCCTTACTTTGGCCTCATTGGAAGCCAATTTTTATTCAAACAATGTGAAACTAATAAATGTGAGTCAAACCAGAAAAATCTGTGAGCAGATGTGCTGAGACACAGACAACACTGCCAAACCAGTACCGATACTCTCTGGCTGTGGTTGGGCGTTTAAGTGTGCCAGCCAGAAGTGCAGGGGAAAACACATCAGTGTCTTATTGCAATTAAATACCGTTTAATTTCATTCAAATATAGTAAACGACGCTGACAGCTGACGAATGAGATATTGCAAAATGAATATCGTTGGAGTGGTGCAGCATCACACACAGTGGGACAAGGCAACCACAGCAGTCTCTGCAGCCTCAATAATGGAAGGTTTGTGTGTGTGTGTGTGTGTGTGTGTGTGTGTGTGTGTGTGTGTGTGTGTGTGTGTGTGTGTGTGTGTGTGTGTCGCTTACAGACATGATATGACATGATCAGGGCTACTCTGTGTGTAGAAACCTGAAGCATAACTGGCACTGGGGGAATATGTAGTAATTAAGAGACAACTGTTCAGAGGTTCACAGCAGGGTAATTTTGTCCCGTTCATCTATTTTAGGACAACATACACACACACACACACACACACACACACACGCGCGCCAGTGCCAAACCACCATAGGGGACTGACTTCTTTCTCAGCCCGTACTGAATCAATGAGTAAGTATTAGTCGTCTCGGAGTGTGTTTTTGTCAGCTCAGCCTCTGATGAAAAAAGAGATGTGACCGAGTGACTGAAGGTCTTCCCTCAAGCAGACAAGAAGCAACACAACGCGGTGAAACGAAAGCGATGTGTAACGCTGACTGTTGTCACAAATCCACAATTTCTAAACGAGTAGAATCAAACCTTCTGTGTACTGTGGCGTGAACAGTTGCCGTAACGTCGCCGTCATAAGTGTGCAAATGCTAATGTAATTTTTTTATTTTTTTTTATTTAAAGTTATTTTTACTACATGATGTAAGGTTATGAAAAGGACTGCAACGATATAACATTGCCGCACTAACATGGTGAGGTGTTTTGTAACGTTGTAAAACGCTCCACGTTAGCCCACCTAGCTTTCTCTAGCTAACGGTATTTGACGGCTGACGCTGGTAGCGTTCCGCTATAGATGGATAATAATGTCACTGGGTTAACGTCTCTGACCTAGCTAGCGAGCGTTGCTAATGTCCGCAAGCCAATGTCTTTCTCCCCCCCCCCCCCCCCTTTTTTTTTATCTTAACAAGTCGGCCGCGTCGGAAACTTTTTGTAAGTTTAAAAAAAAAAAATCCTCCAACTCTACTGGACCCTGTTATCTGTCAGTCATTTCTGGGGCAGCCCCAGCTAACACATACACGGACTCCTGAAAATCACTCACCTTCTTCGGGGGCGGCTGCATTTTGGAGTATTGACATGAATGGTATTTCCTTTGCGAGCAGTATTGTAATTCCAAGTGGAAATCCAAAATTCGGTGGGGGGGGACTAATATTTGGTCTCCTCAAAACAAAAAATCCTCCCCTTCAGACAACAGGGGGGGCAGTGGGGACGTTAGGGGGGGGGGGACTGACTGATGGGAGTTAAATTTGTACTCCGGCCGCCATGATTGATGATAAATGGCTTAGTTTGTAGTGAAGCTACGAGGAGAGGCTGGACACGCTTGTGGTGGCTGCTGCCACTACCAGAGGACTAGCTGGTGTTTACTGTACTGTGTGAAGAAGCACAGGAGGGCAGACAGGCAGGAGAATGGGGGGGGGTATTTAACGAGGAACGACCTCCTCGACATCGAAGCTCAACGGCTCCCCGACGTGGCGACGGACGGGACAGTGCCGCGAACAGAAAGACATCCTCTTAAAAAAAAAAAAAAAAAAAAAAGATTCCGGCTCCACTCGCCCGCCGTCGAAAGGGAGCCAAAGCCCAAAAAGGGGTTTTCAAAAGAAAATCAAGGGGACGCGGAAATGTGACAAACACAAAATGAGACTCGTTGTCTCGCTCGGCACAAGGGGCTTTCCGAAGCTGCCTCGAGGAGACCGCTGATAGGAGCCCGCGTCCCGCAGACCTGCATAGCAACAAGAAGCCGCAGTCGATCGCAGAGAAATCGATAACGGTGTAAGATGATAAACAGTGTAAAAACACACGTGGAAGAAGAAACAAAAGATCCATTTTTTCTTGTTTGTAATGTGCATTCAGTATGTATTTTCTGCCCATGCCCTGAACTAAAATTATTTTAGGCTTTTGGGCATATTGTGTCAAATAAACAAATACATATAAATATTCATACAATATAATGCATTGGCAAAAGGTTAATTACTTTTGTCTACTTTTTAGGATTTAGTATCATCTAGTGGGGTAGCAGGGAGTAGAGAGGTTATAAAATTAGGTTCATTTGAAGTGGATGAGTGAACAATTCCAAGGATACATCACAATAGAGAGGGTCTGTTTCCATGTGAAAGAGTTGGGTCCACATGCATGTAGACTTTATGTGTATGTGTGTTAGGTGTACTTGTGGATAAATTATATAATATAAAACAACAATATCAAAGTACAAGTATTTTGTGATATGGTTGGCAACAATGTCTGTCAGGCAAGTACTGTATTTCACGCCTCCTACGTGCCATGGCCAAGGTTGTGGTTAAGGGCCATGTAATCATTAATACACCGAGTTTCTGGAGCCGGTAAGACATTAAGTTCTCCTTCTCACCTTTCCCCGTCAGTATAACATTCAAACTGACACACATATTCAAACACATGTTCACACACGATCACAGTCAGATCACCCACACAAGAAACTTTTTGCCAATGACAAAGAAAATGTCTGACAGTGATTGTTGGATCATACCGGTTCTGCTGGGATCCGGCCGGGATTGCCTATAATTCATGATTTGTCTTATGATTCGCCGCTGGAGCACATCTTCAGGCTTTCTAAGGTAAGTCTTGTACTGTAAGACTAAATATTGACATTTGTGATTACATCACAGGATATCACAACTTGCTAAATTCTTTTGATCGTACGTTTTTAGGGTGGCGAAAACCTTTTCCTGTTCACATTTAGTCAACATCTGAGCCCTGGGCTCCGTGTTGCGCGCAGGCCGCAGCTTGTCGGACAGACACACACTTCCACAGGTCTTTCGCACAAGTATTTTAGGCATTCCGCATTAGAGAACACCGTCAGACACTCTGAGCACTTCTTCTCGCAGGTATGAGGATCCATTCCACAGGATGGTCAGCACACTGAAGATTCAGTCAGTGTGAGTCATTTCAAAGGTTCTAGGAACTTTGTCGCTAAATTGGGGGGATTTGTTGTATATTTCCTGGGAGGTAATGTAGTCATTCTCGTCTGACTGATTGTGCAAACAACCAGCCCGGATTGCTGAGCTAGTCATGCTCAGCTTGGTGTGGCACGCACACAGCGGTTCAGCGCCATGTATAGTGGACGACAAAAGAGGGCCGCTCTGTCTCAGGTCTGTTATCCGTTCAATTCATCCCAGAGCTGTTTAAAAGAGAAAAAGGCAGTGAAGACATCGAAGGGTGCAGATTGATCAAGAGGCGTTGTTTTTGTGAAAGTCAGAGGGAGAGAAAAAAGGTATAGGTTTACATGCTGGTTATAAAGGCATCCGTTCAATGAACTAGAACGGAAAGAACATTTTCAACATAGTATCTAAACGAGGTCTAATTTAGGTTTAAAAGTTAAAATTCCTCGGTTTCGCCCTTTCTCAGCTGTGATTCTACATAAAAAAATGGCTCAAAAAAGGGCCAGAACATTTTCTGCTACTTTCTAATTTTGGCAAAAAAGCTTTTACCATAAATGCCGTAACTTTGCGTTAGTTGGTCATGTATGATATATGTTTTTTTATCCTTTATGGGAAAGTGGAGTTAATAAGGTTAGACATAAACGTATTTCCGTGATCTGCTGAGAAAAGGTTAAAGATGTAACACTCAGTACGCCTCTATTTGCCATTCATAGGATATTCACTCACACCCTTGTACATTTATTGCATAAGAAGAAGTATTAGATCATGATTTGAGGGGTGGCCACCACTTAAGTGCCCTCTTCTCTTCTTCTCTCATTTATTTAACCATCCACTAAGAGCATCAGCAACAAAGTGATTCACATTCTGTAATTTGCACCTTAACTTTGAAGCCATGAGCAAAATTGGATAACTCGATTTGATTATGCCTGAGTGTGGATTGCCAAAGTGAACAACTTGGGGCATTCAGATATGTAATCTAGTCACTTTCTCCAGTTCTTTCTATTTCTACGTAAAGAACCACCTCTCAAAGTGCAAAGTTTCCAGGTTCAAGCGCAGCACGTTCATACTCTACTTCTTCTCCTCAGGTATCTTCATAACCAAGATGGCCACTTGGGACAACAACGTAACCAGCCAAACCAATTACAGCAACTTCTACTGTCGCTTTGAAGAACGTTTCAAATACATTCTCCTGCCCGTCAGCTATTCCCTGGTCTTTGTTATCGGCTTGGCGCTGAACGCTACTGCGTTGTATGTGATGCTGTTCCGCACCAAGCGCTGGAAGTCCTCCACTATCTACATGTTCAACCTGACCGTGTGCGACACCCTGTACGTGCTCACTCTGCCCTTCCTCATCTACTACTACGCGGATGAGAACGACTGGCCTTTCAGCGAGCCGTTGTGCAAGATTATACGCTTCCTGTTTTACACCAACCTGTATGGTACGGCGATGGCGTGACGTGTGATGTGTAACAGATAAGGCATTGTGATGTACCACAACACGATGAAACGATGTAATCAGATATCTATCACTCTGGCAGGTTCAATAATGTTCCTGTGCTGCATCAGCCTGCATCGCTTCATCGGCGTCTGCTATCCAGTCCGCTCCCTCTCCTGGGTCAGCGCTCGTCGTGCCAAGCTGGTGTCTGTGGCAGTGTGGGCCTGTGTTTTACTCTGCCAGGCACCTATTCTTTACTTCTCAAGAACTAGGTGAATTCAATTTGTCTATTTGTCGCTGTCCCTCTTTCTTTTCCCTTCATTACTCACATGCTCTGTGCATCCATTCCTGTGGCACACCAAGTTCCTCAGGATACCTTAAAGCAGGGGTCCCCAACATTTCTTTGCCTCACGAACCGGTTTCATGTTAGACAATATATTTCGTCTTGAAGGTGCGGGGGCCGACCTGCTGAGGTGGGGGCTAGTAATCATTTGACAAAAACAAGTCAAATTATATCATTTCTTTTTAAGTGGCTCGATGGTTGGGAACCTCTGCCCCAATGGAACACACATAAATGATCACTCCTTCCTTTTTTCCCGTGAGTCAATGCCGCGCAACAAAGCACTACGTTAAATAATCCCAAAACAATGTTAATCTCTTTTTCAGTAAAAGCGAGAGTGTTCGGATCTGCTACGACACAACCAGCCCGGATCTCTTCGATGACTTCCTGTTGTACAGCTCTGCCGTGTCGGTGCTCATGTTTGCCCTGCCCTTCATGGTGGTGATGGTGTGCTACGGCCTCATGGTGCGGAAGCTTCTGGAGCCTGGCTGGGCGTCTGAAGGGGGCGAGAGGGGAGGCCTGTCAGCCCGGCGATTGAAGCAGAAGTCGGTGAAGATGATCATTGTTGTGCTGGCAACGTTCATGATCTGTTTCCTTCCGTTCCACCTCACCAGGAGCCTCTACTATTCTTTCCGATACCTGAGGCAGGTCGATCCATCACAGGTGAGGACAAAGGCTTTGATGATAAATGCGATCTAATAACTTTAAAAGCTTGGTACATCACAGTTTTAAACATTCACCAGATCAGCTGTAAGTTGCTTGAGGCCTCCAGTGTGGCCTACAAGGTGACCCGACCTTTGGCCAGCACCAACAGCTGTGTGGACCCCATCCTTTACTTCCTGGCTGGGCAGAACGTCCGCAGTAGCCTCACCAAGAAGATTCGGTCCACACCGCCAAGCGTGAGCCAACGAGTGACAACTAAACTCTGATCCAACACCTGTAAATACTTTGGTTTGGATTTAAATGCAAAGGTCTGAGGTGATAATTGTAGAAGTGACACACAGGGTTTTGGTTTGTGCTGTTCTGTAGTTCAAAATGTAAAGGAATTAAACATTCTTTATTACAAACATGTAGAAACGTTAACGGACTGGCTGTGTTGTTTCATATTTAGTTTTCTCTTCTCCAATTTCCAATTTGTTTATCGCCGTGATTTGTGGCGGGCGGCTGTAAAATGAGACTCACATTCTGTGTGCCCATTTCACGAGGAGGTGTAGGTTGGTTCGTGTTTGCTTCTGATTTTAGTTGATGATTCTCTTTTATATATTGTGATTATACAGCTTCTGGGCAGCTGAGTGGGATATTGGAAACAGCAGAAGTCAGTTGTAACGTCAGTCTGTTGATTGTAATGAGTTTGGAAAGTGTTAACTGTGATTTGGGAGTAGAGTATTAGTTATAGTGTAGCTTGGAACCACTTGGTGCATATCAATTGTAGTGTTGATTTATATAATTAGTGGTTATAACAAGCAGACCACTAGAGGGCGACACTGTCAAACCAACAAGACAGTCCGTTGCTTTTAGTTTTTAACTATTTTTTAAAAACTTTTCTACTAGATTTATCCTCACATTCACAGACAACAGCCGACAGACGCCAAAGTTATTGAATCACAAGTAAGACAGCATTTAAAATACATCTCTTCGTTGTTTCAAGAGTAAAAACGTCGAACAGAAAAATGTTATATTATAAATGCACCCTGCAAAGTCATTGAGATGAAAGCTCCCTTCCTACTGGCAACCCTCCAGATTGAAAACATCAAATAATAAACCCAATGACAGTAGTACAAACAGATCGAATGAAAATGTGTGACTGCTGCTGCCAATAAATATCCAGTCCTCCAGACATGTTAAATTCATAAACATAATAAGAAATATGTGTGGGTAATTATAATAAACTCTTTGGAATCCAAAAGAACCTAAACTGAAGTCAAGTGAGCTGCATGACTTTGAGGCATTTCAACCACTAATCCACTGCAGCTACTGAATGGGTTATTTAATTAAACTGTAAAAACCGTGTGTGTGTGTGTATTTTTTATGGAAGTGATTTCTTACACTTGTGGCGATTACGTTAATGGAGTCTGTGTATGTGTACTGCATTAGTGTTTTTAGGTTTAGAACCCCCCACCCCCCTCCCTCCCACAAAACTCAAATTGCAGGGGAAAACAGCATGTATATTATATCCAGTTTAACCAGAATCCGCTTATATTCATGATGGTGCATGACTTGCCTATTCCTGGTTCCCGTCTGCGTTTTGCCCTTTTTCGAATTTTGACTATTAGTCCTTTTTTGTTTTCAACTCTGCGTTTGAGTCCTGCCTCTACCTACCGACCACGCGACCACTCGCGTTCCCCCTGAGCCGCAGCGACCTCCCACCCCAGTACGCCTATCTCCGAATCGCACCCCCAGCAGACGGCGCCTCCGAGCCCGGCTCCTGTCCGTCCACCGTGCCGTCCCCCGGAGGCTCCCCGGGCCGCCTGATCAGTCTCCGGGCCGCCCACCGGAGTTCAAGCTGCCCGACCCCCTGCAGCCGGCGCCGTCGTGCCCGTCTCCCCTTAATTCAGAATAATTCAAAATTATTTTAGAGACAGTTCCTTGATTAAGTGCTCATACTCTTTGTAATATCCTTTCCAAGAGAAACAGAGCAGGTAATCCACTTCTGAAAGAATGTGAGCTTTAACCTGTAAAAACGAGTCGCATCAGTACAAAGACGTAGGGAAGAGAAGAGTTAATACGGTGAGTGATGGGATGGAAGCAGAAAGGGAAAGCGACAAAATGTGTGTTGCGCGTTGTACCTGCTGATGCCCGTTGATGAAGACGAACAGAACGGTTTCCCTCCAAAGAGCGAGTGGCGTTGCTCCTGGGTTGATGATTTGATCACCATTACATTCATGGCAATCATGACTTTACCACGGCCACAAAACACACGTTTTTGCAGTACAGTAGATTTGAATTGTCACTGTGGCAGGTTCGTCCTACGGGGGGTCCCGGAATGACGAGAGTGCAGCGGTCTGTTCCATTTTATCCTCTTTATTTTAATGTTCACACACAATACTAGACAGCCGGCTCTAGCCTCCTCGCCCGCAGTCTCTCGCTGTCACCGGATTTCTCCTTCTTAAAGGTAGGACACACTGATTAATTTCACCTGAGGCCAATTGCCTCCCCCGACACCGTTCCCTGAACCACTCCCTTCTCCGTCCCCCCTGCAGCAGAGCCAAACCACGCCCGCCACCACATACCCCCACCGCCCGACTTAGGCCTGGGAGCCATCCGGCCGAACCTACTCCCCCCCCTCGCCCTTGAGAGGGAGAGGAAGTCTGCCACGACCATCTGTGCCCCCGGCCTATGGACCACCTTGAAATTAAAGGGCTGTAGAGCCAGATACCACAGAGTGATCTGGGCGTTGGCATCTTTCATGCGGTGGAGCCATTGGAGCGGGGCGTGGTCCGAACAGAGGGTGAATGAGCGTCCCAGGAGGTAGTAGCGTAGGGAGTCGACCGCCCACCAGATGGCCAGGCACTCCTTCTCCACTGTGCTGTACCTGGCCTCCCTCCCGGACAGCCTCCTACTGATGTAAACCACGGGGCAGTCCACCCCCCCACCTCCTTGGACAAAACGGCCCCCAGCCCCCTGTTCGACGTGTCGGTCTGCAGAATAAAGGGGAGAGAGAAGTTAGGAGTATGAAGGAGTGGTTCCCCACAGAGAGCCTGCTTTACCTTCTCAAATGCCTGCTGGCACTGCTCCGACCACTGGACCGGATCTGACGCACCTTTCCGGGTCAAGTCGGTCAAGAGGCTGGTGAGGTCCGCGAAGCCGGGGATGAACCGCCTGTAATACCCCGCCAGCCCCAAGAACCGCCTCACCTCTTTTTTTGTCTTGGGCCGCGGGAAGGCCGCAATAGCTGTCGTCTTGTCTACCTGAGGGCGCACCTGCCCGCCCCCCAAGTGGTACCCCAAATACCGTACCTCCACCTGTCCAACTGCTCACTTCCCCGGGTTGGCGGTGAGCTCCGCCCGTCCCAGCGCCTCCAGCACCGCGGCCACCTGCCGCACAGGAGTTTGTCGACCCGGGGCATTGGGTAGGCATCGAACCGTGACACGTCATTCACCCTGCGATATTCCACGCTGAACCGTACAGATCCATCCTCCTTAGCCACAAGGACGATGGGGCTGCACCAGGCTGTGTGACTCTGTTGGACTCTTCTATTACCCCAAACTCCAACATACTCGCCAATTCCCTCCGAAACACTTCTTTCTTGTGTTCGGTCAACCTGTAGGGTCTTGACCCCACCGTCACGCCCGGGGGCGTCTCGATACTGTGCACTATGAGATCGGTCCGGCCTGGCAAGGGAGAGAACACATTAGGAAACCACTCCTGCAACCTGGCGAGGTCCGCCCTCTGGCTCTTGGAGAGATGAGCGTCTCGAGGGAGTGAGGTATGATTACCTGCTTTTGGAACCTCCGGCCCCAGCTCCTCCCTTTCGATACCGCAGCGACCAGAGAGACGGACTGACCCCTCTCCAGGCTTTCAGGAGGTTCAGGTGGTATATCTATGTACCCCCGCCCCTGTCAGACCGCACCACCTCGTAGTCGACGTCCCCCACCTGCTGTGTGACCTCAAAGGGCCCTTGCCACTTGGCTAGGAGTTTAGAGTTGGAAGTAGGAAGTAACACAAGTACCTTTTCTCCCGGTGTGAATCGTCACAGCCTGGCCCCTCTGTCATACAGTCGTTGTCGCTCCTAGGCCTGCAGCAAATTCTCTCGTGATAGCCGGCCCAGTGTGTGGAGTTTTGCTCGCAGGCCCAGGACGTACTGGATCTCATTCTTGCAGGGGCTCGGACCTTCCTCCCAGCTTTCTTTAATCAGGTCCAGCACCCCTCGCGGCGTCCTGCCAAACAAAAGTTCAAAGGGAGAAAATCCCGTGGAGGCCTGGGGGACCTCCCGCACTGCAAACAACAGAGGGTCAAGCCAGTGGTCGCAATTATGTTCATCGTTGCTAATATATTTACAGATCATGGACCTCAGAGTCTTATTCATGCGTTCTACCAGCCCATCCGTCTGCGGGGGTGATACACGCTCGTACGAATGGACTTGATGCCCAGTAACTCGTAAAGTTCTTAGTGTGCACGACATGAACGAGGTGCCCTCGTCAGTCAGAATCTCCTTAGGGATTTCAACTCGGGAGATGACCTGAAACAGAGCCTGCGCGACGCTCTTTGCAGAGATATTGTGCAACGGCACTGCCTCCGGATAACGCGTTGCGTAATCCACGAGAACTAACACAAAGCGATATCTGCGTGCGCTCCGGTGAAACGGCCCGATGAGGTCCATGCCGATCCACTCAAACAGAACCTCCATCAATGGCAGAGGACGCAACGACGCCCTCGGAATGGCCGGAGAGTTCACAAACTGATACTCCGGGCAGGACTCACACCGATGGCGCACGCCCCCCCGGATGCCTGGCCAATAAAATCGGGTCATTATCCGGTCTAGCGTTTTCTCGTATCCCATGTGACCAGCCATCGGGTTATAGTAAGCCGCCTGGAAAATCATTTCCCGGCGGCTTTTCAGCACCAGCAACTGAGTGTTTTCCTGCCCCGTCCGAGTGTCATGACTCACTCTATACAGTCTGTCCCTAATCAATGAAAAGTGCGGAAATGACTGCACTGCGTCAGGGTGATTCGTATCGCTTGGTCGTAGGTTGAGCGTAGGGTATCGTCACGAGAATTTTCGAGTGGAAAATCTTCCATGAAGCAAAACTCGGGAGTCTCTACTGAAGGCTCCGCGGGTTCCCCCTCCCCGTCTGCACTGTCGGACGACCCCGCGTCACCGCTGAGCACAGCACACATCTCGCATAGCCCTGTCGGTCGTGAACGCACCCCGCAGCCCCGCCCATTAGCTTATCAAACCCCGGCCAATCTGTACCTAAAATGACGGGGTGCGTCAGGCGGGAGCTAACCGCGACCTTCATTCTATGCTTTTCCCCCGCAAATCTAATTTCCACCGATATCACAGGATACTCGTGAACATCCCCATGCACACACCGTATTCTCACCCGGTCTGCCTCCACCAATGCCCCCGGGCCAAACCAGGCTCTGGTGCGTACAGCCCGAATCCACCATCGCCTGGCGTGTACGCCCTGGATTCTTACCGGAACGTGGTACGTCGCTCCCGGACCGGGGGAGGGTGCCGGAACGCCGGCAACTCGGGAAGGGTGCCTGGGTCCCCCAGGGCCGGTGGGTTGTGGCCCGGGGTACAGGGTACCTGCCGCGGAGCCGGCCTGGATCGCTCCTCCGTTCGCGATGGCCTCCCCCTCCGCGGTGCAACTTCTGGTCGGGCCGACGCCGGCAGGCTCTTCCTCCTGGGCCTGTCTCCCCACCTGGGCCTGGAGCGCCCCCAGGAACTGCCGGTTCCGCCTGCTCACTCTGGATGGCCGCCAGCTCTCCGATCATTCGGCTGAGCGCCATGAGCGGTTGGGCCGGCGTCCCCAGCTGGTGTCCGTCATACGCCGCATCCTCCCCCGAGCCACGTTGGGCGCCACTGTGGCAGGTTCGTCCTACGGGGTCCCGGAACAACGAGAGTGCAGCGGCCTGTTCCATTTTATCCTCTTAATTTTAATGTTCACACACAATACTAGACAGCCCCCTCGCCTCACTCCGCAGTCTCTCCTCCTGTCGCCGGATTTCTCCTACTTAAAGGTAGAACACACAGACACACTGATTGAGTTCACCAGGCCAATTGCCTTCCCCGACACCGTTCCCTGAACCACTCCCTTCTCCGTCCACCCTGCAGCCGAGCCAAACCACGCCCGGCACCACAGTCACATAAGGACAATTTGTATAAATTACTGATTAAACCTTTATTTAACTGGATTGTGGTAAAATGACTGGGGAATTGTCAGTGGTTGAAGGAATGCTTAATTATGTCAGTTCAGTATGTAGATTAAGTAAAAGTAGCAATACCACAGTGTAATAATAAACCATTAAGAGCATTGAAAGGTGGAAATACAGAAGTGAAAAATGTTCATACATTTTGGCATTACAGCGGTAGCCGTGTCTGGGGGCCAGGCCGAAGAGGCCAGAGATGGTGTGAAGGTGGGACTGATGGGGGCACAGCTGGGGAGGGAGTGGAAAGTGGACAAAGGAGACAGCATGGGGAACCTGGGAGGAAGGACAGGAGAGGATGAGGAGGGAGGGAACACACATGTCAGTTAAAACGTTTTTTTTTTTATGAAGATTTTTTTTAAATACATTTTTTTATACATATATGACAGGATGCCTTCATTTTATGATTTGTCTCATGATTCGCCACTGGAGGACGTGTTCAGGCTTTCTAAGGTAAGTCTGTTGCTGTCACATTTGTGACACATCACAACTTGCTAAATTCTTATTAAATTCGTTCTTATGGAGGGAAAACCTTTTTCTATTCAGCGCCCGTTTCACAATCAGTCAACATCTGAGCCTCGGGCTCAACTGCTCCGTGCTGTGTGCAGGCCGCAGCTTGTCCGACAGACGCACACTTCCACAGGTCTTTCACCCACTGAAGTATTTTTGGCAATCCGTCTTAGAGAACACCGTTAGACACACCGAGCACTTCTTCTCGCAGGCATGAGGATCCATTGCACGGGATGGTCAGCACATTGAAAGCCAATAGCATTCAGCCAGTGTGAGTCATTTCAAAGGTTCTAGGAGCTTTGGGGATAAGTTGGGGAGATTTATTGTATATTTCCTGGGAAGTAATGTAGTCATTCTCATCCGACCAATTGTACAAACAACCAATCCGGATTGCTGAAATAGTCATGCTCAGTTTCGTGTGGCGCGCACAGAGTGGTTTGGAGCCATGTGGACTACAAAAGAGGGCCGCTCCATCTAAGGTCTGTTATCCGTTCAATTCATCCCAGAGCTGTTTTAAAGAGAAAAAGGCAGTGAAGACATCGAATGGGGCAGATTGATCAAGAGGTGTTGTTTTTGTGAAAGTCAGAAAGGGAGAGAGGGTCAGCACTTCAGCTCCGATTTACGTGCTGGTTTAAAGGCATCAGTTCAATGTTATTCCATGATTATGTTTTTAGACCTACGGACAAAGGAAAAATGAAGTGAGGTCAACAATGTGCATTCCAACGACTAGAATGGAAAGAAAGGTTTCAACATGGTCTCTAAACAAGGTCTGGTTTAGGTTTATACGTTAAAATTCCTCGATTTCTACATTAAAAAAATGGCTCAAAAAAGTGCCAGAACATTTTTTCAGGTACATGGGTGGCAAAAACCACAAATGCCTTATCCTAGTGTGAATCTTCCGCAGCTCATGTATGTTAGTTAGTCATGTGTGATATATATTTTTCTATCCTTTACGGGAGAGTGGAGTTAATAAGGTTAGACATATAAGTATTTCAGTAATCTGCTGAGACAAGGTTAAAGATTGCTCATTGGTCAACAACTACCATCGTTACACTCAGTACGCCTCTATTTGCCATTCATAGGATATTCACTCACACCCTTGTACATTTATTGCATGAGAAGAAGTATTTGATCAGGATTTGAGGGGTGGCCATTTAAGTGCCCTCTTCTCTTCTTCTCTCATTTATTTAACCATCCACTAAGAGCATCAGCAATAAAGTGATTCACATTCTGTAATTTGCACCTTAACTTTGAAGCCATGAGCAAAATTGGATAACTCGATTTGATTATGCCTGAGTGTGGATTGCCAAAGTGAACAACTTGGGGCATTCAGATATGTAATCTAGTCACTTTCTCCAGTTCTTTCTATTTCTACGTAAAGAACCACCTCTCAAAGTGCAAAGTTTCCAGGTTCAAGCGCAGCACGTTCATACTCTACTTCTTCTCCTCAGGTATCTTCATAACCAAGATGGCCACTTGGGACAACAACGTAACCAGCCAAACCAATTACAGCAACTTCTACTGTCGCTTTGAAGAACGTTTCAAATACATTCTCCTGCCCGTCAGCTATTCCCTGGTCTTTGTTATCGGCTTGGCGCTGAACGCTACTGCGTTGTATGTGATGCTGTTCCGCACCAAGCGCTGGAAGTCCTCCACTATCTACATGTTCAACCTGACCGTGTGCGACACCCTGTACGTCCTCACTCTGCCCTTCCTCATCTACTACTACGCGGATGAGAACGACTGGCCTTTCAGCGAGCCGTTGTGCAAGATTATACGCTTCCTGTTTTACACCAACCTGTATGGTACGGCGATGGCGTGACGTGTGATGTGTAACAGATAAGGCATCGTGATGTACCACAACACGATGAAACGATGTAATCAGATATCTATCACTCTGGCAGGTTCAATAATGTTCCTGTGCTGCATCAGTCTGCATCGCTTCATCGGCGTCTGCTATCCAGTCCGCTCCCTCTCCTGGGTCAGCGCTCGTCGTGCCAAGCTGGTGTCTGTGGCAGTGTGGGCCTGTGTTTTACTCTGCCAGGCACCTATTCTTTTTTTTACAAGAACTAGGTGAATTCAATTTGTCTATTTGTTGCTGTCCCTCTTTCTTTTCCCTTCATTACTCACATATTCTGTGCATCCATTTCTGTGGCACACCAAGTTCGTCAGGATACCTTAAAGCAGGGGTCCGCAACATTTCTTTGCCTCACGGACCGGTTTCATGTTAGACAATATGTATTGCAGACTGGTCATGAAGGTGTGGCGGCTGTCCTCGGGAGGGGAGGGAGGGCGCACGGCCAAAAAACACTTTGATGACAATTGGGAAATGTGTCAAGAGGTGTAATTGGGAGAGAATCCGGTCAAGTGGCTCGTGGGTTGGGGACCTCTGCCCCAATGGAACACACATAAATGATCACTCCTTCCTTTTTTTCCGTGAGTCAATGCCACGTAACAAAGCACTACATTAAATAATCCTCCAAAAATGTCAATCTCCTTTTCAGCGTCAGAGAGGGTAAACGGATCTGCTACGACACAACCAGCCCGGATCTCTTCAATGACTTCCTGTTGTACAGCTCTGCCGTATCGGTGCTCATGTTTGCCCTGCCCTTCATGGTGGTGATGGTGTGCTACGGCCTCATGGTGCGGAAGCTTCTGGAGCCTGGCTGGGCGTCTGAAGGGGGCACGAGGGGGGGCCTGTCAGCCCGACGATTGAAGCAGAAGTCGGTGGAGATGATCATCGTTGTGCTGGCAATGTTTATTCTCTGTTTCCTTCCGTTCCACCTCACCAGGAGCCTCTACTATTCTTTCCGATACCTGAGGAACGCCGATCCATTACAGGTGAGGACAAACGCTTTGATGATAAATGCGATCTAATAACTTCAAAAGCTTGGTACATCACATGTTTAAACGTTCACCAGATCAGCTGTAAGTTGCTTGAGGCCTTCACCATGCCCTACATAGTGACCCGACCTTTGGCCAGCGCCAACAGCTGTGTGGACCCCATCCTTTACTTCCTGGCTCGGCAGGACGTCCGCAGTAACCTCACCAAGAAGATCAGGTCATTTTTATCCAGACTACGGGTAACAAACGAGTAAAATGAGACTCACATTCTGTGTGCCTGTTTCACGAGGAGGTGTAGATTGGTTCATGTTTGTTTCTGATTTTGGTTGATGATTAGTTGCGGTCGTCGTGGCGCAGGGGGTAGAGCGGGTGTCTGGGAACTGCAAGGTTGGTGGTTTGAGTCCTGGCTGCCCCATGTCTCAAGTCGAAGTGTCCCTGAGCAAGACACCTAACCCCTAATTGCTCCCTGGGCAAAAATGTAAAACCCATGGGTTTAAAGTGTAATGTAAGTTGCTTTGGATAAAAGCATCAGCTAAATGACATGTAATGATTCTCTTTTATATATTGTGTCTGATTATACAGCTTCTGGGCAGCTGAGTGGGATATTGGAAACATCAGAAGACAGTTGTAATGAGTTGTGTGTTAACTGTGATTTGGGAGTAGAGTATTAGTTATAGTGTAGCTTGGAACCACTTGGTGCATATCAATTGTAGTGTTGATTTATATAATTAGTGGTTATAACAAGCAGACCACTAGAGGGCGACACTGTCAAACCAACAAGACAGTCCGTTGCTTTTAGTTTTTAACTATTTTTTAAAAACTTTTCTACTAGATTTATCCTCACATTCACAGACAACAGCCGACAGACGCCAAAGTTATTTAAAATACATCTCTTCTTTATTTCAAGAGTAAAAACGTCATACAGAAAAATGTTATATTATAAATGCACCCTGCAAAGTCATTGAGATGAAAGCTCCCTTCCAACTGGCAACCCTTCAGCTTGAAAACATTAAATAATAAACCCAATGACAGTAGTACAAACAGATCGAATGAAAATGTGTGACTGCTGCTGCCAATAAATATCCAGTCCTCCAGACATGTTAAATTCATAAACATCATAAGAAATATGTGTGGGTAATTATAATAAACTCTTTGGAATCCAAGAGAACCTAAACTGAAGTCAAGTGAGCTGCATGACTTTGAGGCATTTCAACCACTAATCCACTGCAGCTACTGGATGGGTTATTTAATTAATCTGTAAAAACTTAAAATGTGTGTGTGTGTATTCTTTATGGAAGTGATTTCTTACACTTGTGGTGATTGCATTACTGGAGTCTGTGTATGTGTACTGCATTCGTGTGTTTAGTTTTAGAACCCCCCACAAATGTTGCACTCAAATTGCAGGGAAAAAAAAATGTATATTATATCGAGTTTACCAGAATCTGTTTATATTCATGATGGTGTGTGTGAGTTTCTTACTAAAGGACAAAAAGTGTCACTTATTGGTGCAGCGCAGTTGTCTTTCACCTCCTACAAACGGTATGCTAAAATGCTAATAGGCAGAACTGTTTTAATATACCCACCCATATTTACATATGCACATTCATTTACATGGTCTATTCTACAAAATTGATATCTCTATCTATCATCTTCATGGTTGCACCAAACGGACAGTTGCAGCCTCTTACTGCCATTGGAAAGCAGTGTTGTAAAGAACATGCTGTGATCCAGTTTGGGGAGAACATTTTGGACCTGGTCTAGTAGCCTAAAGTTTGCAAATGTAATGATTAATGCCAACTGTGAGTAGGGGTGCATCGCTGAATGCTTCTCAAACTCTCAAAGGTTCACTGAACTCAGCGAGAGCATCTTCTGTTAAGTCTACATTCAAAATATTCAAGGTGTAAGAGTGAGTTGGATAACTTAACTATTAAAACATATTCAAATCAACAAAATTATATGCAATGTTATGACATTTTGTCCTTCTAATACTTGTAGTACTGTACGCTTACATTAAGTGTCATATGACCAAAATCCTGGAGGCTTCTATTTCTGCAAAACCAGATCGCTTGATAATGAAATCTTTGATAGTCTTATAGTTCTTATGGCACTTGATCACAGACAATTTGGTTTGATGTTTTTCTAATGTGCAAATGTTTGTTCCACTCTTGTGTTCACCTATTTGTGCTTTAACCTTGTCTGTTATTTCTTTTTTACATGGAAGCACAAATATTGGGTCTGAGTGACAATATATTATCCAAACTCCTTCTTTCTCGTTCCCTCTGTTAGACCTTGGCAATATTTTATCACACTCCCTCTGTCTACTGGGACACTGATGTGATTGGAGTTGAACCTCTACGATCTTACGTCTGAAACATCTCTCAAGTAGAATAACATTTTTATGTGATAATAAATACAGTTATATTGTCCCATCGTGTGAATACAAACAACTTCCTCCGGGACGAGGTGGTCCTTGTGGGTCGTCTTGTCAGTGAATGATGACGTCATATTCAGCAAGGTAGTGTTATAATACATCGTCTCACCGTCTTTTCACCTGAACGAAAGAGTCAAAATGTCAAGAACGCGGCAGGATGAGGATATGAAAGACAGAATGAAAGGAATTTTTCCAAATTAGTTGCAAATAATTTGCTTTGGAGCCTATTAGGAGTGTAACGATTCATTCACTGAATCGATTAATCGATTTACATTCCTGCGATCCAACTGAATCGATCTGTGCTCCGCAAATCGGCATTCCGGACGACATATATCAATTACAAATCGATTGAAATGGTACATAATCGATTGTATCGATACTTGGAAACTGCACATTGTATTTAACCACGAAAACGGTATGGATGTGTGTTTGTTTGTTTGTTTTTTAGCACTTTAGACACGTTAAACTTTACTCGATTCAGTCTGCCTGTCTGTGACGTCATCAGTACGCAGCGGCAGCCGCGCGAAACTCGGAACAACAACAAAACACAGCGTGGAGGAGACGACTGCCAGCGAGACATTTACAAACCAACATATCGATCCAGCGTGTGGAAACATTTCGGCTTTTGCAAACACGGAGGTGTTCTAAATAAGTCGGTCGCTGTTTGTAGAATATGTAGAAGACAAATAAAAAAACACGGAAACAGGACGAATCTTTCCAGCCATTTACTAAGGCGCCGTGGGATTAAACAACGCCGACAGTCAGGACCTCTAGCAGCGTTACCGCTGCAGCAGCAGCAGGTAACTCCAGCTCTGCAGACACCTCAGGCCTCGCCAGCACCAAACTCAACATCACAGTAACAATTGCCAAGTTTATCTGTAAAGACATGCGACCCTACAATGTGGTTGAAAATCCGGGGTTCTGTGAATTGATCCAAACATTGTGTAATTATTGTGTAATGTTTACATTGAAAATGGCACTTGATTCAAATAAAAGGTTAATACATTTGCCATTAATTGTTGTTTGCTTGTTTATAATATCCATAATGACTTTAAACCTGATTTCCTTACAAGAAACAACAGGGATCTCGGAAACTTTGCCTGCACTGTCCAGTAAAGTCACTGAATCGAATCGTTCTAAATTAACCCAGACCGTCAATGAATCGAATCAGCAATCATGAATCGTGATTCAAATCGAATCGTTGTTAAAATGAATCGTTACACCCCTAGAGCCTATTATTAATGAAGAAGAAATAAGAACAAATTGTTCTTAATTCAGGGTCATTTTAAAGCATCATTTATTGCCTATTTCAATTTTTTTTTTTTGCGTATAGGGCATCATAAATCCAACAGCTAGTTTCCACGTCTGGTAGGGCTTCACGATTACTGTAATAACAAGTGTAAGAGCAGCAATATCAAAGAAGAAGAACGAGCTAGTTTCCAAAATGATTTTAGAGACAGTCCACTGATTAAGTGCTCATACTCTTTGTAATATCCTTTCCAAGAGAAACAGAGCAGGTAATCCACTTCTAAAGAAGAAGAAAGACGCAGGGAAGAGAAGAGTTAATACGGCGAGTGATGGGATGGAAGCAGAAAGGGAAAGCGGCAAAATGTGTGTTGCGCGTTGTACCTCCTAATGCCCGTTGATGAAGACGAACAGAACGGTTTCCCTCCAAAGAGCGAGTGGCGTTGCTCCTGGGTTGATGATTTGGTTTCGGCATTGAGGGGCTTCTGCTCGGGGATCTGAGCGACTTGAAACCTGGCAGTCGAGATTTGATCACCATTACATTCATGGCAATCATGAATTTACCACGGCCACAAAACACACATGTTTTTGCAGTACAGTAGATTTGAAATGTTGGTTTTCTTTAACTGGATGGTGGTAAAATGAGGATGGGGAATTGTCAGTGGTTGAATGAATACTTAGTTATGTCAGTTCAGTATGTAGATTAAGTAAAAGTAGCAATACCACAGTGTAATAATAAACCATTAAGAGCATTGAGAGGTGAAAATACAGTATACAAATACAAATACAAGTGAAAAATGTACATACAGTGTGAAAAGTAAAAGTACTTTTATGTAATAGAATGGCCCCTGTCAGAGTTTAATCATTAAACAATGTATTGTGTCTAATACGAGCACAAATACTGTACTATTAGTCAATTTCATTCAATCGAAAAAGGTCTAATTTCTAAAGAAAAATATGCATAATTTCTGGTCAGATTCTCATAACTTATGCTGGTGAAATTCATGCTCTAGATGCAGTTAGAAGCCTGAAAAAAGTAACGAAATATTTGCATTGTACTTTAGTTCTTTGTTGCGTATAAAACAATATGGACGTGTCTCACCTCCCCACGGACAACACAGTCAGCTCTCCCTCCTTCTCCTTCACTTCGCTCCCTTCCATCTGTTCCGGCACAGTATTTGGCACAACATGTTGCGTGTGGTGGGTGTCGCCGAACACCTCCCCCAGCAGGGGCCTCTTCTGCTGGTCTGGCTGTTTGTCCAGGGAGGGCAGGATCAGGCTCTGGGGACACTTCAGGGGATCTCTGAGGGAATCCAGGGGAGGTATGAGGATAGCGGGCCACTTCTTCTGGGCGCAGCGGGTGCAGCGGTAGCCGTGTCTGGGGGCCAGGCCGGAGAGGCCAGAGATGGTGTGAAGGTGGGACTGATGGGGGCACAGCCTGGGGAGGGAGCGGAACGTGGACAGGGGAGACAGCATGGGGAACCTGGGAGGAAGGACAGGAGAGGATGAGGAGGGAGGGAACACATTGTCAGTTAAAACATATTTTTTTTAAATCAGGATTTTTTTTTAAAGTACATTTTTATACATATATGTCAAGACAAATATCCAAAATCCAAATATTCAAAATATTACACTTTGATTTGACAAAGTGTTTCCAGTCACTGTACAGTATGATATAAATCTCAAATCATCTTTTCGACACACATTTGCACACTAACACACACACACACACACACTGTCCCTCTTAAGTTCACAAACATCCATGTTAATGAGGTATTTATTGTGTATTGAAGATGGAGTAGCCAAGCTGATGTAGGAGGGGGGAATGAAGCCAGAAGGTATCGAGAGTTGAAGCATTTTTGTGTTGCTACATATTAAAGCATAATCCTGAGAGTTTTGAGTGAGAAAAGCTCATAAAAACATCCAAACATTACTTTCAACTCAAATAAATAATTTAAATGCAAAGTTTGTATCTCTTTGCACCGAGGCCTCCTCGGTGTTTGTCTTTCCATTGTTCTTTTATGAAGAGAAAAGCTGAGCAAAAGAGGTGAATGCAGTGGTGTGTGTCCATGTGTTGCACCAGTATGACCGGTAGTCACCCTTGCAGAGCCGCCAAACACACACACACACACACACACACACACACACACACACACACACACACACACACACACACACACACACACGGAAACTGAAAGCAGAATGTTCTAAAGCTCACACGTCACAGCAGCAAACTGCCAGAGACCCCGCAGAGCTCAATGGAACGTGTGGCGTACACAAATACATACATAGAGGAATGTAATGGATCCGATTACATATATTATGTTGTGAGAGGGACAATTTGGAGTGGGAAGATTACTTCTCTGTGTCTCCCGCAGATTAAAGGAAAACACAGTGGTGTAGACTGTGGTGTGAAGGAGCATGTCGCTGGATTTGTTAGATTAACCTCTGACTGCTTGAGCACTTTCATCGGCTGTGAATTACAACCAAGGCTCCAACCACGACCACGTTTGGTTAAACGTTAACTGTGTGACGGAGGTCTGTTTAAGCCTCATGACTCGAGGGACAGCGGTTTAAACTGTGTCAGACATGCTCTTCTCTCAGACGTGCAGGAGTGCGTCATTGCTCAAGTATCCGCCCACTCCAGAGTTTCACACCAGAGGAAATACAGGATACAAGATATGTATTGCTATGAGACTACTTTCTTTGTTTCCTCGTTGGAAAAATGCAAACATGAATCAATTGCATTTGGCTTTGTGTTATTACAATGTGCTACAGTTGAACACACAGAGACGGATAAAGATATGAAACCTGTTTGCAAAAGGGAACTTTTTTACAAAGTTCTTTATAAAGTGGCTCTACTGGAAGCTTGGGCCAAGTCATGATGTTTTCTTTTAGAATCACATTAAACCATGAATCTGTCTCTGCCTCTCTGACCTCTTCTGCTCGACATGGAGCGGCGTGAATGAGCAGAAGTATTCTTTTAGAATGTACAGGGTATATTGTGTGGTCTCCTACTTGATTGACGAGGCTTTGCTCGAGGCCATCTGTTTGCTCTCGTACTCCAGCAGCAATTCTTCCAGCGCAGCAGCATTTTCTGAAAACACGCACAAACAGTTCAGATGAGGTTCATCGCCAGCGAAGGTCGAAGGAGCAGCCAGTGGAAACGTCTGTGACGTACTTTGGTGACCCTGCGTTCCCCTCTGAAAGCCATTAGAGATGAGTCACTAGCTCCAGAGTGACCTCACTGCTGGTCAACACCTACCTTTCTTCTCAGTGATGAGACGGACCAGAACACTGATGGTGTCTTCATTCAGGTCATCGGATATGTAGGGACAATTGTTACCTAGAGCATGCAGAAAGAAGATGTATATTGCATTTTAGTCTATTAACATGAGTAAGGACATAACTAAATGTATAGTACAAATACAAAAGCAGTGTCTAATGCATACGTCGACATATTAATATGCAGCATACGCTGTACAAATGATATTGTATCAGAGATTTAATGGTTGCCTGAATACCATATTTAGGTCACTTGGTGACACCTGAGGCCATGAAAACTGAAAGAGCTCTATCGGGTGATGCACAGATCCTGTAAAAAGAAAGCTGGCAAGCGGACCGTGAGTAAAGGTTACAAGCTGGCTAAATCTCAGTGTTGTTCTCTTTGGGGGCACCTACGTCGTATAATGTATTAGCATTTATTACAGGTGTGTATTTGGATCGTCCCTTTCCAAGGATCCAAAGTATCTCACCTAAAACAGCCAGTTATGCAAATGTGTAGCTTTCGTCAGAGAGCAATAGCCTCAAACACACTTGTGTTACCTTACTCGATGATCTTCATCAAAATCTTCAATACTACTACTTTAAGATTGTTTTGGAATGTATTCTTCCAGATGAATGGCGTGTATTTAAAAACTATTTAGTCATATTTAACGTGTAAATGTATGTAGAAACTTGTGGTTTTATATATTTAATGTACGCCGTCTTCCTAGAGCTAGTGATGTGTTAACATAGAATTAACACAATCAACAGATGGAATTTTCTTTATATTACTATTACAACAGAGTGAGACTGAGTGAGCAAAGTTTGCCCAGCGAACCCACGATGGGACTGATAAAGATGGATGTGGATGACTGGACGAAAAAAGAAAAGATATGCCTCTATGGCAACACCCCCTCAGACATCCCATAATAGCCCTGCACATTGAGGGCAGCTGAAAGAAGAGCAATGAAGGGCACGGGGGGGGGGGGCACGGGGGATTCCAGAATAGCTCACTCAGCGATCACACACCATTCAGCAATGTTGAAGCACACAGGGCTCTATGTGTGTGTGTGTGTGTGTGTGTGTGTGTGTGTGTGTGTGTGCGCGTGTGTGTACACCAGATCCCCAGGTGAATGTGTGTGCTGTATCTGTGTGCTACAGAACAAAACTCGTCGCATTTGCGTCTATGTGTCTTCTTGCATAAGCAGCCACGGGCTGTTGTCAGGTTATAACAATAGCTGTGTCTCCACAGCGCCTGTTGCCATGCGAGGACAACGGCATCCATTTCACAGTGCGGCATTCATTCCCTCGACAGTCAGACCCATGTGTTCAATGTTTCAGCGTGAGCCCCATTAAGTCACCAGTTAGTCACTTTGCTCCTCAGATGAGTTTCAGTTTGAAGGTTAAGCTTTAAAATTCAAGGAGGGAAAAACAGTTTAAACATGTTGGTCCTGCAGCGCTTACATGGCAGAAGATGAAAAACTGCAGCATTCGAACCTTTACTTTCCACTCGGCACTTGTGGCTGAGTAATCACAAGGTTGCAGATTTTGGCTAACAGCATTTCCTATCCTCTCTGATTCTCCCCTTGGGCTTCCCTGTCACTGCGCACTCCCATAAGTCAAACTCTGTCTCTGTCTGCAGCTCTGCGTGGTCCTAGTTACGTCTGCTTCCAGCCCTGAAGAGTCCAGCTTGGCCCCGTGTGTGTAATTCCTCCCGGAGGATGTTCCCCTTGAGCGGAGATGATGCAAAAAAAGACGTTTAGCTCTTACGTCGTCCCAGTGGGGATCACTGCAAAGTTACGTAACAACATCAGGGGTAGAGGGAGAGAGGTACATTTCAAAACCCCGTGTCTTCCTTTTTTATTTCCTCACACTACTCATATTCTGTCGTGTTTATTAGCTTCAATTTGCTCGTGGTCTCCTTCTCTCCGCCTTCATCTGCCTCACTCGCACATGCAGGCACGCAGACCACTGCACCACTGCACCATTGCAGCATTTGTCCTTACAGCTGCACAGGAGGAGAGGAAGAGGGGGGCTGAGAGCGAAGAAGTCATAAGTTGATTTGCTCTTGCTTACTGCTAACAGGAAAAAAGTGTTTGTGAAACTTTAAGACATAGATGTCATCATATTTCCATCAATTGTTCCTTCAGAGTATTGAAAGTAAAATTCAGAAACAAGGAGAGGAAACAGGCAGTTGGAGGGGAGAGGAGAACAAAAGAAGAGGCGTAAACCATGAGATCAGCACGCAATTGAATTATTGATCCGGCCAGGAAAGGAGAGATGAGTGGATAGTGTCGTATTCATATGAATGGGGGAGGGGATGCTAGGAGCCAAGGAATCGGATGAATGGAGAGTATGAGGACTGATAACACAGAGACGTCTTAAGTTTCACAACAAAGTGTCCTGAGGAGGAGAGACCAATGCAAAGCCAGCCTGAAATCTCAGCTTCTCATCTTTGTACAAACCCCCCAAACAAATCACTTGTGGTGGTGTTTTTTTGCTGAAATGTTATGTGATTTATAAAAACATATAAACTGAAATAAAAGAATGAGGTCTTCGTAATCTACAACAACGAGCGAAAAACTACTGAAGAAGCCCTCAATTAGCTTGTGAGTCAATTTGAAAATCAATTTGTTAGTTGTTTAGCTTGATAGAAAGGTACTGAATTGTTCAAAGGATTACACTTGTCTCTGTGCTTTAATACTGAGAGTAAAAAGAGAAGATCGTCCGTTAGATATTAAGTTACAGCCAGCTGGTGGTTAGCTTTGTCCATTACTTACAAAATCCCCCAACCAGCACCTCTAAAGCTCACTCATTAAACAGTAATATCCTATTTGCTTAATTTGTGTGTCTAATGAACCAATGGAAAAGTTGTGTGCGTCTAATCTTACGCTCTGCCGCGTGTTTTCCCAGATAAACTTTTGCTTTCTGCTTTGTCTATTTCATGCACGGGGCCACCAGGGGAACACAATCGTTTTTGCTATGTTTGCCGAATTGATTAAACTCACAGAGTCTCACATACTGAGTTTGTGCAACACTTCATCAATATGTCCAATCACCTACGTGGAAACATACCAGGAACAGTCGATGACGCGCGCCCCGTGACTTAGGGCCTCTTCCTGAGAACCAGGCCTGAGAACCACAGGTACAGTACATCACATGGAAATAGGAGCGTACCTCTCACACTGTGTGCACGGCAACGCAGGTCCAAACAAAAGGTATCGATTGAGTCTGCTTTGATTTCTAGATTACGCCTTCAAAAGCACAGTGTTCCATTTGGGGTCAAAGACTGAAGTGCTCCAGTTCTTCGAAGAGTCCTTCAGGACTTTACTACTTTACACTTGTACAAAGAGTCCTCGCGTTACTCTGAGCCTCGGCGAACCACTTAGAGCGGGGGTGTAACCCAACGCTTGTTCTATTGCTTGATCCCTGTGTCCCTCGCTTTCACTCCATACGTTCTCTTTAGAGTCGCATGTATTGATATCAGTCACGCGGTGGCTTAACACCGCCCCCTCCCCCCCCTCCACATCCTTCTCCTCTCTTCTTCGTCAGCGCTCCACCGCCCCTCTTCATGCTTCTTTCTGTATTTACCCAAGTTCGTTTCTCTCTGAAGTCAGTAAGTTGAGCGAGTCAATGGGAATGTGTCTCTTTCGGAAAATAACAGCGTATGCTTCGAAAAACACGCTTGCTATGTAGTGACCCCTGCGACAGCCTGATCTCCAAAACCTGTTCGTAAAAATGTATACGAAAATCTTGAACATACAAATTCGTGGTGATACATATTAAATAAATACGGACTGCAACTGATGACGTCACCCTATTCAAAGTGAATGGGGACTTGCACCCCGTAAACACACTTCGTGAAGTCTAACGATGTAAAATAAATGTGTTGTGATTGCATTTTTAACGAGAAATCAATGTTAACTTGTAGTAAATAGATAGATAGATAGATAGAATACTAACTCTAACCCCCTCAAATCCAACATGGCGGAGAGACGTTCACTCAAGAATCCAACATGGTCCGCCATGTTGTTCACTCAAGGGGCGTGGTTAACCACCGCCAGTTCGTATGTATTGTTACGAATTTGTATGTTCAAGATTTTCATATACATTTTTACGAACAGGTTTTGGAGATCACGTTGCCTGCAAGGGTAAAAGGTAAAAGTACAAAAAAAAACACCCATGTAGAATCACATCACAGAGATACATGGGCCTGCACTGCCCTTTGGCAGCACATTTACATTTGCCCTGACTCCCGACAACAGCAAACCACACCAGTAAGCATCTTCAGCCATCTTTTTTTCTTTCTCTTCTGATCTTTCTTACCTTCTTTCTGCGGTGTGGCAGTTTCTTCATCTCCTCCCTCCTTGTCAGCACTGCAGCGGTATCCTTTCTTCTTCAGGATGTTGCAGATGAGGATACCCAACAGGCCCATCACGCAGAAGATGGGAACCAAGGCGAACACGGCGTACTCTGCGGTCTTCTCCTCGGCGCTTCTCGCCACCGTGCCGTTGACCGGCCCTACCGCGGCGCCGGGTGAACCTTTACCCACCGTGCGCACCGCTCGGGCACGCAAAACTGAAAGGGAACGAAAAGGTACCGGAAGGAATGTATGAGCATTGCTTCTCTGTACATGAAGATCAAGATCAGATGCTGCAGGATCCCGCTTACTTTTCACGCACGGCCTTTGGGTGGAGAGTTCCTCTGTGGCAGCGGAGTGAAACCTGCAAAAGGAAAGAAAAGAGGAGGAAAACAAGGCTAATTAGACAGATGAACAGAGAGACAAAAAGAAAGTGAAGGAGGATTCTACAATTAAAGAATGAATCCACAGTTTTAGCCTGTGGCCTTTTGTGTTTCTTTGTGCTGGACGTTGCCTGCCCACTGCGGTAAATGACGCAGCGTTTGATGTGCGTCTTCTTGTTTTGTCCACACAAAATCAAATTCTTTCAATTTAGGGCAAATAAAGGTATACAAAGCGCACGTTACAGCGGAGCACTTTGAATGTAAAGCCAACAGTTTCCTTCAAGGAGCGAGCAGGCGGGTCTAGATCTTACCCGGGCAGGCAGTCCCCGCAGACGGCCTCTGAGGTCTCAGTGCCAGGGGTTGCAACCTTACGGCCCAGCGTCCCGCAGGACGCGTGTGGCCGGCAAAGCTCAGCGTCCAGTGTGGCTGAAAAGCTCCCAGGAGGGCACAGCTGACATTGCACTTCCTCCGTCGGCCTCTGGATCCGACCGCAAGCCTGACGCGACAGAAGAAAATTCCAAACTCAGGCAAAATAAAGTATCCAGCTGGAGCTGTTAAAGTGTTGGAGTAAAAAGGGGACATATTCTTTATACTTTTGAAGAATTTGGTTTATCTTGTTAATAGGTAGGTGGTGGAAATATACTGCGAAAAAGCAATGCATACTTTCAAGATTTGGCCGTACTAACATTGCGCATTCATTCTACGCTTTTACTTTCCTTCGAACTAACTAATTGAATGCAACAGATCCAAAACAGCACAGATCTGTTTTGGGTATTTCAGTTTGTAGTCTCACCATGGAAGGCTCCTGGCCAGCAGGGCATCGCAGACACGCGCATCCTTCCCCCCACCGACACTGCACTGCTGCAGTCCCCCCACAGCCAAACACCTGCAAGGCACACGCACACACATGCTCATGGGTCAGCCGAGGGTTTCAGCAAAACCGGATGCACCCTTCCTAACTCATGAAGTTTACACCACACTTTTTTTTTTTTTTGCATGCGTTTACCGTGAGAAGGACAAGAGCTGAGCTGCAAAGGTGGTTCCTCATCTTCTTCAATGTATTCTACTATGTTCATATGATCTGAAGGAGCGAGATGATGGGAATGGATTAGTGAGAGTTTATTCCTTTTTTAAAACATGGTCTGGTTCGTTTCAACAGTTTTACAGTGCATTATAAATCGTATTATCCTCTTAACAAAATCGTCTCTTAAGTGCATAGGGATATTTTCTGGCCCCATAAGGATGACATACTGTAAAACAACAAGACATGTCCCAACACATCATAATAGATGGCACCACAAAACTGTCACGTGGACACACACACGGTACATAAGCGTGTACACTCACACTGTACCGCAAACACGCTCCCAAAAACACCTGAGTCACTCTTTGCAACTTATTCAGAATGCAGTGAGTGGAGTGTGAGGGCGATGCGGAGCGGCTGTAAATAACACATGAATCATGTTCTTTTCATGGACGGGAGTGAATGAACCAGGAATTCTCTGTGACTATTTCAGGGTAGAAGGCAGAAATATTTAAAGAAATTATTCATCCATTTGCCAACTCATACAGACTTTGTCAACGCTGCCCCAGGCGTGAGTATCTGGATATTTAGTTAAGACAAAACCACAATAATTTTTAGATATAAATGTCAACAAAGCTAGTGATAGTATTTTAATTCCTATGTAATATATCTACGTTTTTTGTGTTACCAGATATATATCTATAAAAAAGTTTTTTTGTCAGATTGTGTTAAAGCAACAATATGTTATCTCTCAGTTAGAAATGTGTCGTCGTTAAAATATTTAACAGCTTATATCAAATAGATTGATTAACAATGTCCACATTCATAATGCTCATCCACAAACAAGTGGCCGGCAAGATATTTCTTACCGTTTGACTTGTGCTTCTATATATTTTTACGGAGACAAGACAAAACTCAATCTGAAGTCAGCTGAGAAATACTCGCGTCTATTTGTAGCATCCTGACATCTCGCCGTTTGAGATCTCACTGCTTCACTTAACCCGCCACAACCATGCAATATCATCATATTTTATTTTGTTACATTAAAATGTAGCGTAACAGTCAGTAACTATGATCAAATGCAATTCCAAGTTCCAATGTGAATAAAACAGTTTGTTGCGAGAAATTTGTGGTACGACACATATGCTCCTATTCGGGGCCACAATTGCAGGACTGTAAATTTCCCCAAAGACCAGCGTTATCAGGGACGCAAACGTGCAGCTGAAAGACTGGTTGGACACAAATAGAGTTGTAAGATAGCAAAGTAGTAAAACAGCCAACCAAAATGAAACATTGAAAGCATTTCTAATACATCAATGAGAAGAGAAGATAGGAGATTGACTGACATTGCTGAAGCAAAGATAAATAAAGAGAGGGACAGAACAAGAACGCGTTAAAAGACAGAGCGGTATTCTTACCCCAGACTTGCAGCTGATTGGCACAGTTGCCGTGGCAACTCAGCAAGGATGAGCGGTATGCTGCTAAAAGAGCTGATTTAGAGCAAACTCAAATCTATCTTTCTAACAGCTGTCTCCAGTTAACACTTAATAAAAGTCCAGTCACAGCTGAAGAAGTTGAGTGTAGCTGAATGGAAAGTTCAATGTACCTGCTTGTGTCTTATACTGCGACTCTGACCACGGACACACCCCTGACATCCTTGAGACATGCCCCTCTGTCACAGCTAGAACAGCGTGTGTGTGTGTGTGTTTGTGCGCGCGAAGGGTGACGACACTTGGCGGCACTTCTTGACCACGCAGCAAAACATTAGTGATTTCAACATTAGTTAGCAAGAAATCAATAATTCTCCAGTCAAACACATTCATTCTCTTTCTATGTGTGATGAGCACAGAAAGACACACGTGCACCTATGCAGCATGTCACTATGCACATATATATGGGCAATAAAGGAGTCTTTACCCATGGCCTTATTCTACTAACCCATATTTTATTACTTGTGCACTGCTGTCTTGTTGTCTATTGTTATACTGTTACGCACCAACCGCCAAGTCAAATTCCTTGTATGTATGACATATTTTGGCAATAAATGTTTCCTGATTCCTAAATTGTTTTACACACCTATTTTTCACATACAAACAAGTACACACACTCACACACCTCTGGATCCCCATAAAATCCTGCCTTGTACAGACAAGAAAAAAGAATGAACTAGTTTATGATTGTTGCACGGCAAGGCCTTCATTCCAATGACAGGCAACTGAAGCGTAATTTCAGGGAGTACGGAAAAAGATAAAGCCAAGACAGAAAAAACACTAGTTTGGGCCTGACAAGGCCGTGGGGGAGGAGACGAGAGTGAGGGTTGGAGAAAGGGGAAAGTGGTAGGGAGTGCTAGAGAACTTCAGCCTGATAGCATGATACGTGTATATATAGAAGCATTTATTAACATTCCATACAAACCAGAGGCTAATTACATGCTCATACACGTGCACTTTTGCAAACACACAAAAGCAGAAACAACCGGGAAGAAAAATGAGGAAAAGAAACGATCAATAAAACGACAATGATAGAGAAGAAAATGAAAAGGGGACCTACAATTAAGTACCTCTGTTTTTGGAAAGTGTCAAGTAACATATTGGACGGGGTTTCGAGGGGTAGAAGAATGTTGGTTTTCGCCCGAGGACCTCCGTTGACCTCCAGAAACGCAGTGACGGAAACGTCTGAACTTTAGAGTCCAGCTCAGCGAGGTGAAACTGATTCGTGCATGAAATCCCAAATCACTGTGATTCAGTAAACTGACTTCACGATTGAACGGTTTGAAAAGGCTTGTACGTTCCAGTATGCGGCAGAAAAGCAAACGTGTGCCCCTACAAGAATCATTCTCACCTTGATGTCTGGTTTCATCAGCTAATGCAAATGTCTAATCTGGTATAAGTCAAATTTAGTCTAGGAGAGTTTGCTAAACCTTTCTCCTCTTAGTGATCCACAGAGTGAAGCACCCGTTTAATGCAGGAGCGCCACAGGCAGTAAAATATGTATAAAATACAAAATGCATGTGCAAGCTGTTCCAAAAAAGGATGTTCAAACGTGGCGGCTCCCTGACCGCTGTCCTCAGCAGTTAGGCGCTCACGGCCAGCCGATCCGAGCCGGAATCGTCTGCGTGTGATGCATTTGCATTTAAATCAAATCTGTTTGTGGTTTTGCCCACAAAAACCACTAGAGAAGTGACTGCTACAGGGGGAACTACCACTGGACCTACGTGGAACATGACCACCCCTTCTTTTCCACCAGGCAAAGTGCACAATTCCCCTTCATCTTTAAAAGAATAGTTCATTTCGTTTTGGAAAATACTTTTTGTGACTGATATGAAGCCGCAGCCAGATGCCAGTAAGCTCAGTATAAAGACTAGAAACGAGGAAAGAGACGGCTTTGTTCTGTCCAAAGGTAACAGAAGGTTACTACCAGACACTTTTAGACTCTTTGTGCTAGGCTAAGCTAACCACCTGCTTCACAAGAGTGTAAGCAAGTATATTTACAAAATGTATTCTAATTCATGTTTTTAAAAGCACTCCATTCCCCAGAGCTTACAAGAGCGTTCCCTGGTTCATTCCCCTTTCTGGAAAAGTCTGCAAGGCCTTTTGACGGAGCTCATGGCTCTCGCACGTAATCTTCATCTGGGAAAAATGATGTTGAGTAATGGTATCATGGGGGCCTTGTGTGTGTTTTATAATGCAACAGGGAATTGTTACCATATCGTTTGATCCACAATGGACCACAACGACACAGTTCACTCATCCACGAAAAGAACAATCCTCTTATACTGGAAACTTTAGTGTCTCACATCCCTGAAATCACTTCTTTTTTTTCGGCAACTCTCAGTTCTGTCAATTGATTTGTTTTGGAGGCTACAGTCGGAAACAAAGAATGAGAGACCAACAGAAATAAGAACATAAACAAAGGGAGAGAAAACAGGGAGGAGCAGAATAACAGGATATCAACACTTCTCACAATATCCCAGCGCGCACAACAGAGAATCCAAACCACACCGACGCCATTTTTATGTGAAAACAACCAAACAGGATAAAAAGTTCTAAAAACCTTCAAAGGAAAGGCAGAAGAGCGTGACGACTGTACCAAAAACGTAAAACAGTAATTACCCAAAAGCCTCGGTGCTGTTGTTCGACACATTCAAATAACAAGTTGCAACAACATCAGATGACCAGTCACATCTTCTGTTTTGTTCAAGTGGACCTAAAAATAGCGATAATAGAGAAGTAATGGCAAAGGCCTGACAAAAACACGGACACTATTCTGTGCTGTGGTGGTTTTTGGGGCAAGGACCAGAGATAATGTGCTGGAGAGCTTTTTCTGGCTCCTTGATGTCATGCAGCCTCTGAGCTGAGAAATCCTACTGGATGAAGCTGTGAACAAAGGAAGGAACCACGGAAGAGGAAACGCAAGCATGCAAGGGGACTGCTCCCCTTGTGTGGGCTGGCATATAAAGTGTGAAGTGGGGGTCAAGCCGGACACATTAATGCCTTCTAAACAATGCGATGTGTCTGTGAAGTACGCGTGACGCTGCGATGATTTTAGTTGGTAGCTTAGTTCCAATCTACGGGCACAAAAATGCTTTTCAGTACGTACATTTCTGATTTAAAACAAATTCTGATGAAACAGTGGGTTATTCTCTTTGCGTGATAGGAGTGTATGGTACGGGAGAATGCAACAAAGTCCTTAGCTTTAACACATCAACATTTGAGAATTTATTTTCATTTGGATGACGTGTACATGTTATTGGGAGTGAAAACTCCGTGAAGTTGCATTTGAAGCAGCGGTTCCCTGCTGGCAGTGTACAGTCATCAAGTGGTCTTTGTGAACGGTTGGGTCAACTTGGTAAATACGTTTCTTTGAAATTCTCCCTCCCTACTCAGTAAATCATTAAATATCGGATGTAAGTGCTAGCGGCAAACACTGAAACAGCGTGACCCCACATATAATGATGAACTTCGGTTTTGTTTACCTTCAAAGGGTATCTATAGTAACAAGACAGCTGTGGGTCCAGCAGCAAATCTATTGTTTGATCACCTGCTTCTTCTTGTTATTGCCTGCATGACTTTCAGTGGAACAAGGATTCTGTGCATTAACTAGTTGACTTACTAACTTTCATGGGAAACCATATGGAAAAAATACTTTCAAGTACCTGTCAATCAGACCATTATCAAAGCAAGTTAAGACGAATGAAGAAATATTCTCCAGTTGTGACGTAACTGGTGTCATTTCAGCATCAACATGAACATGCGTTTCTTACATGCGTCTTTGTGACACGTCACACACGCCTGAGTCACACTTACAGCTGCCAGACGCTTCTCACAGGGCGCAAATTGGCCCGCGCATTAACATTTTATAAGGAAGTAAACACTATTGACTCGCTTTGTCCTTGAAGTATTTGACTAGTATAAATAATGATGACTGGTGAAATAAGGAAAGAATCTGCACCTTTTTCAGACCAACTAGTTTAAATATATTTTTCATCTGCTCAGTAGGTGTGGCGACGCACAGTCACAGGACAGAAAAGCTCAACGGATTATTTACTTCTCAGCTGGTTGTGAAATCTTCTTTATTTGGGCTCATAAACCTTTAAAAACCCATTAGATCATCTCAGAAATACATAGTTACCAAGCTCAAAACAAGGATGTTTTTCTTAATTTCCGAAAAGGTCTAATCTCCCAACAAAGACATTACATTTTTTCCCAGAATACTACGTCCTTGTTTCAGACCCGATTAAAACAGATTCATGCTCATCGTCATTGGTCCAAATTGGTGTAAAATAAACTGTCTAAAAAATGGCTGATGAAACACTTTCCCAAGGACTTCAGAAGACGTAGATTTCCCTTTCCGTCATGAAGCAGAGAGGCTTTATGAAGAGAAGTCAACCACCACGTCCCCATACCAATAATGGCTACCTATGAAGCCCCGTAGGTCATAGCGCGTCCGGCCTCGGGGAACTGCCCTTCATGTATCGGCCCTATGTAATAAAATACAGCAGCGGCGGCACAAAAGGTTTACGGTAATTATACTCCATTATCCATCAGACATTTCGTGGAGTGAGAGATAATGTGCACATGCACGACAACGACGTGATGGGGACAACCATACCCTCTGTTTTACTTAAAGGAGGTGCCCATTATCTGCAAATGAACGGCTGATTTACGCCAACGCGTCGTACGTTGGTGCTCAAACAATGTCTCATTACGGGGAGCGTGTCTGATAACTGGGCTCACGTCTGCGGATGCGTTTCTCTCACTGTGCCTCCGCGTCCTTCATCCCTCCTCTCCGTCCTTGGGTTGATAATCTGTCGTCATGTTTTCCAGTGGAACTTTACACCGGCAGAAACTTAACGGGCCTCTCTCGTGTCCGACGTCACCGAGGCAGATGGAGCGGGGTTGGATTTACCAGCGGGAGAGAGAGTCAGAGGAAAGGACAGGCAGGAGAGGCCCGACACATTGAGATGTTGGCCTTGTTTACAGCCTGAGTAACTCTGCAGCAATCGGAGGTCCCACAATACAGCAGGGTGGGAAAAGGCTAAATCTGCATACAGAGGAAGCTCTGGTAATGTTTCCTTTCCTTTTGCTCATTCAATAATGGATTCGATATCTTGCGTTAACTCACTAAGTCACTCATGCTTTTGACTCGGCCCCCAACTTCTAGTTTCCAACCACTGTGTCCGACCTTCTATTCCCGGCTGAAGTGACATTACATGATTGGGAGACACTGCATTAGTTGCCTGAATCAATGGGGCCTTCCCGAGTTTTCAATTTTCCAAAATTCTTGATAAAAAAAAGGAGAAAAGGAGATTTTGCCATTTAAACCCATCATAATCCAACCACAAAGCAGCCTCTGGCTACAGAAACGGCCCTAAAAATAATCCAAGATGACAAAAAGAGAACAAGAGAGCAAATGTATTTGAGTCTAGTATTGTCCAATGTATCACCAGCACCATTAACGGTGGATGTAGATGAAC